TAATAAGAGTTCTAACAATTTTATTAAGTAACAGTGAAGAGAGGAGACACCAGGAATGTCTCATTCCTGATTTTAGAGAAAAATGCTTTTCTGTTTTCCCCTCATTTAGCTTATTTTTGACTATAGATTTACCAACTAATGTGCTGAGGTATATTACTTCTATTCAAATTCAGTTTATAATCATGAAGGGGATGATCATCTTTGTTAAAGGTCTTTTCTGCACCTATTCATTTAACCATGATAAGACTTTCTCTATTTTTACTGTTGTGTATTTCATTCTTAATTTGCATATGTTGAACCATCCTTGTATCCCTGAAATGAAGCCAACTTGATCATAGTGAATAATCTTTTTATTGTATTGCTGGCTTCAGTTTGCAGGCATTTATTTATTTTGGTTTTTTGAGAAAGGGTTTCTCTGTGGCTTTGGAGATTGTCCTGGAACTAGCTTTGTAGACTAGGCTGGTCTCGAACTCACAGAGATCCATCTGCCTCTGCCTCCCGAGTGCTGGGATTAAATGTGTGTGCCAACAATGCCTGGCTGTTTTGCTATTTTTTGTTTTGTTTTGTGGGTTTTGGACAGGGTTTTACTCTGTAGCTCTGGATGACCTGGAATTCACTTTGTAAACCAGGCTGGCCTCAAACACACAGAGCTTTTTGCTTGTATTTACCAGTTTGGTATTAGACTAATACTAGCTTCAAAAAATGAGTTTGTAGTATTTCTTTCCTTTGTGTACTGTGGAATAATTTGAAGATTAGTCTTAGATTTTCTCAAAAGGTCTGGTAGAATTTAAAGTGACTCCATTGAGGCTTGGGTGGCTTTATTTGGGGAGTCTTTCTATTACTGCTTCACTTCTATTTCTCATTATAATTTGTTTCAGTTGTTTAAAAACACTAGGTTTATTTTTGATAGGCCATATATTTCCACACATTTATCCATTTCTTCTAGATCTCGCTATATATTGGAATACATAATTTTAAGGTAGTCTTTACTGATCCTCTGGGTTTAATGGGTGATATGTCTTGTAATGTTGTCCTTTCTTTTGCTAATTTCTTGATATTGTTGTCTTTTGTTTGGTTAAGAGCTTGTCAGTGTTAATTATCTTTTCAATAAATCAACTGTTTCATTGATTATCTTATTCTTTTCATTTCCATTTCATTGATTTTTAAATTTTTATTATTTCTTTCTACTTTGCTGAGTTTGTTTTATCAATCCATGTCCTATACAGGTAAGTGAGAGGGGATGTAGAATATGAGAAAGGACAAAAATGGTCTACAAAAATAGATAACAAGTAAGAGAAGTTAAAAGGGGGAAGAAGACAGAAGGGGAATAACACATAATAAAACACTATATGCATACATTTCAATTTCTCTGATTTAACCTTTGACTTAATCGGTCTTCTGTATGTCTTCAGGTTCCTACTGCTACAATAAAACACAATGACCAGAAGCTGGGGAGAAAAGGGTTTATTTGGCTTACATTTCTGCAACACTGTTCATCATTAAAGGAAATTGGGACAGGAACTCAAATAGGGCAGGAACCTGGAGACAGAAGCTGATGTAGAGGCTGTGGAGAAGTGCTGCTTATTGGCTATTTTGAGTTGGTGTTTTCTGATGAGAACAGATCCTTTATGGTATTTGGATTTCTGGATAGATCACTGCCTTTGTTTCCTGAAAGCATACAGTATAGTTCATGAGCCAGGCAGTGCCTGTTACCACTCGAGGTGTTCTTTCTGGCTCCAGGGACCTTAGAGAACTGTCAAACATTTCACACAATGGGGCATAGCACCCTCAAGATCCTGTGGTTGTGGCAGGGCACAGTTCTCTCACTTCACTCCATTGTCTTCTATTGCTGTTGTCTTTTTCCTACGCGAGAGCTTTGGTAGCTAGCTTCTCTATTTAGCTCCAAGATGGGGACATGAACTCCACCCCAGCCTATGGTGCAGACAGGATCAAAAGTGCAGAGCTGTCCGCGGTGCTGATCCACACTTGTAGGGACTCTTCAGGCCAGCCCCCAGTGCATAATCACCCAGCACTTACTCTGGGTTTCCCAAGTGTAATCTTTGTCTGTGGAACTGAAAGCTGCATTCTGCATGGATTTTTTTCAAAATGGCTTCCTGCAGTGTGCTGGTCCAGTGCATGAGATTTTTCCAAACATAAATATATTGTTTTGTTTGTAGATTTGTTTAGTTTCCTAGTCATGGCCCCACTCTATGAGTCTGAGGTGGCACTCAGTGTGTAGCACAGGCTAGCCTTAAACCCAAGTGTAAGGATTATAGGCACAAATCACTCTGCCAGTCAGCACCTGTGTTTATAGAACCCAGGACCTCTGCCCAGTTAGACTGCAGACCTGCTTAGTGAGGAGCCCTGCACTGTTTTCTGAATCTGTTAAGAGACTTCGGGGAGTGGTTTGCTTGTTCTCCACCGCTGTGTCTTGAGGCTTTTGTCCTTTGTACCACCCCTCATTCTCTTAATTCCTGATGCAGAAAGTGCTTGGAGCTGAGTGGGACTTCAAGAATGAACTTCCTCTCCTGTTGCTATGCTCTCCAAAGCTTTTCTTCTTTCCTTGCAGATACTTCAATGTTTGCACCAACCTCAGGTGACTGCTTTATGCCCTGGGATATTTGTATACTGTGTGAAGATGTACTGTTGTGATTGGTGTAATAAAAAGCAGAATGGCCAATAGCTAGACAGGTGTGTAGGCGGGACTTCCAGGCATAGAGAAAACTCTGGAAAGAAGAAGAGTCATGGGCAGTATGGAGATGAGACACATGGAAGAATGTATGTTTAAAAATATGGACTAGGGGGCTGGAGAGATGGCTCAGAGGTTAAGAGCACTGACTGCTCTTCCAGGGATCCCGAGTTCAATTCCCAGCAACCACATAGTGGCTCACAGCCATCTGTTATGAGATCTGGTGTCCTCTTCTGATACGCAGGCAGAACACTGCATACATGATAAATAAATCTTTAAAAAAATATGGACTAATTTAAGTTATAAGAACTAGTTAGGGCTCCTTTAATCCCAGCATTTGGGAGGCAGAAGCAGGAGGGTTCTAGGCTAGCCTGGTCTACAGAGTGAGTTCCAGGACAGCCAGGGCTACACAGAGAAACTCTGTATCAGGAAAAAAAAAAAGACCTGTGACTTGAATTCCCACTACCTCACACTTCTGATTCCTGCAAGGTTAAACTCTTTTAAGAAATTATTTAATGTGTGACATTCTGCAGTGGTCAGGATACTTGAGATGAATCAACTTGAAAACAGTAAAAACTGGCTCTGAAAGTTTTTACCCCAACTGATATGCAGCACACAGTTTACCTGTTATAGTCCAAACAAGGAAGTCACAGACCACTAAGTATATAAGACCAACTAGGAGTTCTTTATTTAAGATAAGGAGCAGACTCTTGTCACAAGAACTCTTGATAGATGCTGCTCAGGGATGCAGCATCTATAAAGGCAAACATCATTGTCAGGTTTGGGTCAGGGTAACTTGTAACAATTATATCACCTCCCCTTCCTTTCCTCCCTCAAACACTTCCCATTCTCCCACCATTCCCTCTTGAAGTACCTTTTCTTGTCACACACACACACACACACACACACACACACACACACACACACACACACACATATACCCGTTAAGCCAGTTTAATGTTTCAGGGCCGGTCTCTTTTTATTGGATTACCAATTGGGGGGACTCACCCCTATGAGAGACTAATTCTTTCTCTCTCTCTCTCAGCAGTCATTAGTTGCCTATTCTTCATTTGTCAACGGATGGGACCCCTATTTCACTCCTTTGCACTAGAATGTCCATTACCATTGTTATTGTTCAGGTCCTACTAGGCAGCCATACTGTTGAGGTAACATAAGTGAGGCTTCCTTGTCCTGTCTAGGACACACCATCTCACAGCAGACTTCCTGATACTCTGGCTCTTAACCTTTTCACTTCCTCTTCCTTGATAGTCCCTGAGCCTTAGGTCCAGGCACTGTTGTGTAGATCTATCTGTTGGGACTGGGAACCCCACAATAAGATGATCTTCGCACTGTGGCCAGTTGTAGATTTCTGTAACTCTGCTTGCTGCAGAGAAGTTTCTTAGATATGGGTGAGAGCTGAACTTATCTGTGAGTACAAGTTTTACAATGCAGTTAAGAATTATGCTAGTTCGGTTAAGTACTGAGCTGAACTCAAGAAAGCCAGTAACAGAGAGGGAGGACTGATGATCAAAGGGATTAAGACTGGGCTGGTTTAACCCCCAGAAACAGCTGACCAGACAAAGGTTAACTCTTGAATCCCAGGCATTAGCCTGGGAAGCCAGCATGGGACTGAACAAGACCCCCTGAATCTGGGTGTCAGTGAAGAGGCCTAGGGAATCTATTGAGCCTTGGGCAGCAGATCAGTACCCATCCCAAGTATACACACGGACTTTGGACTCCAATAGAACAATGTGAGGTGCACTCTCACCCTGAACTCTTGGGAAAGGGTCTAGGCCCTGCCCTATATGAAATGACACACTATGGACACCCCCATGGAGGGTCTCACCCTCCCTGGAGAAATGAGGGGATAACGGGGGGGGGAGGGCACGGGAGGAAGGGAGGGAATGGGAGAGGGACCTGGAACTGACTTGTGAAGCAACCTTGATTCTTATCTAAATTTAAACTGGAAAATAAAATTAAAAAAAAAAAAGAATTATGCTAGTTCATGTGGTGGTAGTATTATACACTCTTCTAAGATCCATGACTTCATTAGCCCCAGGGAGTTGGCTAGGTTTCTAGGCTCTTTTTTGTCTTTCTTTTTAGAATGGGTTCTCTGTATAGACCTGGCTGTCCTGGAACTTGCCCTGAAGACCAGGCTGGTCTTAAACTCACAAAGATCCACTTACCTCTGCCTCCCAAGGGCTAGAATTAAAGGTGTGCACCACCACTGCCTGGCTCTAGGCTCTTCTTAATTAAAGGGGAAATAAATTAGAATGGGTATCAAAGAACAAACAAGTTCTTCTGAGGTTGCTCCTTCATCATGTCAGCAGTGTCTGACACAAAATATACTTTATTTCTTAAGACAGTCTCATGACACAGCCTTTGCTTGTCTGGAACAGAGAGATCCATCCATCTACACGCCAAGTGCTGGGATTAAAGGCATATGCTACCACACTTGGCTATAAAATGTATTTAAGATAGTTAAATCTTTGACAATGAGAGGACAGTACATGCAATTCCAGAGGTTTCCAAACAGAATGGATCTTTTTCACCAGGGAAAAGTTAGACAGCCAGACTAGAAGTTAGGTTGTTAGTATTAGCAAAATCTCAATCTTTGTTTTTTCCCAATCTTCATTTGTATAAAATGTAGACTAAAAAAATAGGATGTCAGCACATCCTAGTGAGTTGAGAACACCACATGGGAGCACACAAGAGTGTCAAGCAGTGTCCAGCACATGCTCAAAGGTATCATTTTTAGAAATGTTGGAATTTATTTTCTGCCCAGGACTGACTGATATCCAAAATGTACCATGGTGGTCACCTCTTATACAATCTGCATTTTATGTTCAGGGTACCAGAAATAGAATGTACTTAGCCCCAACATTCAGTTGCCAGGAAGAACTTTGAAATGCCAGGCGTTGTTTTCCTATGGCATCTATTAAGTACAGCATCAGACTCAACTGCTTGGATCCACGAGTTAAGGCTTCCTGGCTTTCCTCTAGTTTCCTGATCATCTCAATCATCTGCCTCTACCGATCCTGGTTTGTTTTCCTAGCCTCTGTTGGCCTCCTTTGTGTCCTTCCCTGACAATGTCTTTCTGTTTAGTACCTATCAACTTCTCTGAAGTCCTCAAGAAAAAGGAATCTCCTTGACCTTTGTAATCCTCATTTTACTTCAGTCATATCTTTCCAATTTATTATGTGTGTGTGTGTGTGTGTGTGTGAGAGAGAGAGAGAGATAGACATACACACAGAGGTCAGAGTATAACTTTTAGAAGTTAGTTCTTTCTACCATATGGGTCTCCAGTTTCAAAATCAGGTTGTAGGACTTGGTTGCAAGTGCCTTTACCCTGTTAAACCATCTCGTCAATCCATTATCAATTTCATTGTTTTTATAAAAATACATTTTATTTTTTTTACAAAGTGTGTATGTGGGGGTGGGGATGAACATGCATGTGAGAGCAGGTGCCTGTAGAAGCCAGAGTGCAGCAGGATCCCCTGGAGCTGCCTGTGTGGGAGCTGGGAATCAAACCTGGTCCTCTGAAAGAGCAGTGTGTAGTCTTAATTACTAAGCCACTTCTCCAGTCCCATCAGTCTCATTCTTAAAAGGAATCTCAAAGACTTCTTGAATGAGATAGGATAAAATGAAGTAACCAGACCTGTTTACACAAGATACACAACACTTGAATGGTCTGATGAAATAATCATAACATAAAATCTCTTATAAAACATCGGCTTAGAAATTCATTAAAGACACAATCTGATCAAACCATGATACTGAATAATACACTGAAAAAAATTAGACTCTGAATCTGGTGAGGGAGCAACAGAGGTTAAGAGGTATAAGTAGGTTTAAGCTAAAAAGGAAGAGGAGGAGTAACTCTATAGTGTTTGAATCCTGTCAGAACTTGAATCAAGTGACCATAGTGATGGTCTTAAGTACTTAAAAAGATGTAAATTAAAGCAGGATAAGGGGCACATACGTTTAATCACAGCACTCAGGAAGCAGAGGCAGGTGGGTCTCTGGGAGTTTGAGGCCAGCCTATGCTAAATAGTAAGTTCTAGGCCAGTCAGGGATACATAGAAACTGTCTTCAAACAGAAATAAAAAAATCAACAACAAAAACTTTTGGAAACTATAAGGGAACTAGAAGACTTAACACACTGGAATAGCTAATTTTAATTAATTTAATTATAGTAAACATCTTTTTACTATAAAGGACATCAGAGCAGCCAAAAAAGATAGACTGGAACTTGATAATTACATAGTAACATGTGTCAGTGTTTTTGATGGTTGGTTATGTAGAAAACCATTCTGATTTACACAAAACCGATATATGTACCTGGGATGTAAGGTGACCAGTTCTCAGGAAAACAGTTTTTTGTAACTTTTATGTACGATTAAGACAGTTCAAAATAAAATTTTATTTGAATAAGGCCTTGCTTTATCAGTCCTTTTTTTTCTTCTTCTTTTTTTTTTGAGGTAGGGAGTTTTCCTATAAAGCTGGCCAGATGGGAGACATCATCTCCATTTGGGCCTCAATAATTTGAAAATAAAATGCTTACAATGAGGTCATTTGCATCCAGCTGAATGTAGACCCTTCAGAGTGAGTGTGATTCTTGGCGGGTTCCATGTTAGACACCTCCATGCCAGGTACTGCAGGTGTCACTGACTGAGGGACCTCTGTAGAGCTTCATACATCATTTGATCCTGAAAGGATAGAAAATACCACATAGTGCTGATCAGGAAGTTATGGGATGGGAGTTGTAACTGGCAGGCTCCTATATTGAAGCCCTAACTCCTAGGACCTAGAGACAGGGTTCTACAGAGGTGACTAGGTTAAGATAAAGCAGTGAAGGTGGCCTTCAGTCCCAACGAAGGCACAAACAGAAGAACATGTGAAGACAGCCAAACACCCTAGAATGTGGGGACAGAAACTTTAGAACTCTGACAAGATAACATCTGGATCTTGGATGTCTGGTGCACCACAGTGAGAACATACAATCTCTACTGTTTAAGATGCCCATCTGTGGCCCTTGGTTACAGTGGCCCTGGCAGTTGGACCCAGCAACTATGCCTTGCTCCTTCCTGCATCTAGAGCCTGCACATGCACCTTTAGAAGATATACCACGATTTCCATCCATGTCCAGGGAAGTTTGCAAGCCAGGTCAAGAGATGTCTGCACCTGTAAACTACCCTGAATCCAGATGGAAACAGGAAACAAAAGGGTTTTAAAGTGTCTTAAAATTCCAAAACACTGCCAGACTAGCTCCCAACGTGACTGCGCCACTCTTTCCAGTACAATAGACTTGTAGCATCTGACACCCTCTCCTCCTTTGCTGTGGCCAATCTTTCAAAGTTCTGTCAACCCAGCAGGTTATGTAGTGGAAGCTCACTGTTGCCACACTGACCTTTTCAGGGTTAGATGACAATGCCACTCCCACTATTTATCCCAAAGAAAAACTTAAAATGTGTTCTGGTTTATTTATTTCCAGCTATTTAGAATCTATCCTAGGGCCAGAAAGATGGTTCAGAAGATGAAAGCATTCACCGCCAGCTCCAACAGCCTGAGTTCAGTCCTTAGACTCCACATGAAAGGAAGAGAGAACTCTCAAGTCATCTCATCTTTGCTTGCATGCTGTGGTTCAGTTATGTCCCCACCCCCATCCCACCCCACAAATGTAAAAAATAAAAGAGAAATCGATTTTAAAAAGTCAATTGTGCTAGCTAGGTGTGATGGCTCATGCCTTACAATCTCAACACTCAGGAGTCTCGACAGAGGATCATCATGAACTAAAGATAGCCTGGGCTAGAGTCTCAAAAAACAAAGACAGACTGAGAATATAGCTTGTAGAGTGTAGCCTACCCTGCCATCCGCCTGGGCCCTGCCACAATTGCAGTCCCCAAATAATACACAAGACACTGTATTAATTATGAAGCTGTTGGCCGTTTGCTTGGTTTCTTACTGGCTATCTCTGACTTAAGTATTTACCCCATAATTGTTAATCTAAGTATTTCTCTTACCGGAGAAAAGGGTCCAGACCTCTTATTCCTATGGCGGCTACATCATGACTGTCTGTGTCTCTCTTTCCCAGAATCCTCCTGAACTCCTAGTCCCACCTATCTTGCTTCCCTATTGACCAACAGTGCTTTTCTGACATATACACAGGACTTCCCCATCAGTAGCTCGTTTGGCAGATTGGTTGCCTGGTATACACAAAGCCCTGGTTTCAACCTCTAGCACCACATAAAGCCAAGTGTGGTGGCATATGTCTATAATATTATCACTGTGAGGTTCAGAAATTCAAAGCTATCCTCAGCTAGACAGCATGTGCTGTCTCAAATAACAAAACAAACAAACAAAATAAAAAAAAACACACACACAAAACCTAAACAAACAACATCAAAACCCTGAGTAAACAAAGCAAGCTAACTGCATTAAGTTTTTCTTTTGGATAGGTAAAATGGTCACTAAGTGTTAAAAATGCATAGTACTTAGGCCAGGAAGATGACTCGGTGGATGAAGGCAGCTGCTGCCAAGTTTGGTGACCCGAGTTATCATCCCCATATCCCATGTGGCAGGACAGAACTGAGTCCTGACGCAGGCATGAATACACGGGCAGATGCACACACACAAAATAAATGTGAAAGACAAAATATATACAACTTTAGAGAGGGAAAAAAAATTCTCTCTCTCTCTCCTTCCTATAAACAATGTTTCCATATATATTTCCTTCTGGAAATATAAGCAAAACTACAATTAATTAGTTCACCCTTTAATATAAATAGCATACAGAGACACATTCCTTTACCTAGCATATTATAGACACAATTCCTATGCTTTTTACTTAGTAATAAATTTGGGAGATATTTTGTGATCTTTCAAATAGCTATACCATTTCATTATATGAGCATTTAAAGTTTTGGCCTATTATTATGTGTGCCAGTGAAGAGGAATCTTGTGGCGCATGTCTGTAATATGTTACTTGGAAGGCAGAAGCAAGAGGCTCCTGAGTTTGAGGCTAGCTTAGGATATATAAAGATACTATTCCTCAATAAAAAAAATAAACTAATAAAACTTCTAAGTTCCTATCCACAGATGTTAATTTCACACCTCTTTTCTAGACACTGAGGAATGTTTCTCACCTTTACTGATATAGATGGTTTTACTTTCCTGAAAGCTTCTTCAAAATGCTTATGGCTGACTTTGAGTTCACCTGTAGAGGAAATGCATAAATACACACCTTAGTATAGTCCAGAAACTTGAAAGACAGGAAAATTGAGATGGCTGATCAGATGGAACCTATTCAAGTGCATTTGCATACACCCAACTCCAGCTCTGCCTTACTGAGAATCTCTCCATTCATTTGGGGAAACAGGACTGTGGGGAGTCACTCCGTCTCTCAGGAAAGTTGGGTGGAAGACAAACAGTTGAGTTAAACTATGCGTGCTGCTCCCACAGAAATGACTAATGAGGTCCCAGGTAGAATTAATAGGAGAGTATAAGATGAGATGGTCCATAGAACTAGAAATAACTAGGAGCCTGTATTACTATCAAGTATACTCTGGAATACAAATTCATGCTACTGAGTAACAAAGGCTAGAAGTTCCCAAAGACAAAAATGCGAAGGATACATATGTATATCACTAAACTGGATTAGACAGAGTTGTAATTTTTATAAGGTTAAGTGATAAAATAGCTAAACACGTGCTGGAGAGATGACTCAGAGGTTAAGAGCATTAGTTGCTCTTCCAGAGGACCTGAGTTCAATTCCCAGCAACCACATGGTGGCTCACAACCATTTATAGTGGGATCGGATGCCCTCTTCTGGCAAAAAGGTATACATGCAGATAGAGCATACATATAATAAAATAAAATTAAAAAAATAGCTAAACACATACACAAAATTGAAAGGGGACCAGTGCACACTTGAAGTTCCAATGAGACTACATCTACACAGTACAAAGCACTTAGACACACCTACGTAGGCAAAGTAAAGGCAGAGCCGGAATACGGGTCAAAAGTGAATCTGGCCGGGCAGTGGTGGCGCACGCCTTTAATCCCAGCACTCGGGAGGCAGAGGCAGGCAGATCTCTGTGAGTTGGAGGCCAGGCTGGACCGACAGTCTCCAAAACAATACAGAGAAACCCTGTCTTGAAAAACCAAAAAAGTGAATCTGTTCTGGCCACACATACCCCAAAAGTAACATCAAAAATACTATTACAGTGTGAAGTAAACATCAAACATGTTGAAAAGGAATACATGGATTTTGTCTTTGGACTTTCTGGCTTTTGTAATGTTGGGGAAAGAATCCTGAGCGTTGCACATGCTAAGAAAAATCTCCATCACCGAGTGATAAAAGTTGCCTTCTGATTTTAGATTTTAAGGAAAATCTCGATATATGGAAAATTATGTGTTTCTTAATGTTTCCAATTTAGGTTGAATTTCAACAGGCAAGCCTTAGCAAAAGAATTATGATTTATCAAACTGTTAGGTAGCAAAGCAGTAAAGGAACACATCTGTCTCTATCTAATCACTTGACAAAATACAACGCTGCTCAGTACAGAGATACTAAATAACGAATATTGTGTCAACAAGAATTTACATATTATTCCTGAGCAGTTTCTAAAGGTCTCATCAAAACAGTCATCTCTATTACACATTGTTTTAAAAATGCTAGAAAATGACCAGGGCTTCAGGGCTTCTAAAGATTCAGAAAGATACCCTACAGTGGAGAGGTCCCAGAGGGCCTCATACCTGCTCCAATTCCAATTGCACTCTTCTGTCCTGCTATTTCTTGTCTCAGGGCACAGAGAGAAGCTTCTCGTACCAAAGCAGAGAGGTCTGCGCCCCTGTAAAAAACAAAGAGTTCTTATGTATTCTAAAAGCCAAGAGAGATGTTCAATTATAATATACTTAAAGATGAAAGAGCAATGAAGGAGGTGAGACAAACTGACTAGGATCAGCAGGAAAGAGATTTTAGCTTTCACTCAAAGGAATTTTTAGCCTTCAGAAGAAAGGGATTTGTGGAAGGTGTGATATAATGAAAAATAAAAAGGTCCTTCCTTTTAGCCATAGAGACTTATGTAGATATAAAACATCCACCCAGAGGGTACGATGACATGTACGATGACGTGAATTCAATTCTTGGAAAACACATTTAAAAAAAAGAAAGAAAGAAAGAATGAATGAATGAAAGAATAAGAAAGGAAAGGAAGCCAGGCGTTGGTGGCACACGCCTTTAATCCCAGCACTCGGGAGGCAGAGGCAGGTGGAACTCTGTGAGTTCGAGGCCAGCCTAGTCTATAGAGAGAGTTCCAGGACAGCCTCCAAAGCCATAGAGAAACCCTTGGAAGTAAGTTGCATTGCTGAGCAACAGCTCTGAAACCCTCAGCAATGAAATACTGACTCACTTTCCTTAATGTTTGTGGCAAGTCCAGTATTATTTGGCCTTGCTCTAGAAGCAAATATCAAGTACCAAAGGTGTTAGGGACAAACAATAGGGCTTCAAAATAACAGAGTGGCTGAAGGGAGGGTCTCAGCTAACCCTTAACAAGAATACATAAAAGCTGAAGGCAGAAACATCAGTTGTCATGCTGCTGTTGCAGGCTCAATGCATACATGTGTGCAGGGAGCACAGTCTGGCAGACTAACCTCTGCTGCACACATGTACCTAAGGAATATACTATCCAGCGAGAAATGGCTTTCCGGATGCTGAAAGAACTAACAGTGAAGGGTGGCAAAGTGGTCAGGCAAGCTTGAGTGCCAATAGCAACATCTATGTCAGGAATTCAGCATCCAAGGCAAGTAAGCTATCCTCTGAGAGGGAGGCAGCAAGAACCAGCCAGGCACTAGGTAAGGTGATACACAGAAAACCTCATTAGCTTTTCCAACAACCTGAGAAATGGGCATCTTTTCCTTTCCTGTTAATGAAGAAACTATACTCCAGAGGGTTAAGAGACCAGAGACTTCAATACTCACGTATAGCAATTACAACGAGGGTCATTGGCAATTGCTTCCAAATTTACATCTTCAGCCAGGGGTGGCTTGGTGCCATTCTGAAGAAGAGAGAAAGATGAGTTTTTTCTGAGGCGCTCATGACTTACATGCATCCGCTTCACTGGTTCTTAATGAAGCAGAAAGGCCTGTGACTAAGGGAGTAGAGCCAACTCCAAAATCAATGTAGAGGGAGCACCACAGAGCTGAATCTGGAGAGTTAGAGTAAGACGCAGACTGATGTGTGACAAGTTCTAAAGGGGAACCACTGGTGAAGTCAGAGGAATTTGTGTTATGAGACTGAGAATAACACTGAACGCAACTTGTAGAGAACAAAAGGAGCCTGCTCTACACAGGACCCAAGATTTTTTTTTTTCCTGAGACAGGGTTTCTCTGTGTACCTTTGTTTTGTAGACCAGGCTGGACTTGAACGCACAGAAATCTACCTGCCTTTGTCCCCCTTAGTGCTAGGATTAATGGCTGTGTGCCACCACCGCCGCTAAGATGTTGCTTTTAATCCCTCACCTAAACCCCAACCTTGACACTGAATGTTTCCGACGGACCTGTATTTTACTTCTTACTCCATTCAGACAGGATCTGATGATCAAAGACTTAAAGACACAGGGAACACGATTACAGTGATATCTGATAAGACTGGTTGAATATTAACTCTAACCCTTCATTTAGCTTACCTTCATTTTGAGTAGGAAAAATGAGAATGGACAGTGTGTTTAGTGAAAAAGCCAGCACACATTGGGAGATGGAGGCCTGGTAAATATTTAAGCCATAGAAAATCATCAGCTAACGTAAATTACTACTGGTGTAACTTTAAAGGTGATATCGGCAGGGCTAGAGAGATGGCTCAATGGTCTTGCAGAGGACCTGGGTTTGGTTCCCAGCATCCACACGAGGAGGCTCACAACTGTGAGTCACCCCAGTCCCAAGGATGTGATTCCTTTTGACCTTATTAGGCAACTTCTTACATGTAGTGCACATAAATTCATGCATACACACATATACATAAATACACTCTTAAAGGATATAAACATAACAAAAAAGTCATTTCTTTTACTCACTTTTGTGATAGTCTTTAATATGGCAACACGGTCTGGTGGGGGTGGCAAACCTACAAAGAGCGTTTTGTCCAGCCGGCCTGGGCGCAGAATGGCAGGGTCAATGATATCTAGAGAAGAGAGAAAAACAGAAATAAAGTTTTGTTGTTGTTTTTTTAATGTTATTAGTGAAAGTCAGAGTTCCTTTTGAAAAAAAGCTAAAAACTGTGGTCAATTGAGTATTATTAAAGTGAAATGGCAAGAATTAGGACCTAAGTTCAAATCCCCAGAATTCACATAGGAATCTAAGTATGGCAGCAACTGTCTATAATATCAGCACTGGGAAGGAAGGGATAAGAGGATCCATGGTGCTTGCTGGTTAGCCAATCAAGTCATAGCGAGTTCCTGGTTTGCTGAGAAATCCTATCTCAAAAAACAAGGTGAAGATTGAGGGAAATACCCTATGTTGTCCTCCACACACATGCATGTACACCCACATACAGATTTCATGCCCTCCCACACACAAATCAAAGGCTACTACTTAGCAAAATGCATCCAACTATCTTATGTTTCTTTGTGATCCCGGCTCTTAGTAGCTACAGCACAGTGCTGAGCTTCACAGTGCCACAAACAGCTAACTATAAAATTTCCTGACTTCTCCACCAAGAACCCATTTATTTGTAAACAAGATCTTTTCAACACACCAAGACGGGGAGTGTAAGAAATATCAATGGTTAAAACCAGTGTTTATGCAAGCAAATCTAACTACCCCCTCCCCGAAACATACAAGGAAAATTCTACTGTGTCCACTTACATTTCATACTTTTTTTTTTTTTTTTTTTTTTTTTTTGGTTTTTACGAGACAGGGTTTCTCTGTATTGTTTTGGAGGCTGTCGGTCCAGCCCGGCCTCGAACTCACAGAGATCCGCCTGCCTCTACCTCCCGAGTGCTGGGATTAAAGGCGTGCGCCACCACCGCCCGGCTACATTTCATACTTTTAACTATGCTTTGCAGATGTTCATGCCCGGCTCCCCCACCCCCGGTTAAGTTTTCTCCCAGTACAGGGCAAGCTGAAGGCCTTGTGCATGTAAGCAAGCGCACCATTTCTAAGCGAATTACATTCCCAGCCCTTTCCCTAGCAAGTCTTCTGGAGCATCCTGGCTCATGGCAGATTTTCTTAGTTCTTTACCTAGGAATGCATTCTGAAATAAAAGTTTGTTGGATACACAACTGCAATCCTGACACCTAGGAGGCCAAGGCAAGAGAACTGCCAGTTTAAGGCCAGCATGAGCTACATAAAAACACCGTCTCAAACAACAAAATACGGCAAAGCCATCAATATACATTTGGTACACTAATGAGGTGACCTGTGATGAGTCCCAAGATACCACTAGGATGAGGATCAGTCATAACACGGGCCAGAAATGGAATCAGTGTTCAAATTTTCAGTCATACCCTCTCTGAATTCTGGGGAAAAGCCCAATTCAATTATGTGGCTAATGAGTTAATTTAGTATGTCTCTGTGATAGTTTGAATGCTTAGGGAGTGGCACTATTTGTTGAAGTGGGTGTGGCCATGTTGGAGGAAGTGTATCATTGGGGTGGGCTTGAGGGTTCCTCCTACCAATGGACTGGATATAGAACTTGTAGCTACCTCTTTAATACCATGTCTGCCTATGATGACAATGCACTAACCCTTTGAAACTGTAAGCAAGCCTTTCTTTTGTAACACTTGCCATAGTCATAATGACCCTTCAAAGCAATAGAACATTAAGACAGTGTCCATAATGAAGTCCCAATAAAAATTCTGGCCCCTGAAGTTTAAGGAAAGTTCCCAGTTAGTGAAATTCTATACTTTTCCCAGACTAGGTACCATGTAGATCCTTCGAAACAAAATTGTAATATTACTTGAGGTCTGACAATTGTTTTAGCAAATTGCTGAACTCGAGAGTCATGGGAATTCCCAAGCTCAGGAGTACAGCTGTCCCAAGAACACTGCTTACAGCTGGCATTGAAGTGGTACAGTCCTGTGAGGACTGACTTACTGAGTAAGTGAGGTCTGGTAAATACCAGAATTGCCTTACAGTCCACTTAGTTGTTGGCCAGTACAGGACAGGTTGTAATAACAGTGTTTGGTAGGTCTTATTATCACTTATTGACAACACACTAAGAAATGAAGTCCAAGGGGGAGGGAAAGGGAGAGGGACCTGGAACTGACTTGTGAAGCAACCTTGTTTCTTATCTAAATTTAAACTGAAAAATAAATAAAAAAAGGAAAAAAAAGAAAAAGAAAAAAGAAATGAAGTCCTACAGCCAGTACTCAAGCCCAGGTCTGTCGTGATCACATTTTTTATTTTTCAACAAAGTGAGACTAGAAACCATAACTTTCCATTTTTCATTAAAAATGAAATGGTGGGTACATCATCAAAGGTTGGGTTTCTATAGTAACTTCCTCCAAAAGAAAACTTACACCAGTTAGACAACTGAGAAATCCATGCAAAGGACCAAGTAAAGAGTTCATATCTGTAATCACAGTACTTAAAGAGGCTGAGGCAGAGCCTTCCAGGGCTATTTTGTGAGACCCCATTTCAAGAAAACAAAACAAATCAAAACCAAACCCTGCCATCATACCTGATGGGGCTGGGGAGACGACTCAGGGGTTAACAGCGCCTGGCGCTTGCACAGCACCGGAGTTTGGACCCCGATAGCAGTGGCAGGTGACTCACAAGTGCCTGTTAACTCACAGTCTCCTGGCTAGCAGACAGCTATCAAAGCATCACAGCAGACTGACTATCAAAGTCTGGATTGCAGGGAGGGCAAAGGTTTAAAAATACGAACAGAAATTAAGAGTAAAAAAGAAAAGCTAATTTTAGCACTGTGAAAGGTTTTAGTCTTTTTTTTTTCAAATCTGACAGAATGCTTAAGCTTGAAAACCATTTTAAAATCAAGGTGTAAGCCAATATTGAGGCATGCCTCCAGTACACAGGGGCCCCTGGAACTGGCTGTGAGCAGCTGCTGGGAACTAAACCCGAGTCCTCGGCAAGAGCTCAAGTGCCTTTAGTCTTTAGCCTCCGAGTCTTCTCTCCCGCCCTAGCTTTCTTTATTCACCTGCCTAGCGAGGTTGCCGCTCACGTCAATTAACACTCAACATAACTCTTACAGACGTGGCCAACGACTGATCTCATCTGAGCAACCAATTAGTCAAGTGAAGCTCCCTTTTCCCAGGTGACTCTAGGTTGTGTCAAGTTGACAACAAAAACAACCAGCACAGAAGTCAATAGAGAAAACAATTTCAGGATCAGAAAGTGCTTTTCTTTAAATGTAAAGAGATTTATTATTATTTTATGTGTATAGTGTTTTGCCTGCAAATATGTCTGTGCATCACATGCTTGCAGTGGGTCCCCTGGGAACTGAGGTACACACAGCCGTGTGCTGCCCTGAGGGTGAGTGTTCTGAACCGTGGAGCCATCTCTCCAGCCCCAATGTTCTTTACTGCAGCATCCACAAGAGCTGTTTAAGTTATATTTCACTTTATGAACTCATTTGTGTATTCTTCTTTCTTACCTGGCCTATTAGTGGCAGCCAAAATAAAAACTTGCTGACGTGTTTCCAGCCCATCCATCTCTGTAAGCAGCTGATTCACCACACGGACACTAGCACCTGTCTACAAAAACAAAAATAAAAATCTAGTTCCATCACCTCCAACATAAAGAAAGCAGCCTCCTTCCTCCATTTCAGAATGTACAGAATACATTTACTAACTTGAATGAAAACTTCTGTTGAAGAAAGATTACAGTGACTGAACAGCAGCATGAACCCAGAAGTCCCAGGTACTCAGAGGCTAAGGCAAGAGGACCGCCTAAATCTAGGAATATGGGGTCACTGTGAACAACAAGGAGACTAATTTTAGAAATGTAAAATAAAGAGAGAGGGAGGAACAAAGTGTGGACGGGAGGAAACGAGGAAGGAAAGGAGGAGGAAGGCAGGCAGATGGGCACCAATGACGACTTCTTAAAGAGCACTACATACTGATACTGTGCAAAACACAGTATCAGTGCATTCCCAGCAGTTACTACTCAGTCCGAGTGAGGCTATTTGTCTCTGGGAGTAGCTCTACACAGGGGAAGAGATGACAACTCACACCTGAATCTTATGCTTCTGAATTATTTAGTAGTTACCATGAACCTCCATGCGGGCAAATCTAAATTCAGCTTCTAGGCTCTAGATTTCTGCCTATGTTGTGTCCCATATCTTTCAATAGATACAGGAATATTGAATACGTTAAGATTTCTAGCTCCTTTTTGAAGCAACGGGTACAGAATATGGCTATTCAGGGAAACACCCAAGAGAATGGATCAGGAAGTAAGTATAGGGTTACAGAGATGTGGAAACATGGCAACAGAATACATAAACAATGAAGATTATGAGCAAGTGGTGCTGTGCATCTTTTATTATTAATTGCTTCCTTCAACATAAATTTATGTATAGACATAGCAATGAGCTTAATTCCATCAATTCTTTTAGAAGGATGCATTTGTGGGGACATTGTACTAATAATTAAGACGTTAACAGACTCATAATGTAGACTCAATAATATCAAGAATTACTACATTTTAGCCAAGTGGTGATGGTGCATGCCTTTAATCCTAACACTCGAGAGGCAAAGAAAGATGTATCTCTCTGAGTTTGAGGCCAGCCTGATATACATAGCTGTTGTGGAATATTCCCTTTACACTGTGTGAAGATGTGTCACTGTGACTGGTTTACTAAAGAGCTGGATGGTCAACAGCTAGGCAGGAAGAGGTTAGGCAGGATTTCTGGGGATAGAGAGGACACAGAGAAGGAAAAAGGCAGGGTTCTAGTCAGACATAGAGGAAGCAGCATGGGCAGTACAGAGATGAGGCATCCAGCCACAGGACAGAATGTAGAGAAAAATAAAGGGTTAATTCAAGCTATAAGAGCTAGTGGGCCAAGTCTAAGCTAAGGCCAAGCTTTCATAATTAATTAATTAGTCTCCATGTCATTATTTGAGAGTTTACAGTACAAAGAAAGACTTGCTACACACAGTAAGTTTCAGGACAGCCAGGGCTACACAAAGAAACCCTAAGAGAGAGAGAGAGAGAGAGAGAGAGAGAGAGAGAGAGAGAGAGAGAGAGAGAGAGAGGGAGGGAGGGAGGGAGGGAGGGAGGGAGGGAGGGAGGGAGGGAGGGAGGGAGGGAGGGAGGGAGGGAGGGAGAGAGAGAGAGAGAGAGAGAGAGGACTCATTTGTCATTGGAGCTCCAGGTGCAGTAAGAGACCATGTCTCAAAAGCTCAAAAGGAATAAGTGAAAGAGTGAGGAGCGCCAGGCGTTGGTGGCGCACGCCTTTAATCCCAGCACTTGGGAGGCAGAGGCAGGCGGATCTCTGTGAGTTCAAGACCAGCCTGGTCTACAGAGTGAGTTCCTGGACAGCCTCCAAAACAATACAGAGAAACCCTGTCTCGGAAAAAAAAAGAAAAGAAAAGAAAGAGTGAGGAGCAGGACACCTGCCTGACATCCTCTGTGAACACACACACACACACACGCACACGCACACACGCACGCATAGGCATACATGCCTGTATACAAGAAGCATACATTACATCACTCACATACATGTACAAATCCATTCAAAGACAAAAATTTAAAACTATCCTCCTCAATCAAGAGAAAAACTACAGAATCTACAAAGGACTGTAACAATAAGCTAAAATTATAATACTCTTTCACAAAAAAAGGTTAAGTAATAAGACTGGAGAACAGATGTTAGGCCTAACTAGAAAAGGAACCAATTTTCACTACATATAACCTCTAATCAAACATTCCAGGGGGGCTGGACAGAAGGCTCATCGGTTAAGAGCACTGGCTGCTTTTCCAGAGTTCAGTTCCCAGGACCTACTTGACAGCTCACAACTGTCTGTAACTTCAGTTCCATGAGATTTCATACCTTCACACAAATGCACATAAAATGAAGTTAAATACATTATTAAAAAAAAAAGAAAGAAAGAAACATTTCAGGAGTAAGAAGGTCAAAGTGTACCTGATATTATCAAGTAAGTTATTAATGACAAAAGACAAATTTACTGAAAATGATCAACCTTTCCAGAAATCAAGAACACGTACACAAAATATGTTTAGTTAATAAAATTGACTAAATAAATAAATAAAGGGTCCAGATTATTTTTAGGTTGACAAGGTGTAGAAAATGGTTAATTTAACACATTGTTCTTGGTTATTATACAACTGACAGATTCTGTGAAATATGTCATAGTATTTGCTATATTTCAATATCTAAGTCTAATGTATATACATCTTCAGCCATGATCCACAATTCCCAAATTCTAGTCCACATTATTTGTATATATGCACAAACATAGCAGATATAAATGCCTGAGAAAGTTCTGTCTGCAAAGGAAATACCCAGAAGAAATATAAATGCCCAAAAGCAAGGCATTATCAAAAACCCTGCTCTAGCTAGACTGTATACAGGTATACAACAGGTAAAAATGAAACAAACCATCAAGATAACACATCCACACTTACACATAGAAGGAATTTTAAATTGACACATGGAGCATGCCACATGTCAGCACCAGCAACTTGTAAGAAGAGTAATGAGGTGAAAGGAATTTCAGAAATGTGACTTATATGAATTTTTATGTAAAAACCCATTGATAACTTACTTCTCGGTCTGATCTTCGAGGACATAAAGCATCCACTTCATCAAAAAATATCACACAGGGTGCTGAGTTCTTGGCCCGCTGAAAGACCTGTCGCACGGCACGTTCACTTTCTCCAACATACTAAACACGTATAGAAAGTAGATAAAATGGAGAGATGGTTCAATTGTGGGGCTAAGTACCAAATGACAGTAATAGTAGTTTTCCGTCATGTAGATCTTGTGTATTTATATATTTAAGAATATTACACAACAATTAAAGAAAAAGAGGCCATGAATTTAAGAAAAAGTAAGCAGAGGGAGAGTGGCTGGATAGAGGAAAGGGATCAGATATAATTATATTTTAATCTAAAAAGTATTTTTAAAAATACTTGAAGTCATATATATGTCAAGAGTTCTAAAAAGTACTATATTAAACCATGTGCAATTGCTAGTATTAAATCATTTTGGCATATAAAAACAGGCAGTTGTCCTGTATATGGTGGCATACCCCTCTAATCTCAGTATTTGGGAGAGTGAGACAGGAGGACCACTAATTTCAAATTAGCCTGGACTACACAGCAAAGCCCTCTCTTAAAAGACAGCTGTGGGGCAGTGGTGACACACGCCTTTATTTAATGCCAGCACTCGGGAGGCAGAGGCAGGCAGATCTCTGTGACTTCAAAGCCAACATGGTCTACAGAGTGAGTTTCAGGACAACCAGTACTACACAGAGAGAAATCCTGTCTCAAAAAACAAAACAAACAAAAGACAGCCAATTACATCTTTATTTGTAAAATGAAGACTAAATAGAATATAAAATCTCTAGTTAAAAAAGAAACCCCATAATTCTATTGTAGCCTAAAACCAATTTCCTATTTCTTATACGGTAAAATACTCAGGAATAAATTCTCAGGAATAATTGTTACTTATCCAACAGTATTTTGAGACACACAAATCAAATTGATGTCTACTCCCATATATAAACATATTCTTACTAAAAGAAGAAAAAATGTATATAGCAACAGTGGAGTCAGGGTGAATGCACTTGGCATCTCATAAATTCACAATGGCTTATTCCATGTTAAAATCTAAACCCTGTCTCACAAAACAAAACAAAAAAAAGTCAAGCGTACCGAGAGAGAGAGACAGAGGCAGAGACGAGACAGATCAGACAAGGGCTGAGATTTCTATCCTTAACAGTAGAAAACTATGAAAAGACTGGAGTAGCTAATGAGAGAGCAGACTCAGCTTGCTCAGAGCCCTAGATCTGATCCTTGGCACCCAAAGAAAGAGTTTTGTTTGAACAAGTAGCATGAATATAATGCTAATCTTCACTGTCAACTGGACTGGATTTAGAATCTTCCAGGAGTTTGTGAAGATGTCTGAGGGCTTTCCAGAGAGAACTGAGTAGAGAAACTCCACAAGAAAGAGAGGTACCATCTCATGGTGCAGAATCTAAGCTGTTCCACCATGCTGTCTCTATCATGGTGGCCAGACCGTCCACAACAATGAGAATACACCCTTTCCTCACGCTGTTTCTGTTACTGTGTCAGGTCTCGAGCTGCACCACCCTGAACATAACTGATTTCATTTGTTAGTCTGTCAGAATGACAAGAAAACAAACTAACACAATCTATTTTTGTTGCTGCTTAAATATGTTACAAACACTGAATAATCTTTTTTATTATACATATAGGTGACAGAAAATAAGAAATTCAGTGCAGAAGGCACAGCATTTCAGTAATTTCTTTGTTCTAAAGTACTTTTATTTAATTTGTATATAGCTCACCGAGCCACACAACATGAATTCAAACTTCAACCTTACTCAAATATTCCAACTGACAAACCCTGCCAATTACAAAGCTTTTCTACAGTAAGCATCCCTTAACTGAACTGCACCACAGAGGAGAAATAACTCAGAGCTAGGAGATAGCTCCGTTTATAAGTACTTCAACCTTACTCCAATATTCCAACTGACAAACCCTGCCAATTACAAAGCTTTTCTACAGTAAGCATGCCTTAATTGAACTGCACCACAGAGAAGAAATAACTCAGAGCTAGGAGATAGCTCCGTTTATAAGTACTTCCACACATGCGTGAGAGCACAAGTTCAACTCCTGGCACCCACTGAAAAAGCTGGGCACTTGGGAGGCAGAGAAGGCACATTCCTGGGGTTCATAGGCTAGTTGCATAGTCTCATGAGCCCCAGGTCCAATAAGAGACCTTGCCTCAAGACACAAGGTGAACAGCTCCACCCAAGGTAGACCTATGGCCTCCACACACATGGGTACCTATCTGTACATATGTATTCATATACATGTACACACACACACACACACACCTAATAACCATTTCCATTTTTAAAGGTGGAGAAACTCAAGTTCATATGTTAATAGACTTATTCAAGAAAGCATTTATAAATGCCATGTTACAGCAAGCTCAATCTTCCATCTCTACAACACTTTGTCAAAATGTCACAACTATTCAAAGAGCCTAGTGTTCCGAGTCCTATAATCCAACTCATCATGATTTATCTTAATTAAAATAATGGCTGCTGCCACAAAACTTACCATATTTAATAATTCAGGGCCTTTGACAGATATAAAATTTAGTCCAGACTCATTTGCCACAGCCTAGCCAGAATAAACAAAAAAGACACAAATAAGACAAATAGGAAAAAAAAACCCTTTCATACTTATTGAATTGACAAATATTGAAAGAAACTTTAAACAAGATGTAGCAGCATGTATACACCACTAATCCCAGCAATCAGGTGGCAGAGGCAAGTCACACCTTTGTGAGCTGAAGGCCAGTCTGGTCTACACAATGAGTTCCAGGTCAGCTATTTTAAATGGCCACTGCAAATTTCAGCTGTAAGATGAAACCTTCAGAAAGTCACCTTGATATACTTTAAAAAATGTAATGGGATTTCTGAGTCAAGGTTTCATGAGGCCTTAAACTCACTGTGCAGCAGAAGATAACCTTAAACTCCTGATCTCTGCATCTAGCGCCCAAGTACCGGGATTACTGGCATGTGCAACCATATCCAAAATCATAAACTACAAAACATCTCTATGGCAAAACACTATACAGGCATTAAAACCCTTTTAAATTTCACTATGTTTACTTATGTCTACATATGCATGTGTGTGGTGTGCACATGCTTTACAGCATTCTTGTGGAACTCAGAGGACAATTTGCAGGAGACAGGCTTTTCCTTCCACAACGTGGGTCCTAGGATTGAGCCCAGGCTATCAGGTCTGATAGCAAATGCCTTAACCCTCTCACTGGCCATCTCTTCAGCCCCAAATATTATAAACATTGTATTCAGGGGCTGGATAGATGGCTCACTGGTTAAAAGCACTGGCTGCTTTTCCAGAGGACCTGGGATTCCCACCACCCACATGGCAGTGGTGTAACCCTCTGTAACTCCAGTTCCAGGGTTTCTGATGCTTTCTTTTGATATCTCTGGGCCCCAGGCACACATACAATGCAGATGACATTAAAAAAAAAAATCGGAAAGATAGCGGAATGCTTGAGAATGCAAGTCGCCAGGGGCACATTCTGGAAAGATTTATCTGGTCTTCCTCTCTCTGCTTCCAAGCTGCCATGAGGTAAGCTACTTTCCTTTGTTACCCTTCTGCTACAGTGTTCTCTCTCACCACAGGCACAGAAACATGGAGCCACCAGATACTGGCCTAAAGTCTCAGAAACCATGAGCCGGAATATGTCGTCTCACCTTTAAGTTTTTTAGGCATTTGATAACATCAACAAGAGCTAAAAAACAAATTATCTTGCATTTATTATATCTTGACACGTATAAAAGAAAAATACCTGGGACTGACTACAAAACGAAACAGTGGTAGTAGAAAGCAGGTGTAGAATTATAAACATTTTCCCCTTCTGGTAATTTATACTTTCTATTGCAGAAAGTTTTTTTTTAATATTGTAAAGAACACAGTGAAAACACTCAAGTTATAATAATTAAACAAAAGTGGGGCTGGAGAGATGGCTTAGCGGTTAAGAGCACTGACTGTTCTTCCAGGGGACCCAGGTTCAATTCCCAGTACCCACATGGCAGCTCACAACTGTCTGTAATTCCAGTTCCAGGGGATCCGGCACCCATGGTCAATGTGCCAATTCACATAAAATAAATAAAGACAAAAAAATTAAACAAAAGCAAGAAATAAGATCAGTTACAAACTAAAGCTATGTAATAATACTTGGACAGTACAAAGATTAGAATGGCCCCTGGCAAAAATGGCTGGGGCTCATGAAATGTTCTGTAACTTCTTTCCCAAGAGTGAGGGTGCACAACCAATTAAAACCATTTTGTTCTGAAGAAGGACAAACAACAGTAGGAAATTTTACTGGAAAAAAACAACAACAACCAGTTTTGCTAAAATAGATTTCAAACAGAAAGTATACAAAGGATTTATCTCGCGATGTTATTTAAGTCTTTATTATCCTACTGAAAACAAGGAGGCAATGCAAGCAGCTGAACATGTACCATACCTTTGCCAGCAGAGTCTTCCCACAACCAGGAGGACCAGCTAGTAGGATGCCAGCTGGAGTCACCAAACCAAGAGTTCTGAACTGGTCTGGGTTGCGTACTGGTGCCTAGAAGAAACAATGCCAACAGTGACCCATGGCAGGTGCCTACTTTACACTCAATGTTCAAATGTATCTCATCTCTTATACTCAACCCTGACCGTGAGGTCTGAAAATGGGAGGGCCTGGCTGACCTCATGGTCACATGGTGACAAACAGGAAAGGCTCTCTTTTGTTTTCTTTCTTGAAACAAGGTCACACTATGTAGTCCTGGTTATCCTGGATCTTGATGTGTAGATCAAGCTTGTCTCAAGCTCAAAGATCTGTCCATCTCTATCTCATAAGAACAGGGATTAAAGGTGTGTACTATCACATCAAGCCAAAGTCACTATTCATAAGGAATTTATACATACATGTAAACTATAAGAATATATTAGGCCAAAAGATACAATATTTCATTGTTTTTTATCATTACAATGTGTGTGCCAATGCATGTAGATTGAAGGACTATCTCTGGTGTGTGTCCTTGCCTTTCACCTTGGGTCACAGTCTCTTTTTTCCTATTGTGTGTACCAAGCAGGCTGGTCCTTCTAGGGACCCTTCATGTCTCGGCTTCCAGCCTCTCTCTCGGAGTGTTTTAGTTATAGACAGTCTCTACTGCATCTGGTTTAACATGGCTTCTGTGGATACAAAGTTAGGCCCTTACCTTTGAATAGCACATGCTTTACCCACTGAGCTATTACCCCACACCAAGATAAACTATTTCAATATATTAAAATCAAGTTTTAGGAAATCAACCAAATCTCTAAGTTATGAAAATTCAGGTACAGCTTTCTCCAGGAAATGAGGAGATGGCAGACCTTGCACAGTCAAGTGTCACACACACACACCTGTTCTCTGCAATTCTAGAGTATGCTCACTTTTGGTAGTCCATACCTCTTAAATGGATCATATTCAATTAAAATGGTCAATAAGCATGAAAGTAAAAGTAAACTAAAATCAATCTACAGTTTCATGGTTGTCAAAACTGCATTGATCCAAGATAAGAAGGTGGTTTTCACACAAATTGGTCTTGAATGAAACCTGGATTTGTTTTTCTTGAACTCACTATACAGAAGCAAACAGAATCAAAATAACGAGTATGATATCAAGAGAATGACAGACTTAAGAAAGATGACAACTGAGACTGAATTTCCTATTATAATATTTATTTGGGGGCAATAGAGATAGTTCAGTGGTTAAGAGCACTTATTGCTCTTGTAGAGAACCTAGTTTAATTTCCCAGCACCCACAAAAGGTGGTTCTCAACAATCTACAACTCTAGTTCCAGGGGACCTGATATCTTCTGAACTCCACCAGTACTAGGCATGAACATGTACACATATACACCTAGGCAAAACACTCATACACATCAAATAATAAGTCAAAAATTGTTTTAAAAAATATAATCCGGTAGACATGCAGGCAGGATTTTTTTTTTAAAGATGTTAACTCATGACCAATGCCAATGACACTGACAGCTGATATACCTACCAATATTGCCATTATGAGCTCTTCTCTAATATCTTCCAGGGCACCAATATCGGCCCATGTCACATTAGGGACAGTTACAAATCCTTCTCTTTTAGCAGAAGGCTGGACTTCCGATAGAGCAACAATGAAATCATTTAATTCAATGCATAGTCCTTGCATCTGTTCCTCTGAGAGGGGATCTTGGTCTCTTAGCAACCTCAATAGCCTTTGCAAGTCATCCTTTAAGACAATAGTTAAAGGAAAAAAGTGTGAATCACAAAAAGTTAAATGTAATTTAAATAATTATTCCAAGATTCCCTAAGTTAGTCAATTTAATAAACTTCTATATATTGTGATCATTTCTTCCTCTTTTACACAAGACATAACCACTTCATTCTAAGTAGATTCTGTATTTGGTTAAATAAAGATAAATCCATTATAACCAAGATAAGTAAATATAATTTCTAGGCCAATATTAGTGGCCCATGCCACTCAAAGTCATCCTCAGCTAATATATAAGTTTGGAGGCCAGTATAGTCAAACAGGGGAGAGAGAAGAGAGATTGATTTGATATTAAAGATGTTTCTAAATCTTAAACTAGGGTTAGATAATGTAAACATAGGCAGTTGGCCAATAACCATTTTATCAATTTCATTTCATTTCTAAATTTTCATAAAGCAGTTGACTTAAGAAAAGTCACTCTGGTAGTAATATAAAGTCATTATAAGGCTCTATAACACCTTACCAATCAAATACACAGTAGGTAACTTTCCTACTCCAATGAATCTTGAACTGCAAATTCAACTGCTTTGTGACGAACGTTAAAGAACAGAAACAAACCCCCCTCCTTACCCCCATCTCTGAGACAGATTTTCTCTTTGTAGCTCTGCAACCAGGCAGGTCTCGAAATAATAGATATCCACCTCCCTCTGCCTCCCAAGAGCTGGGGTTAAACATGTGCACCATCACTGTCTGGCAAATTTTCTTTGATTAATTCATGTGGATAGGTGTTCTGCCTACATGTAAGTGTGTGTACCATGTGTTATGCCTGGTGCCCAAAGAGGCCAGAAGAGGGTGTTGGATCTTCAGAGACTGAAGCTATGGACAGCTGAGAGTTGCCATATGGGTTCTGGGATTTGAAAAGAGCGATTTACCAGTAAGCCATCTCTCTAGCCCGTTTAACTCTTTCTTCATTCTGTAACCAATATCTACACATATCTATGATGTTGATATATTTACTGTGTGCTTTGTGCTAGGAAAGGTAATACTAGTAACTAAGATACATAAAAGAACCTGTGTTTGACTCAGCCAGATTATCAAGGTAGGTAAGATTATATAGCAAACTGCTGCCATTTAAACCACATTAGGGCTGGAGAGGTGATTAAGCACTAGCTACTATTCCAGGACCCAAGTTCAATTCCCAGTACTCACACTGCAACTCATAACTGTAACCCCAGTTCTAAGGAATCCACTGTCCTCTTCTGGTCTCTGTGTACACCAGGCATACATGTGGTGCACAGAGAAACACACAGGCAAACACTTGTACACATAACTTAAAACAAAACTAATACCTTACCTTGTGAACATATTATTCAAGAAATTCTGATATTTATAGTGTTCTCTTTTATTTCTACCCATAGTCTCACTCTAACAAGATCTTTAAATGCAGAACTTGATTTTTCATTGTTGTATCAAGCACTTAGAAGCATTCCTAATAAATTCTTACTAATAATGAACAAGTCATAACTGGATTAAAGCCCCACGTTTAAGCTAAATTCATATGGAAGCTAAATTGAACAAAGTAAGTTTAAAATGCAGATCTAGGGCTGGAGACGGCTCAGTGGTTAAGAGTAATTACTACTCTCATGGAGGACCCAGGATCGATTCCCAGAACCACAAGAGGCTCACAACCACCTGTAACTGTGCCTCCAGTCCCAGGGGATCAGAAGCTCTCTTCTGACTTGCATGGACAATAGGCACACATGCAGGTAACACACTCATACACATAAAACAATAAATCAGAAAATAAAAACGAAACAAAAATACAGCTCTACTTAGTAGAATCATGTGATAAATCTGATAAAATGCATCTTGCATTAATAGAAAGTTTATACCATTTGCTAGACTGTGTATGAAAATAGTTATTAACTGGAAATTGAGAAATTTAAATATTTTTAGCATTTTTGTGAAACTACACTTTTACAGATTAGAAAGCCTGCCATACACAGGGCAGTGGTGGCGCACACCTTTAATCCCAGCACTCGGGAGGCAAAGGCAGGTGGATCTCTGTGAGTGGGTCAGCCTGGGCTACAGAGCGAGCTCCAAGATGGCTAGAACTGTTACACAGAGAAAACCTTGGGGGGTGGGGAAGAGAGAGAGGGAGAGAACGAGACAGTGAGAGAGAGAGAGAGACAGAGACAGAGACAGAGAAAGCAAGCGCACCTGTGTTTCAGAAATGGGCTCAGCTCCCGGCCTCTCCTCCTGGGCTCCTTTAGGGGGCGAGCCTTCCATCTCAGGCAAACTCTTCTGCTGCCGCTCCTGTTGCTTCATCAAGACCCTGTGGACCGCACACATGGCTGCCTCTCGACAAAGCGCCATCAGATCAGCACCAACAAAGCCAGGTGTTAGGTGTGCTAAGTGACAAAAATTAAAAGTTTCTGGAAGTCTCAGTTTTCGGCACAAAGTTCGAAGTATTCTGTAGAAACAAAAGATTTAGACTCCTAGTCTAATAGTAAAAGCAAATTTCTATATTTATTTATTTGAAAGCTTATACTAAATTAATCCCTATTGATGGTATCATAATGAATGCTATATAAGATGAAACAAATTATTCACTCAATAAATGCCTAGTCACTACTACGTACCCAACTTTATTCCAGAAAAGCTTATATTAAATATGGGAACTATGTAATACATTATAAGGAATATAAGCACAGGTTTTTTTGTGTTTTTTAAAAAATACACTTTTAAGTGTTTTTCAATACTGTAGAAGAAAACAGCTTATGGGGATACTTTCAGAGTGAACAAAACATGTGCTTATCAGAAAAAAAACCTCTACACTCAAACCATACTTTTTTCCCCCTTGAAACAGAGTTTCAGTGTATAGCTCTTGTTCACCTACAACTGTAAAACAGGCTAATCTTAAACTCACAGACTGTCTCTGCCACCCAAAAACTACAATTAAAGCCATGTTCCTTTGTGCCAAGCTATAAAAATCACCTTCCCCAAGCATATACTCATTACACAAAATGAAAGTTTCATAGTGATTTTTTTGTTTGTTTGTTTGTTTTTCAAGACAGGGTTTCTCTGTGGTTTTGGAGGCTTTCCTGGAACTTGTTCTTGTAGACCAGGCTGGTCTCGAACTCACAGAGATCCGCCTGCCTCTGCCTCCCGAGTGCTGGGATTAAAGGTGTGCGCCACCAATGCCCGGCTCATAATGATACTTATCTTGATATTTCAAAAATCCAACATTGCAGGGGTTTGGATTTTTTTAAAGATTTTATTTATTTATTATGTATACAGTGTTCTAGAGGACACCAGACATTATAGATGGTAGTGGTTGCTGGGAATTGAACTCAGGACCTCTGGAAGAGCAGCCAGTGCTCTTAACCTCTGAGCCATCTCTCCAGCCCCAAGGGTTTGGATTTTAAGACATAGTCTCATACAACTCAAACACTGTATATAGTGAAGGATGGCCCTGCCTCTACCTCCCAAGTACTAGGATTACAGATATTGTCCTGGCTAATTCTGATCCCTCAGCTCGAGTTCTGCCGCAGTTTCCTGAGTGGAAGAGAGGGCAGTTTAGGTACATGATAGCTCTCTATTCATGTACGTTGGAAACAAAAGGTGGGGTTTGGGGTGTACAAAGAGGTGCCCCAGTGGTTTAAAGCACTTGCTGCTCTTGCAGAGGACCTGGGTTTGATTCCCAGCATCCACTGGCAACTCAGAACTGTCTGTAACTCTGCTTTCCAGGAGATCTGACATCCTCTTATAATCTCCGTGGGCATCAGCCCTGCATGTGGTGCACAGGCTCACACACAGTAAAAATAATTATATACACTAAATAGAGCTTTAAAAAAGATTTTTAAGGAAAAATAAACTAATGCGTTATCTTAAAACTTCACTTCTAGGGCTGGGGCAAGGTTCAGTGAAGGAAAAAAAAAAAGCACTCATCTAGTCGGCGCAAGACTCTTGAGTGCAACCCCCAGTATAGCACTAAATTTTTTTCTGTGTCAAGATTCTGTGCTAGGTTGCATTAATTCACTCTTCACAAGTCTTACAGCTAAGGCATTATTACTACTTTACATCTTTTTGATCATCATTTTTGTGTAAAGCTAAAGCTTGGCATGAGGACACTATGAGGCAGAGCTGGGATTACTTCCTAAGACTACAGGTGTGGACCACTGCACTGAATCACAGCCGAGACTACAGGTGTGGACTGCACTGAATCACAGCCGAGACTACAGGTGTGGACTGCACTGAATCACAGCCGAGACTACAGGTGTGGACTGCACTGAATCACAGCCGAGACTACAGGTGTGGACCACTTCGCTCAGCTGCTCTATACGTCATAAATAAATGAGTAATATAAATATTATTATTTTGCTGGAGATTATAAAAGCATTAGTAAGCTGACAATAAGCTTGTTTGAAGAATACATGTGAACATAAGCATCTATACAAATAATTATGAAGTCAACATCTTAGAAACTGTTGAACAGCAATTATTTTTAGAAAAACTAAGTGACATCTAACATTGGGAAGAAGAAAAGGATGGCACAGACCTATGGCTAAGTCTACTACACACAGTGCTTTCTGACTACAATCTTCACCTTTTTCTCCTCCCTTCCCTCTAAGGGAATGATTTCCTTTCATTATTAACTATTTTTCCTAAAAGTAACTAGTGATTATTTAGTATCACAACTACCACACAAAAAAAAAAAAACTATAAATGTTATAGTTCACAGCATCAATTCTACTACCTCTCTGGTTATCAGTTTTATTTTTGGTTCTTGGTGTACAGGTCATTGCTCTTTCCCCACCAATCACCAGGTAGAGTTCGTCAGCATCTTTTTAATGAGACCTCACAGTCTCTGGCAGACAAGTGCAATGGTATTCAAACTTAACTAGTATATGGACCAGATGGCACCACACTACTCCACAGGTACAGACACTCCCCCTTAGCTGATGAGCCAACTAAAACACACACTCCATTGACAGTATCAGACAAATAGTGATCAACAAACACAATGGCTATCACTACTGAACAACCAATCTAAAACAAATCTCCTATTGATGAGTGAGTTGTTCTGTTAAGCATTGTTTTCCTCCTTTCCAAATTGGTTTTAGAGAGAGAAAATGGAAAGAGAGCCTGGAAATCTAGCTCAATGATAGGTTGTGTGCCAACACATTTGCAGCCTTTAGTTCAATTCCCAAACCCAGAGGGGTTAAAAAAAAATAATAACAATGAGAAAGATAGAGTGCACTAGAGCTCGAATGAATGCTACACAGTATTTCTTAATATTTATTTATTTATTTATCTATTTTGGTTTTTTTTCGAGACAGGGTTTCTCTGTATTGTTTTGGAGGCTGGCCTCGAACTCACAGAGATCCGCCTGCCTCTGCCTCCCAAGTGCTGGGATTAAAGGCATGCGCCACCACCGCCCGGCTTCTTAATATTTATTTTTAAAACTATTTATTTTTATTGTTCAGCCCACATAGTGGTATATAACATCATTCTACAAGGATATACCTTTCTCTGGAAGCCTCATCTGGGATACCCAAGCATACTTCTCGGTCAAACCTTCCAGCACGTCTCAGAGCAGGATCCAACGAGTCTGGTCGGTTAGTAGCTCCAACAACTAGCACTCGAGCTGTAGCTGCCACATTATTCAGATCTAGTGAGAACCAGACATAAAAGAGAACAAGTCATCTGACATTTGAGGATAACAATGTTTACAAAATCATTAAAAGGTTAGAGAATTTGTGCAGTTTGATATATAATTTTTGTCTAACACAGTAAAAGTGTGAAGATAAAGATTACCTTTCTTACCAGCAATTTGCAGTCTACTGAGGAATATGACATGCATAATTAGGACAAGTTTCAAGGAGTTTAATAACAATCAGGATAAACCCAGCACTGAATAGAGCAAGGGAGGGAATGATGGAGGTTTCATAGAAACAAACCCTGCAGGAATGCTGGACAGCAAGCTTTGTTTCCATGAACAGAGCTAAGTTACTCAGGTTCTACAGAGAAGAGCAGCATGAGTGAAAGCACACAGGTGTACATGCAGGGCACAGCCAGACAGTGAGAGCGGCCCAGCAGAGGGCGATGAGGAATCAGCAATGTTGTCTCACAGGGATGGGAGAGGACCAGATGGAGGTACACAACATCCCAAGTTGTTCTGCCTTAACGTTAGAGACAGATTGTTAGGAACGGACAGAATACAGGGCTTAAATTTTATCTTTCACAAGTATCCTATCAGTTTTCTTTTGTAAGTATTCTGTCAGCTGAACCAGAATTAAATAGGAGAGAGTCTGGGTTATCCTGGTATTCAAATGATAAATACATTGTAAATAATGGAGCTAGTATTTGATTAGCAAGAATCTATGAAAAGCTGTTCTCAGCATGTAGGCCTCAAAAACATGGCAGAAAAAGATGAGATGAAATTGAAACAGCACAGGGTACTGGGGGTGTACTTCAATATTAGAGAGCTTACAGGACAAACACCAGGACCCAGGTTCAATCCCTGGCACTGCACAAAAGGAGAACTACAACAAGTAATTTACAATTTGGCACCATAAGAAACTCATAATAATGGGGCAGTGGTGGCATTTGCCTTTAATCCCAGCACTCAGGAGACAACAGGGACAGAACTCTGCGCATTCCAGGCCAGCCTGGTCTACAGAGTTCCAGAACAGGCTCCAAAGCTACAGAGGAACCCTGTCTTAAAAAAAAAACCAAAGCAAGAGAAAAAAAAAAAAAAATAAACCGGTAATATATACTATGTTATGTAATATTTCAAATTAACTTTCCTTTTGTATTTTTTGTTTTATTTTGAGACAGGGTCTCACTCTGCAAGACGAAGCTGTGCCAGAGATTTACCATGTAACCCAACCTAGCCTACAACTCAAGGCAATTACCCTGTCCCAGCTCAGCTTTCCATGTGCTTGGATAACAGATTATAGGAATATGACACCAAAATATGCGCTTTTCTTATTTTTGTTTGTTTGTTTTCGTGACACACCCCTGGCTGGATTATAACTCACTACACAGCCCATGTTGGCCTCGAACTCTATGTGGAAGCATTGGTAGACATGCTTGAATATGCACAGTAACCCTAAGACTATTATTAACAGTTGACAAGTGGTGGTCATAGGGTTAGAGGGGTGACTCAGCAGTTAAGAGCACACACTGTCCTTCAGAGGACCCAGTTTGCTTTCAAATGCCCGGGCCTGAGGACTCAGAAAGACCCGTGACTGTAAGGGGTCTTATGGCCTCCTCGGCAATGCAAATCTCCACACAGCCACATATTAAATATACTGTTTTGTAGAAGGGGAATGGAGACAGGGATTAACTCTGTAGCTCTGGCTTCCTGGAACTCGCTCTGTAGACCAGGTTGGCCTTGAACTCACAGAGATCCACCTGCCTCTGCCTCCTGAGTGTTGTTGGGATTAAAGGCACCCACCACCACACCAGGCCAAAAAGTAAAAACATTTTTCTAAGAGATTAATATAAATGCATTAAAATGCTAAAATTTTAATATTTCTCTCCCAATGATATCCTTAAGGGAGAACAGTAGGTACCCTGAAATTGTAGACAGCAAACGCAAAATAATAGTAAATGCACATTTAATTACTACAGAGTTGGGATGATGGCTCGGGTACAAACGTGCTTGGCACATAAGCATGACGTTCTGAGTTCAATTCCCAGAACCCACATTTAAAAAAAAAATGCACGTATCATGGCACACTTGTAATCCCAGTGCTGGGGAGATGGGGACAGGCAGATCCCGGGGGCTCACAGGCCAGCCAACCTAACCTATTTATCAAGCACCAAGCCAATTCAACTAATGATGTCATCTGAAGTTAACCTCTGGGCTCCCTTCTCACATACACTTACTTGTATAGACTCCTGGTACACACATGTGCACCAACAGAGATACATACACACACACAGTGCAAAACAATTTAAAATGACTGTAAACCTTCTACAAAAAAAAATCCCATTTTGTGAGATTCACTATTTAAATGGTCCATACATGCATGTATGACTTGTATTACTTTAAGAAATATGTTATCTTAAAACATCCATTATTTTAAACTGACCATCCATGCAGGTTAGAAGCTGGGCTACAATTCTTCGTTCCATATCTTTTGAAGCAACTTCTCTTTTGGGGGTGATAGCATCAATTTCATCAATGAAAACAATACAGGGTGCATTTGACTAGAAATGAAAATACCATAAAGATGTGACTATACAATAAATTCTCTATATTGGTGCATAACATTTACATATTCTTTAGAAAGTGAAAGCTCAAGGATCAGTCATCAAAGAATAACCATGGAGAAGGCTGTTCACAAAAGTTGCTTCTGGTTGCTGTGTCCCAAGAGAACCATGATGCTTATAGAACAGAGGGCATTCACGGTTTGTGAAATACCTTCTGAAATTCTCCTATAAGTTAGATATGTTTGTATGCTACAGAATATAAGCAGTACATTTAGAAGCTTTAAACTAAGCACAGTGGCACATGCTAATAATTCTGGCACTTGGAAAGGTCAAGACTTCAAGAACACCCTAGGCAACACTTCTAGCTCTAAGCCAGGTTGGCTAGATGAGATCCCATTGAACAAAACCAAAATAAACTAAGTTTCAAACTAGAAAATCCAAGTTTGCTCAAATGATAGCAGTTTTTCTCTAACATAAAAAATGTCAGAATTTCGCCAGATGGCGTTGATGCACGCCTTTAATTCCAGCACTCAAAGGCAGAGGCAAGCAGATCTCTGTGAGTTTGAGACCAGCCTGGTCTACAAGAATTCCAGGACAGCCAGAGCTGTTACACAGAGAAACCCTGTCTCAAAACCAAAAAAGGAAATAAAATATACTAGACACTTAAGTTTAGACAGAATATATATATATATTAAAATAAAGAAACACCGGCCAGGCAGTGGTGGCGCACGCCTTTAATCCCAGCACTCGGGAGGCAGAGGCAGGCAGATCTCTGTGAGTTCGAGGCCAGGCTGGGCCGACAGCCTCAAAAACAATACAGAGAAACCCTGTCTCGTAAAAAACCAAAAAAATAAAAAATAATAAAGAAACACCAGCCACTTATTATAGTTACATCCACTGAGGCATACAGTAGTGAATAGTGTTTGCTAGGGACTGGGGGAGGGTGGTGGAGGGAGCTCCTGTATATCAGCTACAGAATTTCAACTGGTGAAGATGAAAAGGTTCTAGAGGTGGGTGGTGATGACTGTTACACAAATATTTAAGTATAGTGTAAGGAAGACAGCTTGCCACAAAGAAGAACCAGAGTTTCCTGGGAATTACAAGGTAGAGAGAACTGGTTCCCACAAGTTGTCCTCCGACTTCTACATGGGCACATGTGTGTACGACCCCACCCCCATAAATAAATGTAATAAAAACACTTATTCTGAGTGGTACACTTTAAAATGGATAAAAGGGGCAAAACAGTGGTTCATGCTGATAATTCCAGCACTGAGGCGGGAAGATTGCTATGAGTTTGAGGGCAGCCTGGAGTACAAGCCGAGACTCTAACTTAACAATGACAACAAAGAGACTAACAGAGTAAATTTTATACAACATAAATTGTAACACACACACACACACACACACTCCAATAATAAGGATTAAGTGGGAAAAAAAATGAAAACCTAGACTTAAAACCTCAAACATACTTAGTCACTCCATAGTCAAAATAGAGACATTTATTGTGCTAAGTCACACAAGATCACCTCAAAAGGACACACAAGTGACTACTGGCTTTCTTCCCCAATCTTCCTCATGACAATGTTTGCAAAGAAAGATCAATTACAAAAGTAAAAGTTCAGAGCAAAGGTCTCAGAAAGTAAACCCATTATTTTTTGTCAGTGACCTGGAAAACTAAATGGGAAAGAATAAATGATGATCATCAGAACTTAGCCTAAGGAGGGGATTAACTTTAGAAAAGAACTACCTTGCTTGGCAAGGTTCCATTACTCACTTGGATTAGGGAAGAAATGGCAGGGAACTTACTCAACACCTGCACCAACATTGTATTTGCACAGCACTGGTTTACAGAGTGACGCAACAGAGAACTAATGACCCAAGTATTCCATTTATCTTTGCATCCATACTTGCATTGTGTTTACCACAAACACAAAATTTTCCATGGTGGTTTGGATGAGAATGGCCCCCACCCATACTCTGAGCTCATATTTGAATACGTGGTTCCCAGTTGGTGAATTGTTTGAGAAGGATTAGGAGGCGTGGCCTTGTTGGAAGAGGTGTGTCACAGGTAGTGAACTTTGACGTAACAAAAGCCTTGGTGACTCAGTTAGTTTGCCTGCCTCATGCTTGCAGATCAAGAGGTGAGCTCTCAGCTCCTGTGCCAGCACCATGCCTGTCTACCTGCTGCCATGCTTCCTGCCACGATGCTCATGGACTGACTGACTCTAACTCTGAGACTGTAAACCCCAAATAAACCAGTTCTTCCATAAGTTGCACTGGCAATAGAACAGTAACGAAGACGAATAACCACACTGTCATTTTCACACTTTCTCTGGGCCTTCCTGGTACTGTCTACGCCACTTCACTGTCAGTCTACACAGCACTCCCAGCAGCTAGCCTCTACTTCTCCTCTTGCTGGGCATGGTGACATAGCACAGCAAGGCAGGCTCTGTTAAGTTTCAGGCCAGTCTGATCTACAGTGTGTCCTAGGCTAGCTAGGGCTATACAGTGAGACGATTTCAAATATTAATGAATTATTCTTATAATTTATATTATTTATTACAAATGTGTTACTTATTATTGTTGTTGTTAAAATACATTTCTCTCCTAATTTCACATCAACTTCTAGTAGTTATAATGATATGTTTATGACACAAATGCTCAGGTGCAAATAGGATGTAATATTAAGAAGTCCAGTGTGGTGGAACACAACTGTCATTTCAACAACTGGGTGAAAACAGGAGTTCAAAGTCACCCACAGTTATGAGAAATCTGAGGTCAGACGGGGTTACCTAAAACCCTGTCTGAAAGGGTTAGGAAGGGAAGGAAACATGACATGAAAAACTTTTCATCACTTTTCAGTTTAAGTTACAGTGGTGATCATGTCTGCCCAAGTACACATGTTATGATTTACAGGACTCTTGCTCAACTAGACACAATGCTAAAGGTTTTACAAGAAGTTTCTCAGCTGGGCATGGTGGTGTGTAGCTTAAGCACAGCATTTGAGAGGCTGAGGTGGGAAGGCTGCTTGGCCAGCAATTAAAGGCCAGGCTAGACAACATGGCAATACACCATCTGAAAGAACACGAATCTCCTGACTTAAACACTCTGAAACTCCAGAGAGCTGGGTATTGCCATCATCCCAGGTTACTATTAGGAACAGGGTATAGAGTACAGGTGCCTTCCACATGCTATGTGGTGACACTGAATTAGTCTTCACCTTTTGGATGAGAGTATAGACATTTAAATACCATACAATGCTGATCCAAATATCCTCTTATAAATTTTAGTAACAGAAATTATAGTTAGGCATAATTTCTCTCTCTTGTAAGTGAAATTCCTGTTCACACCTCTAATCATATAAACATTTATCCTTGAGTTTTGCAGTGCTTGTATAATTCTAAGTATGATAATTTTCATGTGTTTGTAAGTTGTTTAAGCAAACATAAGCTGGAGAAACAAAGTGAATGACATATCATAAGGACAAGATGTTTTGAACATTTGACTCCCAGGTATGGCAGCTCAAAACTCATTACCTTTATGCCTGACTTCATATGGAACAGATGATTACTTACTAAGAGCCTATCATTAAATCCTCTTTAAATTCTTATCACTGAACATTTTTACAAAAGGGAAGTCAGTAAGTGGGATAAAAAATACTAGCATCAGAAAAGCCAAATATCCAGGAAAACTTGCAGCATGTGACGAGAGGGCATAGGCAACAGGTGACTCACCACAGCTTGGTCAAATAAATCTCTGAGCTTTTGCTCAGACTCTCCAGAAACTCCTGACACAATCTCTGGTGCAGCCACTTTCAGAATTGGCAAGTCGAGTTCCTGTGTACAAATAGAGAAAAGAATGGTCAAAGACTCAATGCAATCATACTTTCCTACATGTTTCTTAGGCAATCTGCCCTATCAACATTAGTTTTCTGTTGTTGTTTTTGTCAGGTTGTCTGGAACTGGAATTACAGGTATTTGTGAGGGGCCACATGGATGCTGGAAATTTACCTAGGTCCTCTGGAAGAGCAGTCAGTGCTCTTAAGCCCTGAACTATCTCTCCAGCCCCCTAGTTTTTTTAAAGGTTTAAAAAAAGCATTTATTATTTTTGTGTGTCCAGGCATGTATGTATGTGTGCAGGCATGTGTGTGCCATTGCGCACATGTGAAGGTCACAGGACCACTTGTAAAAGTTGGTGATCTCCTTCCACCCTGTTTATTTCTGGTGGTGGAGAGCACCTTTACCCCTGGAGTCATCTTTGGGGCCCTCTACAATTTCCCAAGGAATCCTATCTTTGTGTGGGGTCGCAATGACATACACTACTCTACAGTTTAGAGATGGGCTCAGAAGTTAAGAGCACCCACATGGCAGCTGACAACTGTCTGTAACTCCAGCTCCAGGGGATCCACACTCTCTTCTCACTTCCATGGACACCAGACATGCGCATGGTGCATACACATACTGCAGGCAAAACACTCACAAATATGATCCAATAAATAAAACTAAACAAGCCGGGCGTTGGTGGCGCACGCCTTTAATCCCAGCACTCGGGAGGCAGAGGCAGGCGGATCTCTGTGAGTTCCAGGACAGCCTGGTCTAAAAAGTGAGTTCCAGGACAGCCTCCAAAACCACAGAGAAACCCTGTCTCGAAAAACCAAAAAAATAAATAAATAAAATAAAAAAAAATAAATCTAAACAAACAAAAGTCTCCCAGGTGGCTATAGTCCCAGCACTCAGGAGGTAGAATTTGAGGTCAGTCTGGCCTACAGAGTGAGTTCTAGGACAGCCAGGGCTACACAGAGAAACCTTGCCTCAAAAACTGAAGTGTATGGATTTAACCACCAATTAGAGTGGATTACACCACTAAAGCTTTGAGTTCAAGGCTGTCTGGAAACCTTGGGATTTACCCAAACACATAAATGCAAACAGTATGTTCCAAGGGCTGCTATGCAGTGCCCAGTGCCCAGTGCCCATGAAATAAACTTACTTATTTATTTGTTTTTTTGAGACAGGGTTTCTCTGTATAGTCTAGCTATCCTGGAACTAGCTCTGTAGACCAGACTGGCCTCAAACTCACAGAGATCCGCCTGCCTCTGCCTCTCGTGTGCTGAGATTAAAGGCGTGTACCACCACCACCAAGCTAAATTTATTTTTAAAAAGACAAATCAAGTTCCCTTTAAAAAGTGAGAACTTGTTTTATTAATGATTAGAATAACATGCTATTCTGCTAGTTGAAGCTCCTTGGGTTACTTTGCATTTTACCATGAAGTAAGTTTCTGAAAAATTTGATAGGACAAAATTTGGATTGCTGGCTTTTTATTTCGCAAGATAAGTGTATTTTTGTGGGTACAGGGTGAATGTAGTTGATACAAGGAAGAACTATAACAAAAGTTTAAAGGCCAGGCTAATTTTAAACTTGCAATCCTACCTTAATCCCATAAACACTGAAATTTCGGGTATGTATTACCATGCTTAAGTGATCTTTTTAAACTATTTTAGAAGGCATTTTAACAATGGAAATTTTAAATAAATTTAACTCCAAGAAAAAAACTATTTTTTCATATTTTGGTGCAGGCAAATTGCAAGTAGAACATTGAATATATATTAAATAAGTAAATTAAAAAATAAAAGATGTGTTTATTATATAGTTTTCTGCCCACATGTATGCTTGCACTCCAGAAGAGGGCACCAGATCTCATTATAGATGGCAATGAGCCACCATGTGGTTGGGTTGCTGGGAATTGAACTCAGGACTGCTGGAAGAGCAACCGTAACCTCTGAGTCGTCTCTCCAGTGCCCAATATTTTGGTGCTTTTAAGAACAACTCAGATAAAGAGAAAAGAAGTAACTAAAATACAAACTAAATGTTTGGAAAAAGTTTTTACAGGTATGCCATTTGTTTCCCATCCAATTTATGTAATAGCACAATAATTATATTCATTAAAAGAAACAGCAAAAGGGGTGGTGGCAGCACATGCTTTCAATCTCAGCACTTGGGAGGCAGAGGCAGGCAAAGTTCTCTATGAGTTCAAGACCAGCCTGATCTTCAGACAGAGTTCCAAGACTTCCAGGGATGTTACACAGAGAAATTCTGTCTCAAGAAAACCAACTAACCAAACAACCAAACAACCAAACAAAACACCCAGCAAAAGTAGCATCATGAAAAAGCTAAATAAAATAAAGCTGGGGCTGGGGCTGGCTCAGTCTGTAAAGTGCTTACAGTCACGAGAACCTGAGTTTACAACTACACCACTGATGTAAAAGCCAGGCAGTGGGGCTCCCTATCTGTAACCCCACAAGGATCCCCAGAGTTTGCTGGCCAGCTAGTCTAGCCAAATTAAATAAGACCAGGTTCAATGAGAAACCCTGTCTTAAAACAACAACAAAAAGATAATGAGGAAGCAGATATGGGAGGAAGAGAGGGAAGGGAAATTTCTTACTGATCAAATTTGCTTCTTAAAAAGATACCAGGTTTAACTGGAAATGACCATAGAGAAAAACAAACAATAACAACAAAAAACCAAACCCAGCATCAAGTAGCCTTACCCCAGCAATTGCATGCGCAAGTAACGTCTTCCCACAGCCTGGCGGCCCATGCAAGAGAACGCCACGAGGTGGAACAACACCAAGGTGCTGGTAAACTTCTGGGTGACGCATGTGTATAAGCATTTTGCAGACTTCCTGTCAAGGAATAAGCATAAAAGGTATCTTCCTCAGCTCAAGGCAGAAAGAGTCAAAGTAGAATGTAATGTCCTATTGTTTTGGAACACCAAATTATACTAGCCAGAATACAGGCTTTAGGCTTTAACTTGAGCTTGAAACCCAGCTTTGCTATATTGTGCAAATCACTTGAATGATATTTCCATGCTTTTATTTCCTAAGCTGTAAAAATATCTAAAACACCATGAGAAGTAACTAACACAGTGACTGTATCAGAGAGGACACTAAAAACCAATAGCCATTATATTAGCACTGTCAGAACAGTCTAACTTACAAAGTATGCACTTATACACACTACAACTAAAACCATGGAAGACAGGAAGCTTTCGCTCTTGGAACCCTTAAGGATCAGGTTTGTTCATGTCACCTTTCCAGTCTTCTTTTCTATCCTCACTTCATACTAAAAACCAAAGATGTAGGGCTAGAGAGATGGCCCAGTGGTTAAGAGCACTGGCTGCTCTTGCAGGCCCGGGTTTGTTGCCTAGCGCCTACATGGTGGCTCACAATTGTCTGGCACTCCCTTGTAGCCTCTGAGGGCACCAGGCATGCAAATGGTGCACAAACATATATGCAAGCACCTAAAATACATAAAATATTTTTTTAATGTAAGTGAAAACCAAACAGGCTTCATTTGTGTAAATGTTTAACAATATACCCACTTTATACAATGACATTTCTCAATTGGCACTAACTTTTAATGTTGCATCATTGCCTCCAACATCTTCAAACTTCACACTGGAAATCTGCAACTCTATACTTCTTGCTTTAGCTGGTAAAAAATAAGGTGAAAAGATTAGTGATTCTATACAAACATACAACTAAAGCTCCATTAAGTAAAAAAAAAATGTTTTCAACTAGGTATTTTCATACACAAATACTGCTTAAGCAAAACAACTCAAAACAGCGAGCCCTCTTTCAAAGCCAACACACCACTGCCATCTACTACTACCTTTCTTCTGCAGAGTGGCTTCTACTTGTCCATCTACTTCTTCAAGATCCTCTGTCTTTCTTCTGTTTCCTTTGCCCTTTGGCCTTCCTTTCCTGTTCTTAGCACTTTCCAGAAGAGAAGAATCTTTTAAATTCTGGGGAGAAAATACACATTTATGTATGCTGTACTTCAAATTACAATGCTAACAGATGGTTTTTCAAAGGCAGTAACACACACACACACACAGACACACACAGAGACACACACACACACTCGTGCTGTAGGACTGCTAATTATTGTTAATCTCTTTACTCAAGGATGTTGCCTTCTTTCAAAAACCTAAAAGCACAGATTAAATTAACATTTGATAACTTTCCTCCCAGGCTCTGCCAGTTGACCAATTAAATCTAATCTTGTCTGAAAGACCTAAGGCAGATAAACATCAGGTTTTTACCAATTATAATAATGGTCTTCATAGATGAATAGCTACAGTTTAAAGCAAAGATATTTGGGGAAAGACCCATTAATAACATAAAAGGAAAATTTATACCCCAAGACTTTTGAGGTAAAACTGGAAGATCCAAAAGTTACAAGCATTCTTAGGCATACAGCAATTTCAAGACCCTATTTCAAGACCCAAAATCAAGCAGATAGGGATCAGTCAGTAAGTCCTTATAAAATCATGAGAACTAGGTTCAAATCCACCCCCTCACACACACAAAGCTGTGTGTAACAGGGTGGTCAATAAAGCCAGTGCCAGGGAGGCAAAGAGAAGTGGATCCCTGGAGCTTGCTGGCCAGTCAGGTTAGAGGAATCAGAAAGTCCCACATTCAGTGAGAGACTTTGAGACCACTGCCACCACCTGAGTGAGTGTGTGTATGTGTGTGCGTGTGGTATGTGTGTTTTAGGCAGGGATTCTCTGGGTAGCCCCAGCTGTCCTGGAACTTACTCCATAGAGCAGGATGGTTTGAACTCAGGCATGCATCTGCCCAGCTGACTTTTCCTTCTCAAAGAAAAGGTAGATAGCAACTGAGGAAGACATCTGACATTAATCTCTGGTACATTACCCCATACACTGTCTGCACACATGTGCACACAGCAGGCATGCAGACACAAGAGTGAGAAAGACTTAGGAAACAGCAGGAACATCACAATTTAACTCCATGGTGTGAAAGGTTCTCTAAAGAGATTACAAGAGAAAGGACAGTAAAGAAGTCTGGAGAAAGTGTTCTAGCTAGAAAGCTCAGGTGCTAAGATTCCAAGTGAGAGAGACCTCGATGCTCTAGAAACAGCAAGAATTTGCTGTCACCGAGGAACAGCAGGGAAGGGGGAGACAAATAATGACATTAAGAAACAGCAGGGTAGGGGCTGGAGAGATGGCTCAGCGGTTAAGAGCACTGACTGTTCTTCCAGAGGTCCTGAGTTCAATTCCCAGCAACCACATGGTGGCTCACAACCACCTTGAATGAGATCTGGTGCCCTCTACTGGCATGCTGAAGATTGTATACATAATAAATAAATAAAATATTTTTAAAAAAAACATAAAAAAAAAAAAAAAAGAAACAGCAGGGTAGCAGGGCGTTGGTGGCGCACGCCTTTAATCCCAGCACTCGGGAGGCAGAGGCAGGCGGATCTCTGTGAGTTCGAGGCCAACCTGATTACAGAGCGAGTGCCAGGACAGCCTCCAAAACTACACAGAGAAACCCTGTCTCGAAAAAAACCAAAAGAAAAAAAAAAAAAAAAAAAAAACAGCAGGGTAAACATACAGGGCTTTGTGGCTTTTGATCTGAGACTGAATGAAGTCACTAAAGGATTATAAATAGTAGGATGGCATTCTGGTTTGGGAATGAAGTATCCCACAGTTCGTATGCTAAAAATCCGGTCCCTGGGTGAAGACTGGATCATGAGGGTACTAGCTTCATCAATGGACTGATCCACTGAATGCATAGCTGAACACTAATTAGGAGGTGGAACCAAACTGAAGAAAAGGGTCCCTAGAGAGTGGTGGATGTCCCTTCCTGTCCCTGCTTCCTGTGCAATGAGGTGAGTAGCTCGGCTCTACCATGTTCTTTTCACCATGCTGTCACACCTCACCTCAGGCCTAGAAGCAATGCTAACTCAGTCGAATGGTCCTTCTTCCTCGAAACTGTTTCTGAGCATTTCTCACTGTAATTAAAAGTCTGACACAGATGGCAGTGACCCAACTTCATGAAAAGATATCTCTATGTGAAAATGAGTAGAGTAACAAGACACAGATTACACTTGGAAATCTATTCAACAGTTAAAGCAGTAAAGATTATAGACTAGGACAGAAACAGTAAAAAAAAATGATGGAGTTTTAAGTATTTGTTTGATACTACAGTCACTGAAAAGACTGAAATATACTCCAACACATGCAACTAAACTCTCACTATAAGAATACCTGTATCTCAGAATCTGGCTGCTTATAATTGCTTTGGTCATCAGAGAGGTCCAAGGGAAGACTTTCTTTTTTTCCACCTGGGGTTTTGTCAATAAACCATGCTCCCTCAGATGCTCTGGCAGGGGTCTTCAATGGCATGGAGTCTGTTTTAGAAGTCAGCAATGGTGTTGAAGTTGTGGCTTCTCGAGGTTCCAACTTTGGAGTGTCAGAGTTTCCTTTCCGATACAAAGACAGCAGGGAACTGTTCATGTGGTTTGCTGACTGGCAGAGACACAGTTTCAGTAAGAGTTACTCATGCTGTATTAATGCTCCAGCACCTAAACTAAGGTTTTGTGTATTTTACTTCAACAATTTCTCTCTCTCACAACACTGGCAGTCAGAGTACACAGGCACTGGTCAGTTAGTTCTCAAACAAGCTTCTACTATACAAAACTACTATAACCACTCTGAGGTAACAGAGAACCAGGTCAATTCATAATTGGTGATTAAATAAAGTCAAAAGAGCCGGGCGTTGGTGGCGCACGCCTTTAATCCCAGCATTCGGGAGGCAGTGGCAGGCGGATCTCTGTGAGTTCGAGACCAGCCTGGTCTACAGAGCGAGTTCCAGGACAGTCTCCAAAACAATACAGAGAAACATTGTCTCAAAAAACCAAAAAATAAAAATAAAAAAAGTCAAAGATATGAAGTGGATTGGTAGCCAGTGAGTCACCAACTCAATGCTGGATCAAATATAATGGAGTACTGTAACCACTTTGTTAATAAATTTAAAGCTTCAAGCCAGGCATTGGTAGCGCACATCTCTAAACCCAGCACTCAGGAGGCAGAGGCAGGCGGACCTCTGTGAGTTCCAGGCCAGACTGGTCTACAGAGCGAGTTCTAGGACAGTCTCCAAAACAATACAGAGAAACCCTGTCTCGTTAAAAAAAAAAAAAAAAAAAAAAAGAGAAACCCTGTCTCGAAAAACCAAAATAGATAGATAAATGAATAAATAAATAAATAAATTCAAAGCTTCATCTACTAAGGAGGGAAAAACTAAGAAGCAACTGATAAGTAACTTGGCACATCTATGCTATATCTTTTTATTTAGGCCTGGCAGAAAGTATGGCCACTTATGTGTCCCCGGCTAGCCTGGAACACGCTATGTAGAACAAGCTGGCCTTGTACTCAAAGATCTGTCCGCATGGGCCTCCCAAGTGTTCAGATATAAAGGTGACACAGACCTGCTGAGTGTCTTTTTTATTACTATTTCCTTTAATATTCTAATCTACCTTTAGTTTTCCCTCCTTTTCCTTCATCCAACTCATTATACAAACTAGTACTGGAAGGAAGATTAAAGCATTGATTTATATAGGAAGCATTCAATTATGTATTGATAAAGATGGACAAGGTACTTCATTCTATTTTTGACTTTTCTTCTAAGAGAGGTTCATAGCGAGTAAGAAAAAGAAAAATTAGGGCCAAAGCGATAGCTCAGCAGTTAAGAACACTGGCTGCTCTTTCAGAGACCCAGGTTCAGTTCCCAGGACCACAAAGTGGCTCCTAACTCCAGTTCCAGGGTATCTAACGCCCTCTTCTGACCATAGGCATCAGGCACACATATGGTGCACATACATACATTCAGGTAAAAGTCATATACATAATGAAAATAAATGAATCGTAAAAGAAAGAAAGAAATCAATGTGGGCTCATTGAATGTCTAGCTTACCTGTGGATCTGGGTAATCTTCCATGTTTGAATCATCATCAGAATAACTTTCAGTGTACCTAAGGATTAAAAAAAGAGACAGACCGGGGTGGAGAGATGGCTCAGCAGTTAAGAGCACTGGCTGCTCTTCCAGAGGTCCTGAGTTCAATTCCCAGCAACCACATGGTGGCTCACAACCACCTTGAATGAGATCTGGTGCCCTCTGCTGGCAGGCAGAAGCCTGAGCTAGTCGGGCGTTGGTGGCGCAAGCCTTTAATCCCAGCACTTGGGAGGCAGAGGCTTGCGGATCTCTGTGAGTTCAGACCAGGCTGGACTACCAAGCGAGTTCCAGGACAGCCTACAAAGCCACAGAGAAACCCTGTCTCGAAAAACCAAAAAAAAAAAAAAAAAAAAAAAAAAATTTACAGCCATCTTTTAATATACCTGGCATTATATTAAAGCAAAAAATAACATGAAACAACTGCGTTGGTAATACAAAACAGTAAACAATTTCAGTGCCAGATGATACAAAGATTACAGTAAATCTCTATATCCAGATGTTGAGAAAACATTCACAAGGGATCTAAGCAGGCCAAAACTGACATCTTCACTGACTTTTGAAGGCTGAGTGAGATTTGTGAAATAGATATGAATACGCAAGTTACTGAAAACCAGTCAAAATATCTTTAGGAATACAGAACCATTGCTATGGCTGGAGCAAAAGACAATGTAAGGTAGAAAAATGTTGAGGTATAATTGCACTGTTGGCCAAAAGGAGCCACTGGAAGCTTTCTAAGTATGAATGTGGGGCTTCAGGAAAAACACTTTGCAACACTTACTCATCTTCTTCATCTTGTCTTGCTCTTTTTGCCAGATGTTCATCTTCTAATTCTCTAAGGTTCTTCAGTTCTTTCTCATTACTAATTATGCTAAATACTGTAACAAACAAGATAAAATGCCATGAACTAAAACAATTATTTGCAAAAATGTGGTAATTCTGCTCAAACAGTGAAAGACTCACCTTTTTCTACCTGAATCCTAAAAGCATTTCTTTTTCTCCGGCCATAATCTACACTGGGAAGAAAATGTTTTTTTAGCACATACTTTTCACAAATATTTTCCACCAAACTTGCAATGTTATACTGGTAAACTGTCAAGCATCACTCTGGGACAAAATGGGGCCCCTTGTCTCAACCTGAAGTGCTGTGGAATAATTTTTTGTACACTGTAAACATTTGTCACTGACATTGGTTTAATAAAGAGCTGGTTGGCCAGTAGCTAGACAGGAAGTATAGGTGGTACAACCAAACTAAGGATGCAAAGGGAGGGGAGTCACAGAGGGAGCAAGACATGGTGAGGATGGGTAAAGCCACAAGCCACGTGGATTAATAGAGACGGGTTAATTTAAGTTTTAAGAGCTATAAGAAGCCTGAGCTAGTCGGGCGTTGGTGGCGCACGCCTTTAATCCCAGCACTTGGGAGGCAGAGGCTTGCGGATCTCTGTGAGTTCGAGACCAGCATGGACTACCAAGCGAGTTCCAGGACAGCCTCCAAAGCCACAGAGAAACCCTGTCTCGAAAGAACAGAAACAAAAAAAAAAAAAGAAGCCTGAGCTATTAGTGGAACATTGATTACCAATATTAAGCCTCTATGTTGGTTATTTGGGAACTCGTGGACAGGATAGGTACCTCCACCTACACTCAAGATAGAGGGTTGTAACCCTGGCTAGCCTGGGACTTGCTAAGAGATCCATTCGCTTCCTGAATACTGGGATTAAATGCTGCTCTGCCAGCACAGTTACACTGACATTTTTGTTTTGTTTTTGGTGTTTAAGACAATGTTGCTAGGTCGCCCAGTATAGAATCAAACTCAGAGTTCCAACAAAATACTGGGATTATAGGTATAGGCTACTATGACCAGCTGATACTGACATTAATTTAGAAAGGAATAGGAATATTTTAAATTCCCCTTATCTAGCTTCGAGACCAGCCTGGTCTACAAGAGCTAGTTCCAGGACAGCCTCCAAAGCCACAGAGAAACCCTGTCTCGAAATGTATGCTAAAGATAGTACACAGAAGTTTTGATGAACAGTGTATATCTGTGATTTCCAAGTAAATTATTTTATTTTTCTGGAGACAAGGTCTCTTTATGTAGTCCTAGCTGTCCAGGAATCACAGAGATCCTCCTGCTTCTGCCTGAGTGCTGTGACATGACTTTACTGAATATAAATTATTCATACTGGGTATGTTGGTGAATTCCTGTAATCCCAGAACTCAGAAGGCAAATGGATCTTGGTCTGTTTAAGGACAGCCTGGTCTACATAATAGGTTACAGGCCAGCCATAGCTACATAGTGAGGCTGTCTCAAAAACAAAGCAACAATAAACAAAAAAGGTATTTGGAGGTGGTTAGATGGCAGATAAAGAAGCATGTCACCAAACCTGACTATAAATTCAATCCCTAGGACCATGTGGTGAAAAGAGAGACCTGACTCCTGCAATACTGTCTCAACTTCACAGGTGTGCCATGGAACATGTGCTCTCACGCACACACGGGCACTCACATGCACACAGGCATACATGAATACACAAATTAAGTGTAATTTTAAAATTTTCAATAAGGCAAATGGGGCTAGGGAAACAGCGCAGTAGATAAAGCATTTGCTGTCCAAGTGTGAGGACCTGAGTCAGAAAGCCCAAGACTCACATAAAGGTAGGTGCAGGGAGGCAAAGTAGAGACAGAATTCCCCGAAACTGGCAGGTCAGCTAGCCCAAAGTATAAAAGTAAGAGACCTTGGAGCTGGAGAGAGATGGCTCAACAGTTAAGAGCACTGTCTGCTCTTCCACAGGATTCAGGTTCAATTTCCAGCACCCACAAGGCAGCTCACTGTAACTCCAGCTCCAGGGGATCCAATACAACACACCCGGTGCCTGAAACCACACATGTGGTAGACAACCTGAGAGTTGAGGGAGAGCACGGCTGATGGTTTTAATTTTCTGCTGAAGTGGAAGTAATACAGCAATATCTCTATCTCCTGGCCAATGGGAGAGACAATAAAAGAAAAGAGTCGTTTCCTCTGGTGAAAGGAATTAACTCTGAATATAGTGATTGGAGATTTTTGTAAAACTGATCTGGGAGTTAGGTTTATGAATTGGTAAGACAATACCAACAGCCATTGATATCAATTGAAAAATTAAGCAAGATGGAATATTTAAAATGGAAGGGGGGATAGTAAAAAAAAAAAGGACTTAGAAGTAAATTTCTTTACCTGTACATTCTTTGCAAGTCAGATGCTAATACTGCAGTGTCCACATATTTGCCACATCTGTTACTGGTGAGGTACTAAAAGAGAAAATACGACAAATATTAACAGGAGATTTCAACCGGTAAATTAAGAGGCCGAGTTATTCCAACACATACTTTTTTTTTTTTTTTTTTTGGTTTTTCCAGACAGGGTTTCTCTGTGGCTTTGGAGGCTGTCCTGGAACTCACTTTGTAGACCAGGCTGGCCTCCAACTCACAGAGATCCACCTGCCTCTGCCTCCCGAGTGCTGGGATTAAAGGCGTGAGCCACCAACGCCCAGCTTCCAACATACACTTTTAGGTGAATTCTTTAGCAATAAAGTGTACCCCAAAATACAAAAGCATATCATAAGCATATTTTTTTTTAAAAAATTGCCACATCTGTAATTGGATTTTTGGTTGTTTGTTTGGTTTTGTTTTTCAAGACAGGGTTTCTCTGTGTAGCCCTGCCTGTCCTGGTACTCACTCTGTAGTCCAGGGTAGCCTTGAACTCAGAACTTCAGAGACCTATCTACCTCTGCCTCTTGAGTGCTGGTATTAAAGGTGTTTGCCACCACTGCCGGGTTTGGGAATTTTAATTAAATAGTTAGCCACTACAATTCAGTACGTTTTTAAGGTAGTGAGGGCTTACTATACATCCTATGTTCCAAAACACACACGAACACAGCAGCAAATTTTGACATCTGTCACTCACAAAGCTATCAGGAAGTTGGATATGAAGAATACAAAGCAGCCGGATAGTGGTGGTGCAGAGGCAGGCAGATCTCTGAGTTCAAGGCCAGCCTGGGCTGGACTACAGAGCGAGTCTCAGCGGGACAGCCAAGGCTACATAAACCCTGTCTCGGGAAAAAGAAGAAAAAAAAAGTAAACAGAAACACAAAAGCCTTTCGGGGCGAGGTGGCAGCGCCTTTAACCTAGTGTTGGAGAAGCAGAGGCAGAGGGTTAGCCTGGTCTAGCCACATAGCGAAATCCAGGCCAGGCAAGGCTATGCGCGCAGAACGACGCTGTCTCAATAAAACCCAACAATAATAAACTCCCTCCCTCTAACTCGTGCTGCTGACAGCATCGCTGAAGGCATCCACCACACAGTGCGCCCCAGTTATGAAAAGACGCCCCCAGGCTCCCTCTTTTACCGTCCCCGACGGAAGCAACGTTTGAGTGACGGGCACCAAGGGCACTGGAGGAAAAGCCCTGTCCCGGTTTAAGAGGAGATCGGAACCCTGCCCTCGATGGGGAGGGCAGGCCGGTACTGGCCTCCACGGGGGAAGCATCCACAGACCATGCCGGAACTCAGCCGCGACCCGAGGCGCCGGGCCAGGACGCCGCGCGGAAATGGAGCCGCAGTGTCCTGAGATACATACGCACCTGAATGACCCGCTGCTTCAGCTTCCCGTCTACGAACGCAGGCCTGGGCTTCATGCTGCCGGGGCAAGCCGTGGGCACCTCGCGTTACCGTGAAAGCCTACCGCAGTCGCCTTCCCCGCCGCACCGGAAGCGCAGCGCCCGCGTGCGCCCACGGCACCGGAAGTGCCACCACCTCCTGCTCCTTCTCCGCCGGAGAGCTCAGGGAGTAGGGAGGACTGCGCTGCGAAGGGGAAAGAGAAGACCTGGAAGTGCGCGCGAGTTTCTAATCCGGTTCTTTTTCAGGATTGTCCAACAGGGCCAAAGCTAGGCCCGCTTTGAAGACATTCAACTTTATTGGTTCCTAACTGGGCAAACGGACAAGGACTCCAACCTCTGCGGCTGCGCAGACTCTCACAAGCAAGTAGTAAACTTCATGTTAAGCCAAGCATAGCAGCACAGGCTTGTAATTTTAATATTCGGGAAGCTTAGGCAAAGAAGATTGCTGAGAGTTCAAAGGCAGCCGGGCCAAGTAACAAGATGGTGTCTCAAAACAAAACAAAAAAATTGGGTTTGCCACATTCCAGGCTGGGGACCCCAACATGTTCTTGTTTTTGTTTTGTTTGTTTTGTTTTGTTTTGAGATATGGTCTCACTGTGATAGTGTGACTGTTTAGAACTCAGTCTGCAGCTTGAGGCGTTTTCCCCTTAGAGACATCTTTTCAGGCAAAACCAAGATTCGTGAGTTTGTTGCAGGAAAGAAAGAATTTCAGGGGAAGAACCAATATGAAGCAGAATTGGAATTTATTAAAAGATACGTTTAACAGTCTTAAGCTCGGTGGTTAATAGATACTTAGGGGAAGAACAAGATAAAACTCATGAGTATGGGTTTCTTGGCCTTTTCAAGGGAGAGTTGTGCATAAAAGTTTTTGCAGTGGGTATGTGTAGGAGCCTCTGAGTTGTTATTGGTGTTAGTTTTTAGGTCAGTTTTTCCAAGAGTAATTTACAAAAGGGGTTAAATGTTAAGAAAGTTGGAGTTGGGCTGGAGAGATGGCTCAGCCGTTAAAGGCTAGGCTCACAATCAAAAATCTAAGAAAGTTGGATTTATGAGGGGCATGAGGGCAAGTGCTGAAAATACAGAATTATAAGCATGTGCCACCGTGTCTGGCTTGGCAGCACACACACACACACACACACACACACACCTGCTCATTGTTTAATGTATGTGTGTATGAGTGTGGATGCTCAAGCACTATGGTATCATATGGAGGTCAGAGGATAACTAACCAGACCAGGCTCTCTCACCACCTGGCCTCCAGGGTCATATGAGGGTTCCTGTGGTAATGAGACCTAGGGGAAAACAAACACACAAATATTAAAACAGAAAGAAAAGTATACAGTTTTCTGTCTGTGGGCCCACACCAGACTCAACCACAATAATTAAATTACCATTTCCCATTATGATGAGTCTGAGTTGTAGATTAAGAGACCAAACTCATCATAATGAGAAATGGTAATTTAATTATTGTGGTTGAGTATGGTATGGGCTTTTACATTTTCTCAGGATAAAAAGGTGTATAAGGAATACAGACCAGGCCCAGTGTGATGAATGTAGCCCCAGAACTCAGGAGGCAGAGGCAGGTCCTGAGTTCCAGGTCAGCCAGGGCTACAATGAGATCCTGTTTCAAACAAAGAATACAGAAACTTCAGGGTTTTCTGATGAGGTTTGTGTGAGTTGTTTCTTTTTAATTTTTTCCTTTTTTTTTTTTGACATGGTTTCTTTATATTGTTTTGGATCCTGTCCTAGAACTCACTCTGTAGACTAGGCTGATCTCGAACTCACAGAGATCTGCGTGTCTCTGCCTCCCAAGTGCTGGGATTAAAGGCGTGTGCCACCAACGCCCGCTAGTTTCTTTTTAATTTTTAAAAAAGACCTTTTTTTTTGTTTGTTTGTTTTTGGTTTTGTTTTTCGAGACAGGGTTTCTCTGTGGCTTTGGAGGCTGTCCTGGAACTCGCTCTGTAGACCAGGCTGGTCTCGAACTCACAGAGATCCGCCTGCCTCTGCCTCCCAAGTGCTGGGATTAAAGGCGTGTGCTACCAATACCCGCTAGTTTCTTTTTAATTTTTAAAAAGGACTTTATTTTACTTGTTATTTGTGTGTGTGTGTGTGTGTGTGTGTGTGTGTGTGTGTGTGTGTGTGTGTGTGTGTGTGTGTGTGTGTGTGTGTGTGTGTGTGTAGACCAGAAGAGAGTGTTAGATACCCCGGAACTGAAATTACAGGCAGTTGTGAGCCTCCTGACATGAGTGCTGGGGCCCAAACTATGGGCCTCTGCAAGAACAATTGGTCTTTACCACTGGAACATCTCTCCAGCCAGCCCGTTTTAATTATTAAATACATTTATTTATTTGTATGTGTACATGCACTCAATCCACATGTGCCACCGTATGTCCAATGGCACACGTGCAATGGTCAGAGAACCTCAGAGGTGTTGGGTCTCTCCTTCCATCGTGTGACTGCAGAGGACTGAACTCACATGGGTTCAAGCTTATAGGGAAGTGTCTTTGCCCAGTTAGTCATCTTGCCAGCACAGGCAGGTTTTATTTTGTTCATTTTTTTTTTGTTGTTTTTTTCGAGACAGGGTTTCTCTGTGGCTTTGGAGGCTGTCCTGGAACTAGCTCTTGTAGACTAGGCTGGCCTCGAACTCACAGAGATCTGCCTGCCTCTGCCTCCCAAGTGCTGGGATTAAAGGCGTGCGCCACCAACGCCCGGCTTATTTTGTTCATTTTTAAAATTCATTTTTATTTCATGTATATGGTAGTTTGCCTGCTGTAAGACTTTCCTTGGCCTGCCAGTTCATAAATAATGACACAGAGACTTATTAATAGTTATGAAGAGTTGGCCTCAGCTTAGGGTTTTTTCCCAACTAGCTCTTATAACTTAAATTAACCTGTTTTTATTAATCCATGTTTTACTACGTGATTTGGTTACCTCTCCTTTGTACCATATGTCTGACTTGTTCTACATCTTCCTGGCATGTCTTTCATGCGACTAGATTCATCTGAAGTTCCTCTCTTTGCCCAGGAGTCCAGCCTATTCTCTCCCACCTATCTGTTGGCCATTCAGCTCTTTATTTAACATTCAGAAGGCACCTTGGCAAAGGCACATATTCACGGTGTAATCAAACATCCCACAACATTATAGTTACAGTTTTCTTTAGTTATGATAGATAGTAAATTAGGTACAAACCTCTGGACCCACTAAGAGTGAATAGGTAAGAATTTGCCAAGTACAAATGGACATTGTGAATATAATTCCTACCTGATAATTGTTCGGATTGTATAGTTTTACTATGTTAGAGTTGAAACCTTTCTTTTTTAATTACACAAAAGGCACCTTCTGATTGGTTTAATAAAGAGCTGAATTATTAGCTAGGCGGGACTTCTGGGGGAAAAAAGGAACTCTGGGTTAGAATCTAGCTGTGCAGGAGATGCCACCAAGATGAGAAAGAAGTCAGACATACAATACAAAGGAGAGGCAATCAAGCCATATGATAGAAAATAGATTAATAGAAACAGATTAAGTTGTAAGAGCTAGTTGGGGAAAAGCCTAGCTAAGGCCAAGCTTTTATAATTAAAATAGCCTCCGTGTTGTTATTTGTGAACTGACAACCCAAAGAAAAGTCCAACTCCAGCTTGAATATATGTCAGTGAACCATGCATGCAGTACTCCCAGATGCCAGAAGTCATTAAATCCCCTGGAACTGAACTTACAGATGCTTGTGAGCCTCCATGTGGGTGCTGGAAATGGAACCCAAGTCTTCTGCAAGAGCAGGTAGTGCTCTTAATCACTGAGTCATCTCTCCAACCCTGTGTTTTGTTTTTTAGCAGAGCAAGAATATAGGGTCCCATTACAAACCTTCCAGCACTTACTGTCTTCATTTCTGTGTGTGTTCCTCAGCCTGGTCTCTGCTGGTGTTCAGGTGTTTCCTCATGCCCTTCAAAGTGCTTCGAACTGCTTTTAATCGATATGGTTTACTTCCTGTCTTCCCACACACACACTTCCCATGCAGGGTACAGGCTTATTCTCTTGTATCTCTAAGGCTTAGGACGGTGCTCCACGTACAGTAACTGACATACACATATCAGATAATTGATTAGATAGACACACATACAAGGTACAGTGGGAACGTAGTAATAACCTGGTACATAAATCTTGACTGTACTTTAACCTATGAACCCTTAATGAATCTTTGGATTTACGATGTTGTCAGGCAAATCCAGTTTGTTTTGCCTTCATTCTAATTCTGTTATGTAGTCTCTCCCTTAAGTGACCTTCTTACTGACAAACTTGTTCTCCTTTCACAATTTAATGCACCAAAGAACCATAACAGTGTATTTTGTAGTGTAAATCTGATCAAGGTAATTTTTCTCTTAAAACTCTCTGGTATTTTCTCAGAATAAAAGTTAAATAGGCTGGGAAGATGGCTCAGAAAGTAAAGGAGTTTGCTGCCAAGCTGACAGTGTGAGTTCAGTCCCAAGATCCTACATGGCAGAGGGAGCGAACTAACTCCTACAGGTTATCCTCTGACCTCCACATGTGCATATATCCATATACACTAAATAAATGTAAAACATTACAAAAGTTAATATTCCCCCCAAAGCCTCCAAGGCCCATGTGACCTTGCCCTGTTTGCCTTTTACTTCTTGTTTTAAAAAAATATTTATTATGTATGCAGTGTTCTGTCTCCATGTACGCCTGCAGCCCAGAAGAGGCCATCAGATCTTATTAAGGATGGTTGTGAGCCACCATGTGGTTGCTGGGAATTGAACTCAGGACCACTGGAAGAGCTGCCATTGCTCTTAACCGCTAAGCCATCTCTCCAGTACCTTTGACTTCTTTTTTTTTTTTTTTTTGGTTTTTCGAGACAGGGTTTCTCTGTGGCTTTGGAGGCTGTCCTGGAACTCGCTTGGTAGTCCAGGCTGGTCTCGAACTTACAGAGATCCGCCTGCCTCTGCCTCCCGAGTGCTGGGATTAAAGGCGTGCGCCACCAACGCCCAGCTACCTTTGACTTCTTAAAACTCAATTTCTTGGGCTTTTTCGGTCCCTCGCAAACCTTCCAACACTTACTGTCTTCATTTCTGTGTGAGTTCCTCAGCCTGGTGTCTGCTGGTGTTCAGGGGTTTCCTCATGCCCTTCAAAGTGCTTCAAACTGCTTTTTTTTTTTTTTTTTTTTTCTTTTTACGAGACAGGGTTTCTCTGTATTGTTTTGGAGGCTGTCGGCCCAGCCTGGCCTCGAACTCACAGAGATCCGCCTATCTCTGCCTCCCGAGTGCTGGGATTAAAGGCGTGCGCCACCACCTTTTAATCGATATGGTTTACTTCCTGTCTTCCCCCCCTACACACACTTCCCATGCAGGGTACAGGCGCGTGGGCACCTTCCGTCTCCCTTCCTTGTATCTCTGATGCCTAGAACAGTGCCTCGCATACACTAGCTTCAGAAAATACAAGTGAAATAAAGGCTTCTAAAGGCTTGCCACCTGCCGCAGTTCTGGTTTTAGCATTGAGTTGCTCCCTTACTGCTCTCTCACCCTCCAGAGCACTTGTTTGCTGCGTTCACTACCGCACTGAAGGGTAAAACAGCTCTTGATCTACAGCAGGGGTGTAGACAGAACCATTTACTAAGAGAATGAATGGTTGAGTAAAACACCGGATTCTGTAAAGATCTAAAAATTCAGAGATGAGAAAGCTTGCTGTAACCGACACCAGGCAAGCAACTGGGCAAGCTCTTGAGCCCGGAGTGGTGAGGTTGGATTTGTGTTTCAGATGAAAAATTATGGGATGCAAATGAATAGAGTGTAGACACTAAAGCACCCCTGTGTGCGCATGCCTGTACTTCCAACACTGGGGAGACCCAAGTTAGAGGGCAGCCTGGGCTACAGAGTGAGGTCTTACCACCAAAAAAAAAAAAAAAGGCCCCCCCAACCAATAATGGTAGAAACGGAAGGATGGATAAAAAGGAAAAGAAAGACGAATTTCATACAAGGTGAGTAACTCCTTAGAAGTTACCAGCAATCAGTGGCTGGAGCTCACTAAGGGGAGACCCGCCGCCTCTTTCATTCACCAGGCACTAGTGAACTCCACTTCCCATCATGCATCGCGCCGGGAGGAGCCTTTCCTGGACCACAACTCCCGGCATGCTGCCTGTCCCGGCGGCGCGGCCCGGAGCTGGTTTGACGGGCGGAGCGGCGGCGGAGGATGGAGGCGGTGGTGTTCCTCTTCTCGCTCCTCGACTGTTGCGCGCTCATCTTCCTCTCTGTCTACTTTGTATCCTTGCTTGTGGCGGACCGGGGCCGCCGCTCATCGCCAGGGCAATGGGCGGAGGGTGGGCCCGGCAGGCGCAGGCAGGTGTGGGGTGAGGGGGCGGCGGCGCGGGCCCGGGTCGCGAGCTGAGGAGCCGCGCTGCGCCTCTGGCCGGCCTGAACCGGCTTCCCCGAGGGGCCGTCTCTCCTCCGCCTGCTCTCGCCCGCCGGTGTCCCCGGGAGTGCGAGGTGATCCGGGGCCGGAGCTGGCCGGCGGAAGGTTTTGCCGCCTTCTCTCGTCCCCGGCAGCACCCTTGCCCCTTTGTCCTCGCGGGTGTCTGCGCTTCTGGGGACTCCACACCCAGGAGATGACTCACTCCAAGAACCGGCGATGTGCTTCTTTCACGTGCGGTTCTTTGAAGAGTTTTTATTTTATCTTTATTAAAGGAGTTACTTCGGAAGCATCGTCGAAGTGTTTTTGGTTGCCCTCAGCAGTGGGAGATCTGCAAATTCAGTAACTACATGTGACTTAGTCCCTAGTTTCTAAACTTAAAAAAAAAAATCTTATCCGTGTTAAAATTCAGTGTTTGCCAGACCAGCAAACGGTGTTCAGCAATCTAGCACTGCAGTTATGTGACTACAGCTCTCTCGTTCTTGGGAGGTCATAATCTTTGTTGTAGCAGTGTTTTAATGCAGTAGTGTAATGCACAGTTGAGTTTTAAGTAATTAAGTATGACTAGAAAAGTGCATTAGGACCTTTGCATGTTACCCCTTTTCTGATCAAATTTAACCTTTTGTTTGGCACTGTGCAACTTTAGGGTAGCTGCACGGTATATTTTCCACTTTGTTGTGAGCTGACAGTTTGCTTTAATGAGAAGGGACAGAATTTGGGATTAGGAACTCTTGCTCATCACTATGTCTTACCTGCTTCGATTTTCTTTAGGATTGGGGTGTTTGTTTCCTAATTCCACACAATGAGAGCTTGTGTTAGACATCCAGCAGTAGCTGCCCTATTGCAATTATTTAGTAACAGTTTTTACTTTGATGATTTCTAATGAAAAGAGCCCTATGTTTTACTGCCTTTGAGGAACTGACTAAAAGAGCAACATCTCTTGCCTGGTGACTAATGTTTAGCTTGTGATATAAGGAACCAGAGCTGTTTGGCAGTTTGAAATGCAGTGCTTTTTTTTAAAATTAATTTTGCAGTTTGGAAAACTAGATTTGATCCTCTGAAACAGTCTTGATCTATACTAGATCGTTTATGCATTAACTGGAATTGTTTAACATTGGTTACAGGGTGCATTTTAGGGAAAACAACACATTACTGTGTTGTAGGATAGTTGCAGAGAATAGTTGGAAAATGGGCAGAATAGACTTCATGTAGACTATAGGAGTGTGTGGAATTTGAGTAATGAAGAAACCTACAGGAAAAAGGGGACAGATATTTGCAGTCATTGACAAGAGCAAGGTGCAGGGACAGGCATGCTCATTTCTGGGTGACGGTTAAAGAGCACCAGGAGTACTGATTGCTTTAGGCTGTAGAGATCAGGTTGGGAAGGAAGAATTAGATAAAAGAGGAGGACAGTAATGGCTTTAGGTCAAGGATACACAATTTTTGTTAGAAATAAGTTCCAGGGATGTTTTGTTGATCTGGGGGTGTGGCTCAGTGGTAGAGCCCTTCCATAGAATGGATAAGGCAATTAGGGGTGATACATTCATCTGGTGACTGCAGTTTATAAGGTAGTCTATTTGTGAAAGTAGTATGCGTTTTTACCACAAAAGCAACCATATGAAGTAATACATCTTGACTGGCTAGGTTTTATCATTCTACAATGTATATATAATTTGAAAAGTTATATGTGATAGTTACAGGCAGTTTTGTCATTTTAAAAGCTCAAAATACAGAGGTTTATTAGGAAGATGAATCTGCAGAGTAGATTGAAAATAGGAGTTTGGAAGATAAACCAACTGGGAAGAGGGTCTTCTGGATTTGATCAATAGTGCTAATTGTGGTATGGCATTGTCTGGTTATGAATTTGTGGGGAAAGTGATGAGTTAGGTGATACTTACTTGAGACTATTTTACTTTTTGTTACATTTATTTTTTGAGAGTGTTAAATGTATGCCATCCTGACCTTGAAATTCAAATTCACTATGTAGCTGAGGGTGTCCTTGAACTCACTCATCCCCTAAGTGCTCGAATTGCTTTCTGTATATAAATAATACTTGATTGTTAAACAGAAAGTATGGCTCCTGACAGATGGCTCATTAGGGTCAAGTGCCTTCTGTGCAGGGACCTAGTTCTGATCCCTAGTACAAGGGAAAAGTAGAAACAGAAAGGTCCCAGGAGATTGTTGGCAGCCAGTCTAGTCAAGCAGCAAGTTTCAGGTTTAGTCAGAGACCCTGTCTCAAAAAAGAAGGTGGAGAGAAACAGAAGATTGCTAACATCAGCCTCTGGCACATACATGTGCACATACACATACGTTACAAACACCAAAATTATGTATATATAATGCCTTATCTTGACCATCAGATCATTACATTGTCTGATTTAGAATGTGATTACATTAACGCTAGATCATGTTGCTCAAAATTAAACAAGGTAAGACATTTCTTTGCTCATTTTTGATTGAAGGCAATTCTTTTCACATTGTTTTATTATAGGTAGTATTTACTTTTTTTTTTTTTTTTTCATGTTAGGGTCCTGGGTTTTTGTAATGTTGTAGCCAGAACTGCTATGTTTTTCAGTATTTTAGACCATGAAGCTGTGCTAGATCTGATTTCTTCACTGTGCATGTTCCTGGTCTTCTTGTCCATGTGAGGCTGATTGTTCTTGTTTTCTGTGCCCATACTACCACCTCCCACTCACGGAAAAAGTGTTCAGTCTGTCTGTTGTTGAGTGAAAGAAGATCTTTCTTGTGTGGTTTGTGGGGGGGGGGGGAAATGGGCTCCATTAGTTAATTTGTTTTAAGGCCATTTTATATTTAGTATAATAAGAACTTTATATTGGCATAAATCCTCTGATTTGGGAGTTTAATCTAGATACAGGGAAACCATTTGTCCCTGACTCATTTTATGAGATGGACAGACAAAGAAGCTTTCTGGATAAAATCTCATGTAAAAATGTATTGAAGGGCACGTTTTGCTTGACTTGGAAAAAACGGTACCCGTGTGACTTCATATCTTAAGAGGCTCAGAGGAGCACTCGGGAGGCAGAGGCAGGCGGATCTCTGTGAGTTCGAGGCCAGCCTGATCTACAGAGCAAGTTCCAGGACAGCCTCCAAAGCCACAGAGAAACCCTGTCTCGAAAAACCAAAAAAAAAAAAAAAAAAAAAAAAGAGGTTCAGAAAAGGTTCAGAGGAGTTGTTAGTTGTTCCCTTAGTGAAAACGCTTGCTTCTTCATCTTTGTTGTTGTTTCCATACCTGGCTTGTTGTGCCATCTCTTTTTCTTTTCTGAGTAAGCTGATGTTCCAGTATTTGTGTCCTTATGATCTACTCTTGTAAAAATATGTCTTCATTGCTGAGCCTCAGAGTAGACAGTGATAATATTTCCCTTGTACTCCCACCCCCTACCTTCGTAGTGATGCACACCCTTAATTCCAGCACTCAGGAGGCAAAGGCAGGCAAATCATGTTCTAGCAGAGCCAAGGCTACACAGAGAAACCCTGTCTTGAAAACAAACAAGAAAGGATGGAAAAAAGAGTAAAAGGGGGAGGGGGATAATTGTCACATTTCTTTATTTTCTTAGTTTTCTGTTTACCTATTACTGTGTTTTTCAGACACATCTGCAAATCCTTCCATACTATCTTCTACAAACTAAAGTGCCAGGCATGGTTGTGAGTGCCTATAATCCCAGTATTTAGGAGACTGAGGCCAGAATTTTATCGTGATTTTGAGGCCAGCCTGGGCTTCATAGCAAGACCCCTTCTGCTTTCTCTCCTCCAAGTGAATTAGCAAAAGATTAAAAGGATGTATAGGGTTCCCTCTCGGGGAGGGGGGCATTTCTTTTTTCAGCCTGCATGTCTTGCTATCCTCTGGTTGGCTGTTCTGAGGCTATTTCATACTTCTCATTAGGTTGTGGCTCCCCGATTCTTGATTCTTGTGTCTTGCTTTTTGGCTACATTTTGGGGAAGTAACTTCTTGAGGTATAGCCAACATGTGGGAATTAGAGTTTTGAAAATGTCTGTTTTTGAACATATCTTACTGGTATCTTTGATTCTTTATCTGAGTACAGGATTGTAATCTGGCAAATATTTTTTCCTTGTGACTTTTAAAGATATTGCTTAGTAATATTGTGTTATCCATTGCTATCCAAGTTGCTATCCTTTTATTTTTATTATGTGTCTATATGGGCAAGTGAGTACAGGCGCCTGCATAGGCTAGAGATGTCAGTTCCCACTGGGGTTTGAATTATAGAAGGGTGTTACCTACCTGACGTGAGTACTGGGCACTGAAGTTGGTCCTCTGAAGAGACAGTATGTGCTCTTTAATCATTGAACTATCTTTGCAGTCCTTTTTAAAAATCTTTTAAGAACAATTTCTTTTCATGTTTTTATTTATGTGTTTGTGTGAGTCCATACGACATGTGTGCAGGTGCCCTAGGCGGGCAGAAGAGGCATGGGACCCCTCAGAGTTATAGACAGTTGGGGGCCACCTCATATGGGGGCTGGGAAACAAACCCAGGCCCTCCAAGAGCAGCCAGTGCAATAAACACTGAACCTCTCCAGCTTCCTATTTTAAAATTTCTATTTTTATTTTGTTGTTGTTTTGAGGTAGAGTAATAACTAAGTAGCCCTGGCTGGCCTTAAACGTGCAGTGATTTCCCGGCTTCCTAGTGCTGGGATTACAGGCACTTATTACACCTGGCCATTTCTTTTATTTTTCTGAGTGGCATTTGCTTCCTGAGGATAATGGAGATGGGGAAATTGTTTTGGAGAGGGAAAGGGGAAATATTTGAAGATGGACATTCTAACTGGAAAGACAGGCATATGGCTGTGAGCACATTAATTTAGAGCTGGAGGCTTTAGCATATTGCATAGATACAGGAATAGAAAATAAGTAGTACTCTGCTTTTCCCCTAGGGATTTAGACCTGCTTAGTGAAAGAGTCTAAGACTTTGCTTAGGGTAAAATACAACTGAAATTGAAATGCTTCCTCTTTAAGCTGTTATCAAATGTATTTGCCTAGGGTTAGAAGTCATATCTGGGGTGTCTGAGTCTAAAATAACAATTCTTTGTACTTTCATGAGTTTGACCTAAGTGTCATGTTCAGCCAGGAGAGATGGGTCAGGGAGATGTAATGCTTTGTTCTTTGCTTGCAGTGGGTAATACCAGAGTTGATTGGCCACACCATTGTCACTGTGTTAATGCTTGTTTCGCTGCACTGGTTCATCTTCCTTCTCAACTTACCTGTTGCCACTTGGAATATATATAGGTAAGTATAGTTTGTTTATGGTTTTGTGACAGTAGGGTTTTTTTTGTTTGTTTGTTTGTGTGTGTGTGTGTTTTTTTTTTCCCGAGACAGGGTTTCTCTGCATTTTTTTTGGAGGCTGTCCTCCAAACTCATTTTGTAGACCAGGGTGGCCTTGAACTCACAGGGATCCGCCTGCCTCTGCTTCACCAGTGCTGGGATTAAAGGCATGCGCCACCACTGCCCTGTTATGACAGTAGTCCTTAAAAAAACTTTTACAGATGGGTGTGGCGGTACATGTCTATAATCCCAGTGCTTGGTAGTAAGTAATCTCAGCATTTGGGAGGTGGAATTAGGAGAATCAGGAGTTTGAGTCCAACTTTGGTCATGTATCGAGATTGAAGATAGCATAGCCTACATGAAACCTTAAATAAAAGAAAATAATTAACAGCATGCTCTCCCCACAAAGATATCCCAGTAATTAAAATAAAGAACAAGAATTTTTATGAGATCAGAACAAATTATTGTTTACTTTGGTATATTAGACAGATAGTAGTTTGCATGTCTCAGTCTTGTGGTGAAGCACAAACAGTACATGTTTTAAGAGTAATCTACTGGGGCTGAAGAGATGACTCAGTGGTTAAGAGCACTGGCTGTGCCGGGCGGTGGTGGCGCACGCCTTTAATCCCAGCACTCGGGAGGCAGAGGCAGGCGGATCTTTGTGAGTTCGAGGCCAGGCTGGACCGACAGCCTCCAAAACAATACAGAGAAACCCTGTCTCGTAAAAACAAAACAAAACAAACAAACAAACAAACAAAAAAAAGAGCACTGGCTGCTCTTCCAGAGGACCTGGGTTCTATTCCCAGAACCCACATAGCAGCTCACGCCTGTCTGCACCTCCAGTTCCAAGAGATCTGTCATTCTTACATCAATGCACATAAAATAAAGTTAATAAAGTATTAAGAAAGAGTAATCTACTGCCGGGTGGTGGTGGTGGTGGTGGTGGTGGTGCACGCCTTTGATCCCAGCACTCTGGAGGTAGAGGCAGGCCAGTCTCAGTTAGAGCCCAGTCTGGTCTACAAAGCTACACAGAGAAACCCCGACTCGAAAAACAAAAAAAAACAAAACCAAAAAAGAGCGATCTAGACTGCCAGTGGTGGCACATGCCTTTAATTCCAACACTGGGGAGGCAGGAGCAGGCCAATCTTTTGAGTTTGAGGCCAGCAGGGTCTACAGTGTGAGTTCTAGTACAGCCAGGGCTGTTACACAGATAACCCTGTCTCAAATACTTTTCTTCTAAGACAGTCAAAAGCTTGAGACAATAGGTCTTTATTTGTCTCTGTAATACTAGAAATACATCAGAGAAAATTGCATTTTAGTGTCTGCAAACTAGGCAAACTTGTGTTTTCGTGTGGGAGTTTTTTGTTTGTTTATTTTAATGTTTTTGTTTGTTTTTTTCAGTGCAGATTAAATAACTAAATTTTTGATTAAAGAAATTAGATGGTTCAATGGTTAGGAGCACTCACTGTACTATAATGAGTGTGGAAGTTTAGATCCTAGCACCCAGTAGCCCAGCATCCTGCATTCCTACAGAGAGATAGACAGACAGACAGACAGACAGACACACACACACACACACACGTAAATAAATTGGTGTTTTTTAATTTTGAAAGTATATTAGTCACTTTTCTCATTGATGTGACAAAAATACCTTTAGAAACAGCTTAAAAGAAAGATTAATTATCTGAGCAGTGGTGGCGTTTTAATCCCAGCACTCGGGAGGCAGGGGCAGGCAGATCTATCTGTGAGTTTGAGACCAGCCTGGTCTACAAGTGCTAGTTCCAGGACAGCCTCCAAAGCCACAGAGAAACCCTGTCTCAAAAAAAGAAAGGAAAATTATTTTTAGCTCACCATGTCAGGACTTTCAGTTCATGGTTGCTTGGTCCCAAGCCCTTGTCCAGGAGGAACTTCTTCACTCCATGGCAGCTGGAAACAGGGAACAAAAAGAAATAGAAGGAACGAGGGCAAGAGACAGTACCAAGTATATGTACAGTGACATACTTGTATCTAGGCCACCTGCTGCCTTTCACCGCTTCCCAATAATGCCTTCATAGTATGAGTACTTGAAGGTCTTGATCCGTTGATTAGGTCACAGTTCTCATCATCTAATTGCTCCTGGAAACTTCACAGGCACACAGGTGTTGTGCTTTAATAATTTGGCCTTTCTTTATCTTTTATATTAACAAGATTAACCATCCTTCTGAGGGCAGGTGTGGGGGTGTTGGCAAGAACCTTTAATCCCAGCACTCAGGAGGCCTAGGCAGGCAGATCTCTCTGAATTCGGGGCCAGTCTAGTCTACAGAGTAAGTTCTAGGATATCTAGGGCTACATGAAGAAATCCTGTCCTTGAAAAAACAAACAACAACAAATTAGTCATCCCTGGAAATTTGTTCAGAAATAACCCAAGGGAAACACTCATTTTCAAGCTGTTACAGTTTGTAATTTTGTGAAAAATTGTGGAATAATATTTTTTGGGGTAGGGTGTGTATGAATGTATATCATTTGTGTAGGTGCCCATGGAGGCTAGAAGAAGGTATTGGATCCCAGGGAACTGGAGTTACAGATGGGTTTGAGTTGCCTTGTGGTGTTAGGAACCAAACCTGGGTCCTATGTAAGGGTTTGTTGAGGGACAAAACCACTCATTGGCTGATTGTTAAATATGATATTATAAAATGCTGTTAGAATAAATATGAGTCGTATGTGATGGTATACACCTTTAATCTTGTTACTTGGGATGCAGAGGCAGACAGATCTTTGTAAATTTGAGGCCAGCCTGGTCTACAGAGATAGTTTCAGGACATTCAGGACTTCACAGAGAAACTCTGTCTCAGAGTTGGGGGAAATGTCTCTGTAAGATAAGGCTGTGGGCAGGCAAGCCTTTAGGACATTTTAGTTAGTGATTGATTGGGGAGGGCCCATTGTGGATGGGTATACCCCTGGATTGATGGTGGTCCTGAATTTTCTAAGAAAGCAAGCTGAGCCAGGTGGTGGCGGTGCACACCTTTGGTCTTATTACTTGGTAGTCAGAGGCAGGCAGATCTCTGTGAGTTCGAGGTCAGCCTGGTCTACAGAGAAAGTTCCAAGAGAAGTCAGTAATCAGCACCCTACCATGATCTCTGCTTCAGTTTCTAACTCCAGGTTCCTGCCCAGTTTGAGTTCTTTCCCTGACTTCCTTCATTGATGAACTATGATGTGAAAGTATAAGTCAAAATACCCTCTCCTCCCCAAGTTACTGTTGGTTGTGGTGTTTCATCACAGCAATAGCAATCCTAACTAAGACAGTCATGTTGATGTCAAGCTCGCCAGCACCGTAGATGATGGATGTCCTTGAATCTCTCTCACTTCTGTCTCCAGAGTGCTGAGATAACAGGCATGCACTAGCACGCTCACTTTCTGCTTTACTGAGAACCAAACTCAGTGCTTTGTACATGATAGGCAAGTACTCCAACAACTGAATTCTATCCACAGCCCTTTCTACTTTATCTCTACATTTACAGATTCTGGAAAGACATATGCAGATGAGTGCATGGTCTTTTTCGACTGGCCTCTTAGTATATCAGTTTATTTGTAGCTTGTATGAGCACTCAATTTCTTTTTTCCCCCCAATCTGGGATTAAAGGTGTGCCCAACACAACCAGCTGAACTCAGGGTTTTGTGTATGATGGGGAAAAGCTGTTCCACTTAGTCACATCTCCAGCCCACATGTTATGTTTTTAGGAACTTTGGGGAGATTTGTTTTTTTCGTAAGCAGCATGTATTGAATAGAGAAGGATTCACTAGTACTGAATAGAGAAGGGCCAGTTCAGGGAGTGGAGAAGAGATTATACTGTTGGAACAGGGTTGTGTAGTGGGAAGAAAAAGACAGCTTGTAAAGGGTAGCAGACAGATCAGATGACAGGAACTCAGTGGGTTGGCTGTGCAAGATGATAGAGACAAGAACTGGGGAGGAAGAAGCCTTAAGTATCACCAAGGAACTTAGGTAGCAGAATTCTGAGCTGTAATCTTTTTGAGACTGTGGAGGTATTTGGATATTCAAGTAAAAATACCCTCTATTCAGGTATGGATAGGCCAGTAGGATTTGGGGGAGAATTTAAGACTGGTGACGCTCAGAGAGGCTTTTATATTTCACAGAAATGACATTGAGAAACTCTGTGGCAAGAGTGAGGCAATCAAGAAGCCTGGACATGTATGCAAGAGGAGGCTAGTTATGGTGCTGGTTCAGACATGCATGTTACACATATGGCACAGTCTGAATGGTGAAGCCTAGTTTTCCTTCTCAGTTTACATAAACAAGTTTCTGAGAGCCAGCTGTGGGAATACATAATCCAGAATCTCAGCACTCAAGAAGCTGGGACAGGATGACCCTCAAGTTCAAAGCTAGACTGCTCTATGTGTGGAGTTAGAGGCCAGCTTGAGCTGCAGGGTGGGGCCCTGAATCAGATACCAAGACAAGGGGCTAAGGAGATGACTCAGTGGTCAAAGTGGGAGCATGACTACTGCAATTCAGATCCCAGCACTCAGTGAATACCAGGTGAGCCTGTTGGCCTGGGCCTGCCTATAATCCTGACTCTTGGTGAGGACAGGTGATCCCTGGAGATGTCTATCTAAACTAGCTGAATTAGGCAGTTCTGAGTTCAGGCAAGAAACCCTACTTTGGGGCTGGAGAGATGACTCAGCAGTTAAGAGCAATGGCTGCTTTTCCAGAGGACCCAGGTTCAATTCCCAACACCCACCTGGCAACTCACAACTGTCTGTAACTCCAGTTCCAGGGGATCTGACACCTTCACACAAATGCACACAAAATAGATTAAAAAACAAAAACAAAAAACCCTACTTCGATATAAGAGGTGGACAGCAACTGAAAACAATACCTGATGTGACCCTTTGACGCGCGCGCACGCGCACACACACACATACAGACCTAAGACTCTAATGAGAAAGACCTAAAGAGAGACAGAAGGTGTGTTAAAGGTTCTCAGTATTTACTAGGTATTACTACTACATTTGTTCTAGTAGGTAGAAGATTAATGAAAAGTTAGCAGTTGTTTCCAAAGGAAAACCAGATGGAGCTCAAGATGCCATCATACTGCTCTATTTTGTCTGAATTTAAGCTGCAAGGACTGGTCCACATTTGTAGGTTGATTACAGTTTTTCAGTATTGGTTCTGAGATTTGATTTCCTTCTAATGTGCGTATCTTTTATCAGGTTCATTATGGTGCCAAGTGGTAATATGGGAGTGTTTGATCCAACAGAAATACACAATCGGGGGCAGTTAAAGTCACACATGAAAGAAGCAATGATCAAGCTTGGTTTCTACCTGCTTTGTTTCTTCATGTACCTCTATAGGTAAGTTTACAGACCTCTACAGTGTACTGGGTGCTGTGCCTGTTTTGGTTGGGTTCATGAGGTATTGTTGAACTGTAGGATTTTGTATTGGCATTGTAAGACTTTGGGGAGTTATGTGAATTTATTGTGTCTGTGTAGATTTTTTTAATGTATGTCATTAATTAGTGTTCTGTCTAACCTATAATAGAGTTTTCTATAATTTTTAAGTTATTCCTTAGCTATTGAGGCTATTCATTTTCTGTCTTAGAATCTAGCTGAGAGTCCCTGTCTCCAGCCCCAAGACACTGGTTTTTAAAATTCATTTTAGCCAAGAATAGTGTTACACATCTGTAACCCCAGCACTTGAGACAGGAGAATCACAAATTTAAGACCATTGAAGACTACTTATTAAGTTCCATGGTTCCCAAAGTTACATCAAGATCCTGTCTCAAAAACAAGAAAACAAAGAGCTGAGCGGTGGTGAGCACGCCTTTACTCCCAGCAAAACACTCGAAATCAAAGGAAGATGAATCTCTGTGAATTCAAGGCCAACCTAGTCTACACAGCGGAGTTCCAGAACAGCCAGGGCTGTTACCCAGAGGAAACCCTGTGTTGAAAAGAGAAGTAAGCTGGGCAGTGGCAGTGCACACCTTTAATTCCAGCACTTGGGAGGTAGAGGAGGTGGATCTCTGAGCTCCCGGACAGCCAGGGCTGTTACAAAGAAACCCTATCTTTAAAAAAACCAAAAAGAGGATCTGGAGAGATGGCTCAGAGGTTAAGAGCACTGGTTGCTCTTCCAGAGGACCTGAGTTCAATTCCCAGCAACCACATAGTGGCTCACAACCATCTGTAACAAGATCTGGTGCCCTCTTCTGGCCTGCAGGCAGATCACTGTATACTTAATAATAAATAAAATTAAAAAAAAAAACAAAAAGGGAAAAAAAAGAAAACAAAAAACCTCAAACAACAAGAAAACAAAACAAGTGTGAGTAGCATTTTAGGGGCAGGGTTAAGGTGTGGGTCTTTACAGCTAGGTAAGATGGGCAACCTGTGTAACTAGTTTGTCAGGTGTACTGTACCCCCTTTTAGGTGTGTCCTCCTTTTGTCTATCCTTTTTCTTTGTTAGCTTAAAGATTTGTCATTTTTAGCCATACCTCTGAATGTCATTCATAGTTGAATGGGTTGGAATGGATGCTTTTGTCTAAAAGTGATTTTATTACCAAGTTATCAGCTTTCATTTCAGGGTTTTTATGCTTCTCTCACATCTGCCACAGTAGCAGGCATTCGGAGATTGTTAAATGGAATTAAAGTTTTGGGGGGAAAAAGGTTCCCATGCTTAGAGAATGGTGGAACCCATGCCTTTCTTTGGTTTGTATGTAGGTCAAGGCGCTACCTAGGGTCTACTACTTAGTGTGAGATTTGGAGTGCACTTCCTAGTCTCTGTATCCCTCGGGTTTTCATCTGAAATGGGCTGTTACTAACACCTATCAAAAGGATTGCAGCATGAACGAAGTGTTGTTCTTTTGCTGCAGCGACAGACAATGAAACAGGAATCACGAGTCAACAAACCCACGTGGAGTTTATTGAAGGGAAAGGGAAGAGAAGGAGGGGTGTTATTGGCCAACCGGGAGCAGAGAGAAAGAGAGAAGCAGAGAAGAGGGGCAGAGAAGGGAGAGCGAGAGAGGAGAGAGATGAGAGAGGGGGAGGGGGAAGGAGATGAGAGAGCGCAAGAAGGTGCTCGCTTTAAAAGGGGTAGCTTGCACATGCGTACTGAGTCCTTAGCAGCCCTGTAATGCGTGACGTAGCCATGATGTGGCCACGCAACACAGGGCCCATTGAGCTGCCTAAGTATCTGCCTGAATGCTTTATGGGTGTCCCACGCATTGTCAGGGGGCAGGGTCAGCATAATTCCGGGTTCCAGCACTAAGTGAGGATTCTGCACAAGGCAAAGATCTGGCTAGGGAATACTGTGTGCTTTTGTTGTTGTTGCTTTTTGCCTGTGCATAGCTTTTATTTTATTGTTTTTTCTTTCTTTTAAAAACAAAGTCTCTGTGTAGCTCTAGCTTTCCTGGAACTCCTCTCTATACCAGGCTGACCTCTGCCTCTGACTCTGCCTCTTGAGTGCAGGGATTAAAGGCTTGTGCATGGCCATATTTTTAAAATGTTTATACTTATTTTTAGTTTGTGTGTGAGTGCTCATGTATGTGGATGTGTGCGTGTGAGTTCAGGTGCCCTTGGAGGCCAGAGGCACTCCCTGGAACTGGAGTTAGAAGTAGCTGCTGTGAGCAAGCTGACATGGGTGAGCAGTGAGTGTTCTCAGCTGCTGAGCATCTCCCTAGCCCCTGGTTATTTTTAATGACAGCGCCAAGTTGGTTTTAGATTTTACTCTCTTCCTCTCATCTCCATTTGCTTATTGTTTTAATGAAAACATTAGAGGCTTTTATCTGTGTATTTCTGTTAGGTTTAAGTGATTGCAGTAGATATTTCTTGATGAACGTGGGGATGCAGGTTTGAATGGACCAAATTCCAGGAGAGTCCTAAGGAAACATTAGTAATTCCAGTTTCTTCTTTCCACAGTATGATTCTAGCTTTAATAAATGACTGAAGCTGGAGAAGCCGGGGTTGAAGTCAACCTACACTACACTGCACAATTGAGGAGCCAGAGACTACTTAAACCACCCTTAAAACCATGACCATAGCAGTATATATTTTGGTCTTTGAACAACAAAAAACAAAAAAACAAAACAAAAAAAAAACTTGACTATTTTTGCTGTATTTTTACCACATAAAGTATTTTAAAAAAATGAATTGAGTTTTTGTAGATTTCTGATTCTCAACCCAATGTGTGAAGGTGTTTTGTGTCCTCTGTGGCTGTGGTAGGGGTGGGAGTGTGTGCCAGCTTTGCATGCCAAAGGAAGAAAGGACACACCTAGAAGAGTCCTTGCTAGATGAGCTGGGCTCCCTTGAAGTCAGAAAAGCCGACTTTTTTTTGAGGGACTTTTTCAGCTAAGTCTTTCAAAAGAAAATGACATTTTAAAATATATTTATTTATTTGTAGCATTTGAAATCTTATAAGCCATGAGCCTAGGTACAATATAATTCTGCTTATAGAAAGGAAAAATAATTTTTAAAATCAAAACTTTATCAAGAACTTTCATTTTAAAGCTTGTATCGCCATAATCCCCCCATACACTACTACTACTACACACGCACGCACGCACGCACACACACACACACACACACACACACACACACAAAATCACCTTTGCTCTTGCCAGGCCTTATTTTTGCATCATAATTGTTCCATTTATATTTGATCTCTTTAGTAATGTTTTAATGGATTTGGAGAGGAGACTTGGTGGAAGACACTCAGAATCAGGAAGAGTCAGTCATCGTTAGTTGAAACGCCTGTGAGTACTCTCGGTGCAGAATTAATTGCACTGACCACTTTGTGGATTGGAAAACCCAGCCCAAGTCCTTGCGTGCACACGGCAGTACCTCAGCACTCTTTAAACTCTTGCTCTGGCAGTGAGCCCCAGACTGTTTGTCACATCTTGCAGTGCAGTCTGAACTGGCAATTCTTCCTCCGTCCTGTTTGCACTTCAGGGTTGGTATCTGAAACTCTGAGATTTAAGAAAACATGGCTGTTCACTTTGTTCAGGGTTGGTATCTGAAACGCTGAGATTTAAGAAAACATGGCTGTTCACTTTGGCATGCTGGACCTTGGTGGCAAATCTGTGGTTCCCCAGAAGATTAAATCTTTAAATGCTGCAAGTCTTACTGAGTGAGGTGGGACGCTAGATTCCCTGTCAGAATGGGAGTGGTGATGTATGTGTCCACACAGGAAGAAAGGATTTGAGATGGCATGCAAAGTAAACTCGGTTCCCCAGAACTCTGAAATCACAGAAATTATCCCAACCGGAATCTTGTGCTTCTGCCTGGGAAAGGGCTAAGAAGCTGTAACACAGGAGTTACTTTGTTGTATCTTTTTCATACCTTTTCTCTCTGGGACACCTGCTTAACACCCCTACCTACCTTCCATTGCTTCTCAGTGGTACTCAAGCTTTTCAAGCAGACCTGTTGGCGGATTCATAGAACTGAGACAAGCTATCATACTTAAAGTGGCTCCAAGGTAGTGGAGGACTTTGGTCTGAAATGTTTCATCTCCAAGTGTTCCTAACCCAAACCCAGTGTAGCTGGGCACCTATCACTTACTTGTCTGTCAGGCATAAGCTCCTGAGGCCGAGTTAATGAGAAAGCTATCTAGTGTCTAACAACCAAACTTCATTCTGAAATACCAACTAGTTACAAATAAAACCCCTTTCTTTCTCAAAGCCAGGAAAGGGGTGGGGGAATCATGCCTCTGGACTTTCTGGAGGGAGGGGGGATGCTTCTATAAATGCTGAAAAGGAGAAAACAGACACTTGCCTGAGTGGCTGTGCCTCCAGCGGTGCTGTACAGTGATCAGAGCATTGCAGTTTCCTCTCAAAGATGAAGACAGGCCTGGGGATTGTCAGAGATCTCAAAAATGTGAACATCTCAAGTCCAGTTAGTTCAGTGTCCCCCTGGCCCTCTGGAAAGGCTCTGGTGTTGAGGGCCTGGCCAGTGCAGACTACCGTTGGGTGCTGCTCTGCTGGGTCACACCCCTTTTCCTTCTAGGCTTTTAATAACAACATGATAGCTAGTTACCTGTGTAGAGCTGAGGAAATACGACCCAAGATACCGCCCCACTCATCAGACACCTACCTGGCCCCTTTCATGCTTGCTACACACAGGAGACTAGCAAGCACAGAGGCTTCCCTCTGACATGGGCTCCTGTGGGAAGACTCACCACTTCCACACGCTGACACTTGTATGCAGTTGGTCTCTTCCTAGATTGTGCGCTCCTGGAGAGCAGGGTCCACTCTGATCATGACTGGCGCCTAGTACAGTGCCTTGCACACACAGTAAATGGCTGTTGAATAACAAGCTAATCTGATTGTGTTGTTCTGTTGTCCTTTAATTCAGAGAAGCAGTGATGGGACAACAGAGTCAAAGCCCATCACTCTATCTCTCCAAGTATTCTTTTTTAAATATTTTTTTCAGCACTCGGCAGACAGAGGCAGGCGGATCTCCGTGAGTTCGAGGCCAGCCTGGCCTGGCCTACAGAACTGAGTGCCAGAAGAACCTCCAAAGCTACACAGAGAAACCGTCTTGAAAAACAAAAAACAGCAACAACAAAATTTTCGTGTATTATTTTGCTTGTATGCCTGTCTGTGAGGGTATCATCCCGTGCAACTGTAGTCACAGACAGTTGTGAGCTGCCACATGGCTGCTGGGAATTGAACCTGGGTTCTTCCAAAGAGCAGCCAGTGCTCTTAACCACCAGCCCAATGTTGCAGTGCACACTACAAGTATTATAAGATCTTCTGGGCTTATAAGGGAAGCTGTTGTATTGAGGTTACTTCAGACTGCTGAAATTAACTTTGCTTACAAGTAACATTTTATCAGAACTTAATGGGTTATCACATACTAGGTTTAATAATGCAGAAGTAGCCAGGCAGTGGTGGTGCAAGCCTTTAATCCCAGCACTCTGGAGGCAGTCAGGTAGGTCTCTGAGTTTGAGGCCAGGCTGGTCTACAGAGCTTTCCAGAACAGCCAGAAATCTAATCTTGGAAAAACAATAAAATGATGATGATGACAGCAGAAATAGGCTGAATTGGGGTGTGGCTCAGTGTTAGTGCAATTTTCTGGCAGAGCAAGGCTATGGATTCCATCTCCAGTACCACAGAAGGGGAGAATTTGAAATTGTTTGCTATTTAGGTTCAGCAATCTGAGATTGTCTTTTTGGTTTTTTTGAGACATGGTTTATTTATCTGTGCAGCTTTGGAGCCTGTCCTGGCATTCCTCTGTATACCAGTCTGGGCCTCAAATTCACAGATCCGCTTACCTCTGCCTCCCAAAGTACGGGGATTAAAAGTGTGAGCCACCACCGGCTGATGTTGTCTTTAAGTTTTTACATGTAGTGTTGGTCTGCCTGCGTGTCTGTGCACCACGTTTGTGCGGTACCCCAGAAGCCAGAGGAGGACATCAGATCTCCAGGAGCTGACAAGTGAGTACCGAAAATCAAACCCATGTCCTCTGAAGAACAGCCAGTGCTCTTAACTGCAGTCATCTCTCTAGTCTATTTATTTATTTTTAAAGACAGGATCTCCTGTGTCCTGGGCTGGTCTAGAACTTAGTTACCAACCAAACTACATCCTAAGTTTTGTCTTTTAAACCAGAGATACCATTTTGCCATGTACTGTAAGAGATGGAAATATTTTTGATGTAGTAAAATTGGTTAGCAAGGCTATTAAAAAAAAATGGCCATTCTTGAGGGTTTTCAGTGAAGCCATTTCCCTCAAATGTCCTAAAAGGCAGAAGGCTAGCTGTTGCTAATGTCGTGGTCACTCAAAGCCTCAACTGTGGTTACTACAGTAAGCCACAGCACGTACGGTACTACACTCTTCCTGCCCTCCAGAAAGGTCTTTTCAGAAAGACAGCTTTTCAGTTGCCCCCGCGAGGCTGGGTGGGAAGAGGGTGTGATCACAATCAACTTGCTGAAGCACCGAGGTTTGACTGTGGCCTGGCCTCCTCTGCTGTCAGTCTGCTCTGCTGATCCTTAAAGTGCCGTTTTTGCATGTATCAGTTTCCACTAAACATGAGAATCTGGGCAAAATGTGGGCTCCTCCCATCCCTTTCTCACAGCTCACTCCCAAGGATCCGTGACGTCAGCTTATGGGATCTGACTTCATCTTAGACCCACTCCTCCCTAAGCCATTTACTCTGGGCTGGCACTTGAACAAAGGACTTTCGTCCATTCCCAAAGCTTGCTTCAAACTGATCTTCTCCAGGGAAGAGATCATGGATCCAACTGTGGCAAGTTTCCCTGAGACCTTGACTTCTTGGACCTGCTCATTGCAGGGCAACTGGGCAGAGCTGAACCTTACTTAACTGAGGGCAACACATTAGCTGCTATAATTTCTGACAGCAGGGACCCATGGGATGAGGCAAGTAGCAAATCTGTATTGATTTTCTAAATTAAAAGTTTCATAGGGTGAGGGGTTATGGATCTCAGTGGAAAACTTTGTGGATTCAATTATCACCTTCCATCTTGTTGAGAGAGTGTCTCATTTCTGCCATTGCCCAGCATACTCCAAGATAGCTGGCCAGCTACCTTCCAGGTGATTGTCTTTGCTCCCCAATCCTAAGATTACAGATCTCAGTCACCATATCCAGTTCCTTTGAGTTCTGGGGATTGAACTCAAGCTCATAAGGAAGTGCTTTTCTTATCTGGTGAGCCATTGCCTCTACCCAAAAGTTTCTTTTAGTGCTGGGAACTGATAGGCTTTGGCTTCACAAATGGGAAGCAAGTGCTTAAGTCACTGAGCTCCATCTCCAGCCTCTTAGTTGTAATTTTCTACCAGTTGTAATAATCAATCATTGTACCAATAACCTATCTCCTATACTCCAAAGCAAGTTCAACATCACATGTTAAGGTTTAGAATCTTAAAGCATGCACAGATATAATGCCAACACTCTACATAAACTATCACTTTTTGGGGGAGGGGGTCTTGCTATGTAGCTTAGGCCAAGTTCAAATCCACAAACCTTCTTCCGCCTTTCCTTCCTGAGGAGCAACTAGTTGGACTATGTAATTTCTTTCCATTAAATAACCCATGAGGGCTCAAATTTCCCCAGGGCTCAAAAGTTCTGCAGTTGGTTTGTTAACGTAGTGATCTAAACAAGGTCTATACATTTGGACAAGTCTGTAAAGCTTTTATTTCACTGCAGTAGTCAGAAGAGGGACTGGAGTTGCAATGGTTGTGAGCTGCTATGCAGATGACTAGAATTGAACCCCGGCCCCCTGAAGATCAGCCAGTGCGCTCTTAACCTCTGAGCCATCTCTCCAGTCCTAGAACTTGCTATGAAGACTATGATGGCCTTGAATTCTGCTTTATCCCGTTTTCTTAAGACAGGGTTTTTCTGTGTAGTTTTTGCTGTTCTGGAACTCATAGAGATCCACCTGCCTCTGCTTCCTGAATGCTGGGATTAAAGGTGTACGCCATCACTGTCCAGCCTTGTTAAGCTTCATATCACTCTTCAAAACATTTTTTCAAGAATTCAGTTCAGTGTCTGTTAGGATACTATTAGTTGTTTTCACAGATGAGGGGCCTGGCTTTGACATACTAAGTAACTTGCCTGAAGACTCTAGAAAACTCAAGTGTGTATATGGATACCTCCTGAAATCTCAAATCATTTAATTTTAATGACACTAACAATTTTTGATTTTCCCAAAGTGGCCACCTACAGACTAAGGGAAGACTATGGTATGACTATAAACAATAGCTTTAAGTTAGATGTAAGCTGGGAATTACCATTTGCCTTATAAATCTACTGTACTGTATTATCAAGTGGCTTGTTTTAGGGCTGAAATACACTAAACAGTGAGTATATTGGCATATCAGTACCACTCAGTCCCTCAAACTCTCTTGCTCCTACTTCTAATTTGTGGTGTCATCACAGGTTGTAATACAGCTTGGTCTTGTGATGGTTAGACAACAATCCCTGGGTTGGTGGTAGGTGGATACCATGTAATTATAGTTCTCTGGGACTGGAAAGGTGGCTCAGCAGTTAAGAGTGTCTGAGTCCTAGATAAGTGTCTGGTGTTACACAGTCCTGCAGCTCCGTCTCCAGGGACTCCATACCTTCTCCAACTTCAGAGTGAGGATGAAAGTGTGTACAACACACACACTTTCTTCTCAGAGCGAGGACGAATGTGTGTACAGCACACACACACTTTCTTCTCAGAGCGAGGACGAATGTGTGTACAGCACACACACACTTTCTTCTCAGAGTGAGGACAAATGTGTGTACAGCACACACAAACACTTCTTTCAATTTTATTATGTGTTTCTTTGGGAGGGGCATGTTGTTGCAGGAGCTGGTTCTCTCTTCATGTAGGTTCTAGTAATCAGTTGGCTCATTAGGTTTGGCAACAACCACATCTATCTGCTGAGCTATCTAGATGGTTTTTCCCTCTAATGAGAGATCTGAAACTGGTTTGGAAACCAGAAATCTTAACCCAACCCTACCCAAGTTGAGTCTCACATGCACTTGTATTAAGTACAGGCTTGGAATCTAACTTTATCCATGACTGGCTGCACAATGGCCTCCTTTAAGAACACCAAGAACTGTTTCCTTAGACTCCATTTACAAACCCTACATCAAGATATGGCAACCAGTTCAGCAAACTAGTTGTTTGAGATGTAACACAACAAGAATTCATTATTCATTCTGTTTATTGGATTGAGATAAGGGAATACAAAGGACTGGGCAAGTGCTGTGCACTGACATGGAAAAGGTGTAATTAAAATAAAATTTAAAAATCCCAGTAAAGCAAATCCAAGTTACTGTAATTTCAATCAAACAAAAAAATTAAATGACATTTAATATACCACACATTTATAAAATAAATGTCAACCAAAAGGTGTCTTGTAAATAATTAGTAGAACAAGTGAAAATAAATATGAGACCTGAAGTTTTTATACTTTAATGAAATAATAAAACAAAGAAATTTAAACTACTAAATATAATCTGAGAGGCAGTTAAAAAAGCAAACCCCAAAGTTTAAGAACACGATCCTCTGGAAACATCTACCATAGTTAACTGTTACGCCACACCAACATCGTGTGAGCTACAGTGCCTTATCACTCTCTACAGTTCAGAAATCTCCAGAGCAACACCCAAGTTCTTTATGTGATCTCTACAGCTTGGTTTGTAAGCACATACATGCTTTTGCAATCTACTCCCCTCAACACACACACACACACACACACACACACACACACACACACACACACACACACACACACACACACACACACCCCTCCCTCCCTTTCTCCCTCTCTCTTACTTTCTAGGGGCCAATAACATTTTCCCCCTCTGAGCCTAAAAAATTGTTATGATTTAATTCTAGCGTATTGATCCTGATAATGTAACTGTCTAAGTCAAAAGGTGGGACACAATTCATTCTTATAAAAATAGACAAGTATTAACCAAGTCTTACACTCAGGAGAGGGCACTTTACATGTGCACAAGACTCCAGTAAAAATGACAACCTAGAAGTTATTTCTAGGATACTTTATGAATCAAGGTCTTTCTCAAAACACACAAAATTTTATGCGATTAACTTCATTAAATCCAGGCTATCTGGATGGGGATGAGTTTTTACAGCTTGTTTTTGAAATTCTGGGGCAGCTACTGTAACAATAGCTCAACACTTCCAAGTTTAGATTAAGCTCACCCTGTTTTTAGAAAGTGTCTACATGTAAATGCAAATTCACCTCTTTTAAGTTAGCAGTTTAAGTGAAATCAGGCATGGTTTCGGGAATGGAGGGAATGCTTTGGCCAGCAAACGAAGGGAGAATTGCTCAAGTCAGAGACATGAAAGTAAAAATACTAAGTAAAAATATATTTTAAAAATGGGACACAAAGGATATTAAGACAAATTATCTTCTTCCTCCCCATTCTTCTGTAAAGTAAATGACATGGATATGTTCCCTTTCAAGAGATGTGCGACACTTTTACCCACTGGGAGGCAGAGGGTCAGTTCTTGTTTGCAGGAACATCCTAAAAAAGAAGATTTCAAGGTGGGGAGGGGTGGGAAAGAAGAATTTTCTATTAATGCCACAGAATGCCAGTCGAGGCAGAGCACTCCTACTCTCTAATCTTACTGAATTACTGCTGTGTTTACTCAGACTAAGGAAATAGTGACAAGATTGCTCTTGGTTCATGTAGCAGGTTATTTTAATCACTTACACTCAGAGAATTCTTTTTGTTCTCCCACCCAATAAAATGGGCCAATATATGGGGACATCTGCAAGTAAAATTTCCTGTTTTCAACTACTTACCTGGCTTGGCTAGAATACATTTATCTAGCCAGCAAGAGCAATGAAATACAGGTGGCATGAATACTAAAACACAAAAATCAGATCTGAAGCTTTGTCATCTCCCCCAGCTAACTCCCACTCTAATTCTTTTTTTCATCACCCACACACCAACCTCAGTGAGTCCCAAATCCAACACTTTACCACTAATAACCAGTAATTACTTAGAGGAAAAAGACATTTAATTTCATTCTTGCTCTAGCCCTTAATCAACGCATTAACAACAACAAAAACATTTTCAAGCACACGGTATTGAGCCTACTAACCTGATTTTTGGAGTAAAAAAATCTCCACTATTTTGATCTATGTGCAAAAAGTATTGGTACTTTTCAGTTTATACATTGGTTAGTATCTTGTGGCTGGCTTGACAGAATTTTCCCTCTTAAGCCTTTATGTAGTTTATCACATTGTCAGAAGATTTCATTTAATAGCTATGGGTTAGAAAAATCCTGCCACCAGGTTCTTCCATCATAAAAGCTAGGTTTCGTCACCATCTTTCCTACCGTTCTAACATACTCACTTCATTGTAAATATAGGAAACAGACCCTTACAGCAAAATGGCACAGTGAAGTGCCCGGTCTATACAGGAAGCCGCTAGTTAGGACAGATCTGGAAACCAAACTCACCTAGCTACTATGAACACCTTTGCATAGTTGTAACTCCACTTTAACAAGGAGTTATGGTCTTGTGAAATGACCCTCACTTTCAGTCCATGTTTTACTCCTAAGTGTTTTTAACTGTCCTTCAGAAGCACTGTGAAAACTCAGGTGTAGGTGTGGCTTGGTATACTAATGGAATCTCAATTGTCAGACTGCCCTGAATGGGCAGGAAGTTCAAGGAACATTACATATGTACCATATAGTACAATGTAACTACATTTGTAAACAGCTGTGGAGTTCTGCGCCCACATTTTATTAATGACTGTTACCGTAGAGACTGGGATGTATGTATTAATGGCTTCAGGGTGTATCAATCAAAATACGGTTTTAACTGCACTGAGGTACAGGAGTTGCCACTTAATTAATATAGTTATGAATGAAAATTTTTATTCAAGCTTAAAGTGAAAAGTAATTTTAGTCAAGAAATGAAGTACCAGATAAACGGTAACATATTTTAACTTAGATGTATCAAAACAGGATTTCTCTGATTTTCTAAAGTGGTGGTCTCTGCAAAATGAAGCTTAAAGGAATCTTTTACACACCAATTTGATAAAACAATTGCCAACTACGATCTGTTATTTCCTTAGTATGGGCTTTGGGAGAATAAACACTATTTTAAGGCCCACAACCCTGTCCTAGGGCCGTGAAGGCTGTGATCGTGGTGAGAATGCTACGGATTTGGCTTGGCTTCAAGGCCAACTCGGTACAAGATTTGTTTTCTTCACCAGGATCTTACTTTGAGAGTAATTCCACTTCTCTTTCCAAAGGCTGTGGTCACCCTGATTATCCTCTACTGAAAAACAGGGGATTTCAAGGGAGACTGTTAGATCCACAACATCAGACATTAGATGTAGTCCTCAAATGAGAAGTCTTTTTTTCCATAAAGGAAACCATCCCTTACACTAAAAGGGAGCAGGGGGAAAAGACTGTCCACAGCACCAGTTTGAGTGAGGTTCAGTATGGCAACATCTGAGAAGCTGAGATGGAATCTTCTTTAAATTCCAATGACCCTGAATGTTGGGCATTAAGGGCAATTAGGAGAAATGACTGAGGTTTTAATCCCAGTTTACACGTCTGTAACCTGCAAAGTTCTCCTAAGTCTCAACTACACTATCAATCCCCAAAGCAGGTCTATCTCCCGATCTCTAGTTTTACTAGGTCACACCAAGGCCACAAAGAACCTGGAACAAGTTTTCTTGAAAACCTACACTGATGGCTGATTTTTCATGTTGATGTATTTATAAAATTCTCCTTTTGAATCTTGAATTTCTTCACCATCAGATACTGATGTCCCTTTGGGCATAAAATAAAAAGGGGAAACCTTCAAAGTATCTCTCTGGCTTTCCTGTGCCGTGTCCCTCCTTCTGAGCACGTTTCTGACCGTGCCACGTCTCAGGTGGCACTCCAGAGGAGCTCAGTCACACTGCGTGTCTCAGTCACAGAGGAAACTGTTTTTAAGCTGGTTTGGATTCCAAATGTATACAAATGAAGTCACTTTAATCCTATAAATACTTCTTAATTTATTATTAAAAAATTGTGCTGTTAACCCTTTTACGGGGCAACAAGCTATGTGAAAAGTACAAAACTTTTTGTCAAATGTAATATTGAGAGTGCTTTTGACATAGTTCACTGGTTTATCATCTGATCAGTATATACTGCGCAACGGGCAAGGCTAGAATCCATGAACCAAGCTGCAAAGATCTCAAGCTAAATAAGGCGGAAAGATTTGGAGAAACAAAAAGAAATTCTTTCCTGTCCAATGTATACTCTTCAGACTAATGAACTCTTCCTATCAAGCCTTCTAAACTGTTAAATAAAGTTTCCAAACAAGCATTTGAACTTCATTACACAGAAGAGCAACAAGAATGGTATCCCACCAGACAAAAGGCAGGAGGGAAAATATATATACTGAGTTCAATGGGTAAGCCTGAATGTAGCACAGTTCTTCACAACCGATGGGGAATAATTCAACATGGTGTCCAACAACGTTCTAACGACGTGCTTCATCGACTGGTTACTATGAAGCAAGGTGTAAATGTTTGGCCCCAATCGGGCTTCAGAAATGGTTCTTTTTTCATGACGAGCATGTCTGTCCAGCTATCAATCATGTTTGTTTGCACCAAATCCCAAGCCATTAAAATACGACTAATTTTAAGTTAAACAGAAGTCGTCTGCTCCAATTCGCCATCAACTATCCATGCTACTGCATTCCTCTAAATGAAGAGAAGATGAAAATGTGTACAGAGAGAAAAAGAAAAAAGGGAGAGAAGGGAAAAAAAAAACCCAGTTAGAAAGTTTCAATATCTGCATTAGGACACAACAGTAGAATAAGTAACAATAACAAATTCTTGGTATTTTCAAAGTCCTTAAACAATGTATCTCCCTCACTTTTTAGGTTCTATTTTATAATATAACATCATGATTATTTTGAATAATGTAGGAAAAGGAATGTTAGAATTTCCCAATTACATGTTTCTTTTGGGGCAGGGGCAGTGAGACAGGGTCTCACTGTGAAATTTTGCCTGGCTTTGAACTCACAGAGCTCTACCGTCCTCTACCTCCCGAGGGCTAGGACTAAAGGTGTGCAGAACCATGCCTGACAGAATTCCCTATTTTTAAAATTAAGCTTGGAATAGATAATTAGAATAAGAAAATCTTTGCTAGATGGTGGTGGTGCATGCCTCCCAGCACTCAGGAGGCAGAGGCAGGCGGCAGGTGGATTAAAAAAAAAAGTTGCTAGCTTACAACAAAAAAGAGGAAAGAAAACTCTCGTAGCACAAGGCAGAGTCGCACACTCTATATACTCAATTTATTCAACTGCTGAAGCTTGAGGTCTACTGTATCACCCAGCTCTGTTTGGGAGCAGTGTATATGTGATCACATACCATTAAAATACTTAATTTCAGTATATTGACAGCTTATACAATATCAGTACATCATTTTAGAGCAACTTTACTAAATTGTAACAGTCACACACATCCTCACAAAAAAAAAAACTACTCCTTGGTCTCTGTGGGTTGGCCTATTTTTAGATCACTTCAATATAAAATGCAATCATAGCATATGGTGTGTCTGTAAAGTTTAGTTTCTGATATATTTCATTTAGCATACTGTTTCCAAGGTTCAGGCATCTTATATAACATGTATAAATACTTCATCCTATCCCATTTTATACTCCCCACAACATATAAAACAAAAATCAGAAAGTAACTAAGGTAATCAATCTTGCAACTCATTACAAAAAAAAACAACTTCTCTTTGAAATAAACTGTTAATCCAGGAGCTAGACTGATGGCTCAGCAGAAAAAAAAAGAAAAGGAAAAAAAAAATAATAATAATAATTACTGTCCTTGCATAGGACCCTGGTTCAATTCCCAGAACACACATGGTGAGTTTTAAAAGCAGTTTCTACCTCCAATCCCAGGGAATCAGATGGCCTCTTCTGGCCTCTGTGGCACCACACATGTGGTATAGATTTATATTTAGGCAAAACACTCATAACAGATAAAGATAAATTCATTTTAAGAACTTGTTGGGCAAATAAGATGTCGTCATGGTTAAGTGCTTGCTGCTAAGCTTGAAGACCTGAGTTCAATCAACAGAACCCACATGGTGTAAGGAAACCAACTCCAGCAAGTTGTCCACTGACTTCAACATAGCACATGTACCCACCACCCTCTCACACACAATAATGTACAAACCTTTCATATACATTGTTTTGAATTAAATATAGTACCATATGCTAGTCTTTGAATGTTATCTTTAACTTATACTTTCAATTCCTATTCTAAACAGCTACAATTTATTTAGAAAAATAATGTTTTCATTGTATGTGTGGGAAAACTCCAAAGGATAGTCTCAAAAAGCAGTTCTTTGATTTGAAATTAGAATGACTTTATGTACAGGGTCATATCTATGCTGGTGTAGCATAATGATGTTGCTGAATTGGGCCTGATCTTGTAACTGAGTCAGTATCTGGCACGCTCATTGAAATGAATCACATTAAACCAAAGTGCAAAGTGCGACTTTTACCCCACTGTGGTGCACACAACTAAAAGTAAAGATTTCTGGTTCTGATTGATTCCCCAGGAATATCAGATAGTGAACCAAGAGAAAGGGGCCTCTGATGTTCACATAATTGTACTCAGTACTTTTTTAGTCTCATCTCTCTGTTTTATTCTTTTTTTTTTTTTTCCTGAGACAGGATTTCTTTGTGTAGCCCTGGAATTTGCTCTGTAGAACAGGCTGGCCTTATACTCAAGAGATATGCCTGCCTCTGCCTCCTGAGTTTCAGGATTAATTAAAGGCATGCACCACTACTGCATGGTCTCATCTGAGTTTTAAAAAATAGTAATAAGGCTGGGTGTTGGTGGTGCACGCCTTCAATCCCAGCACTTGGGAGGCAGAGGCAGGCAGATCTCTGTGAGTTCGAGGCCAGGCTGGACCAATAGCCTTCAAAACAATACAGAGAAATCCTGTCTGTAAAAACCAAAAAAAAAAAAAAAAAAAAAAAAAAAAAAAAGACCATGAACACATGTGAGAGCAGATACACTCTGAGCATGCTAATTGGAATGAATTTTATCTTTCCCTCACCATCAGACATAGCTAATGTTAGTAGGCTAGACAGTGCTAACATATTAGGAAAATCCCAAAATGATCATTAAAAGTTCCTCAAATTTTATTATTCAATTACTTCTCATGTTTATAAAATGTTTTGTGTAATATCACATTTACGTAGCATGCTGAAGCAACATTTTAATAAAATTTGTATGTATGTGCATGCAAATGCATGTTTGCGGGTACAAAATGTGTGGAGGTCAAGACAACCTTGTGTGTCCTCGGTCCACGCCTCCACTAAAACAAAATCTTTCCTCTGCTGTACATGTCTGCTTAGTGGGCCTGACAGCTTCTGGGGACTCTCCTTTGTGTCTACCTCCCGTGTTCCAGGAGAGCAAAATGATTAGACTCAGAGCAGCATAACATGGGTTTGGAATCTAAACTCAAGTCCTCATGCTCATGGGGCAAGTGCTTACCACACACCCATCTCTGAAACCCCCGAAGTTTAAAGTTAACTTGATGCAAACGAGGTAGCACATTCTAGTTTAAAGTATTACTACAGTTAACTTGGTGCAAACGAGGTAGCACATTCTAGCTTACTTTCTTCATTGCCTCTCCTTCAAAATAACAAATAAAACAATCTTAGGTTTTTTAATTTCTTTCTACACAGTGAGATAGGTGAAATTAAAACAAAAGTTACATTCCACATTTAAACTGCTATTTAAAAGTGCCGGTACTCAGAGCAGTATCTCCTCTGGAGAAACACGAGGACTGTGGAAGCCTTACCTTCAATATTCTGGTGGTCTATAAAAGGTGCTGGTCCCCATATTCTAACAGTGCCATCATCTGAGGCACTGGCCATCATAGATGGGATCTGCGGGTTCCAGCTAACACAATTGACTGTGCGTGTGTGCCCTGTCAGTTCTGCAATTGGCAGTTCACTTCGTTTGTGCCAGATGTAAACCTTGTGATCTAATGTAGAGAAATTCAGAGAAATGTTAGAGAGTTGTGTTACCAACAAAACCACTGACCATCACTTACCATTTACTACACATACAACATGATTTTTCAATACTATAACTTGAAGGGAGAAAAATATAAAAAATAGTTTAATAAATGAATTTTGTGAAAAGTCGTATTAATACATTTTTTTTCTTGATCGAGGTAACCACAAAAACATCTACTGTCTATTGGTCTGTCAAATCAATTACCTATGTAGAGACAGTCTGTAGTCCAGTTTCAAACTCACTATGTAGCAGAGGATGAACTTCAACCCTGGACCTAGTGCTGTGACTACAGGTGTGAGCCACCATGCATAGTTTATGTGTGAGGGACTGAACCCAGGATTACATGTGTGCTGGCAAGCACAATACCAACTGAGCCATATCCCCAATTCCTAGTTCTCCTATATATATAGTCACTACAATGAAAAAGCTTCAATACTGATTAAAAACTTTGAAGGTTCTTACATTAGCATTTATATACTTAGGGTATTTGGTGGGCTTCTGAAATACAGTACTTGAAAATGAATATAAAAAGCTTGCTGTGGTCATCTTGGAAAATTGCTATATACAGCTGGTTTCTGTATGTATAACTTGGAATAACGAAAAACTAAGTACATGCTTATCTAAATATACAAGTGTCTTTAATCTACAAATCACGTTTAGTAGAAGGGACAAGTTGTTTTAACTGTAACAATTACCAGACATGAAAGTGGTGCTTAGACATACATACTATCTTTAATTAAAAAAAAAAAACTATCTGAGTTTTTTTTTTCACAGCCTTAGTAGAACTAAAGATACTGTTAAATATAAGTAAATCATAATAATTAGCCCAAGTTTTGGATTTTGGAGACAAATTCTCTCTACATAGTTCTGGCTGTCCTAGAAATCACTATGTAGACCAGACTGGTCTTGAACTTAAAGAAATACATTTGTCTTTGCCTCCACCTCCCAAGTGCTAGGCTTTATTAAAGGCATCTGCCATTCTGATCAGCAACCTTTAAGAACTATCAGCTCCTCGAGCCATATAAAGATGTAATGACTTAGGTAAATATTGATTTGATTGACTAGGACGGGCTCCACTGATCTGTACGAGTGAGGAGGGTGGGCTCAGCCACAGAAGGTTTCATCACCAACAACACAAAGGAAAATGAACAAGCAACCAAACCAAAACAAACCTCAAGGGTTCAAGCCATTCCTCCAAAGGTAACATTAAGAATACACTACAGAGTCTACTAAAATAGTTAATATCTTATTTTACACTTGCTGAGAAACAAGACCTTGGTTCACCTCTCTGGGTGAACAACAGTGACACAAACACTTTACCTTCACTGCCACTAGCGATGAAGTCTTCATTATGGCCTCCAAAACATGAATGAATTGTATAAAACCCTTGTGTAACACCTTGATATTTCCTTACTAAAACTCTGTCTTGTAAGTCCCATAAATGAACTCCCTGCAGGCAATAAAACAAAAGAGAAAAAGGCTTTGTTGCTTTTGAGATAGGGTTGGTTCTGTCTCCCACCCCCACATAACTTATTTTTAAAAGACAGTTTCACTATATGCTTCATATTAGACTGGAACTGATAAATCTGTCCAAGTTCTCTTCCTTTTCTCATTTTGGAAACAAGGCTTCTATGTATAGCCCTTGCTGTCCTATAACTTGCTCTGTAGACCAGAGATCCACCTGCCTCTGCTTCCCAAGTGCTGGGATTAAAAGTGTTCACCACTACGCCCCACCCTCCCAAGTTTTTTAGAGTACAGACATGTACAACATGACTCAGCTTAGTAGTTTTTTTTTGTTTTATTTTTTAAAAGACTACTTCTTAATGTTCCAACAGTTGTTCACATTGTGGTGACCACCCCCTCAACCAAAAAATTATTTCCGTTGCTACTTCACAACTTTAATTTTCCTACTTTTATGAATCATAATATAAATATCAGATGTGCAGAATATCTAATAAGTGACCCCTGTGAAGGATCATTTAATCCCCAAAGGGGTCTTGACCCACAAGTTGAGAACCAATGGCTTGGAACTGCTCTTAAATTCAGAGAGATGGCCATTTCTGACTCCAGAGTGCTGGGATCAAAGGTGTGGGCTATCACACCCAGTTTTAACAGAATCTTTAACAGTAATTTGTGAATATTCCTTTGTCCACTGGAACATTTTTCTATTTTTGCAAAATGCCATTATTTCAATAAACTCTTAGTTGATTCCTATACCTTTAATCACTAAACACATATTTAACAACTAGACTAAAAACAACAAAAGCACATTTTCACTAAGCTGAATTTTTCTGAAAGTTGTTAGAAAGAAAGAAAGGAAGGAAGAAAGGAAGGAAGGAAGAAAAGACAACAACATACCTGAGTTGCTACATTTAACAAAGCTAATCGGCCATTTTTTGAAATAGTGAATGACATAATAGGATGATCTTCTTGTACTCTGTAATCAGAAATAAATTGTCAGCAACAGCAGAGTAAAGAACTTCAAGTCATGAGAGACTATAAACTATTACAGCTTAAATGACATTTCTGTCTTACATATGTCCATCAGAATGAGGTAACAAGTACCCCAAAGCAGGGCGTTGGTGGCGCACGCCTTTAATCCCAGCACTAGGGAGGCAGAGGCAGGTGGATCTCTGTGAGTTCGAGGCCAGCCTGGTCTACAGAGCGAGTTCCAGGACAGCCTCCAAAGCCACAGAGAAACCCTGTCTTGAAAAACAAACAAACAAACAAAAAAAAAAAAAAAAAAAAAAACAAGTACCCCAAACACCAATTCAAACAAACAAAACTGCTTTTCTGGAAAAGCTCAACTATACACTTATTTTGATATAAATTACATCATTTCCTTTTTTCTTTCTTCTTTTGGAGGGAGGTTTTCAAGACAGAGTTTCTCTGTGTAGTCCTGGTTGTCCCAGAATGCTTTTAGTAGACCACACTGACCTTGAACTCACAGACTGGCTGGCCTCTGCCTCCCAAATGCTGGGATTAAAGGGCCCACATCCCCTTACCCTGCTAAATGAGACCATTTCTACTGGATACAAAATAATAGTTACATGTTCCTATCTGTAAGGTCCTCAAAGTTGTAGCCCCGGATTCTCTGGTGTGTGTCAGAAGCCAGCACAGTCTTTCCGTCACTCAAGCACCATAGGCACTGCACTCTCACCCCCTCCCAGGAGTCCAAAAGATTTCCATCCAGGTCCTAAGCAGAGAAACAAAGCAGAGCAAAACAAAACCACTCAGAAAACAACCCTAATGTAAATGCTTGGCAATGCCTTATGAAAACAGCTTTGTTTATTTCCTGAAACTGATCTAGCCAAACTATTCTACAAGTATTTTAACTAATAAGAGTTTGACTACAGGCCTGTAAACACTGTACCCAGACATGCAAAGCTGTGGCATGAAAAAAAGAGATCTAAGAATTTAGCTCATAAACTGCTAGTGTAAGCAACAACGAATGCCATAAGATTCATTTTACTAGAAAGTGTCAACTTGCAATAGCTACCCAGGAGATACTGGATTGCTGGTAAGCTGCCCTGGAAATATTTTAAATGACCTATCCAGAGAAAATGAAGCCTGTTGCATAGCCTATTAAATTCTGTTTTATTCCATAAATGTCAACTACAGACAGTTTACCTAAATAAACACCTTATTGAAGTGATGTGGTGAGGAAAAAAAAATCTGAAATCACCTACTAGAACCATGTGAGACCATGACACATGTGACATATGGAACCTACACATAGTTTAAGAATATTACATTTGTATGTCACAGGAAAATTTATCTTAGTTAAATCAAATAATTTACAGTTGCCATATGTGGTGGTACACACCTTTAATCTAGGTATTACATAGGCACATGCAGGAGGATCTTTGTTCTACACAGGGAGTGCTAGGATAGCCAGGGCTACATGGTAACCCTGTGTTAGGGTATGTACACATGTGTAATTACCTACAGAGGCCAGAAGAGGGCATCAGATCCTGACAGCCGCGAGAAGTGGTTGTGAATCACAGAGAACCCAACTTGGATCCCTCATGCTCAATTACTGAACCATCCCTTCACTAACTCCCAAGAGCTGGAATTATACTGGGGATCACTATGCCCTGTGAGCTGAGCTACATCCTCTGCTCTATAGCACTGTTCATTGTTTTTGTTTCTGGAGGTAGGTGCGCGTGCGCGTGTGGGTGTGTGTGTGTCACTTCATATTCCAGGCTGGTATAATTATAGCCCAGGCTACGTTTTAATTTTGTGCAATTTTATCACCTGAGCCTCCCAGGTGCAGGGATTATATGTATTAGACACCAGGCCTGGCTAGCACTCTTTCTTATAAAGGCCTAACCCTGGGCACTCAACAGGAATCGCTGAATTTTTCAGTCCTACAAATTAGTACCTTTCTTTTAAGGCAGGGTCTTACTATGGAGTCCTGACTGGCCTAAAATTCAGAGATCAACCTGCCTCTGCCTCCCAGATGCTGTGGTAATAGCTACTACACCCACCTAATTTTACAATTTTCATTAATACCCGAAATGGTTTTAAAAATATGAAAGAAAAGTAACAAAAATTCTATTAAATACTCATTTAAGAGGATGGTAAATAGTTTTCATATGTGTCAAATGATCTTCATTTTATTTGGTTATCTATTTTTGAGATGGAGCTTACTCTAAAGAGATCCGCCTGCCTCTACCTTTCAAGTGCTGTTATTTAAAGCATGTCTGTTCCTCTATGCCCAGCAAGTGTAAATTTTAAGAATCATTCAAGAAGCAAACAGTTCAATTTACTTTTAAAAAGGCATCCTTGGCAAGAAGGCCCCATACTCACACACTGGTAGAACTGCCCCCGCTGGCCTCCAGTCACAAAGCGCTTCCCATCTGGGTTCCAGGCTACACTGGTCAAACTGTCTTCATGAGATTGGCTCATTTTTGTTCTTAATTCTCCCGTCTATAAGGAAATAAAACTGTGGATAAGACGTTCGAGATTCCTAAGGGGTATATGTAAAGAAAGAAAAAGACTGGGAAGGAAGGGAAGGGAAGAAGGCGAAGAAAGAAAGGAGGAGAAAGGAGGGAGAAGGTGGCCGGAAGGACGGAGGGAGGGTGACTGGGGAATCTTGCTAGTGCACCATTCCTAATCAGAGAAACAGCCTCACCAGAAGCAAGACTACAGCACTCAAAGAAAAATTAAAAGTTCAGATATGATAAGATTTAATTTTAATAAATTTCTCATCTTAAAAGAATTAAGAACATGATTAACAGGTAGTAAAACTATGTCTTAAAACCTGCTAAGGGCAGTTTTAATTATGCTAAATATCATATTCAAATGTTCGTTCATAATATAGCAGGGAAGATGGGAAAAGAAGACTACATTTTCCAATATGTAATTTATTTCAATGAAAACAGAACAAAGAAAGAGCCTCCGTACTGCTTAGCATAGCATCTACAGTGCTTCCAACTAGTCAAGCTTGTTGAGTACTTAAACCTCAGACATCCTCCTGGTACACGTTCTAAGTTATTCAACTTAGGAGACATTACACATACCATTTAATCTAGTCTTGTTCCATTTTGTTCAAGGATTAGAAACAGGATCTGAGAGGTAATAGCTGCCCTTGGTATAATAAAAAGTACATGGGCATAATTTTCCTGTGAGAAATGGGTAATCAAAAGTAAAAATAAAAGAGTGAAAACAAAGGGTATGATTAGGAACCTGGGGCCAAGTAATAAAGGCACAAGAGGCACAAAATAGAAAACCAGACATCTCCCTTACATGAGAGGAACAAATAACAACAACAACAAAAACCCCAAGTCAACATCTAAATCCTTCCCCAAACTCTTCACTGTTGTCAGCTATTTAATCGCTATTTTATAGTCACTTGACCTGAACAGCTACATGATTAAATGCAAATGCAAAGCACCCACATCTTGAGTGTTTGCATTTAACAAATATGTTAACACAGTAAGTTTTGAGGTAGCAATGTTTTCCTTCCACTCTGCACAGAACAATGAGTACATGAGGGCATTACATTACAAACCTATCTAAAAACCGAAATAGCCTCTGGGCTTAAAAGGCAACCCTTCTAGAAACAGCCTTAACTTATCAAGTAGTGTGCAGTAAAGCTATGCCTAAACATGGTTCGGCTGCTCAGAAATTAAAATCTCACTCATGTAAAGACCACACAAGTGCTAGTCATTGTGTCCCTAGTAAGGCTGCATATGTCTACTTAAGAAGAAAAAGAGAAACTTTAAGAAAAGAGTCTTTTGGGTCAGACTCACTTTGATCTGTTTTATTCTGTGCTTTGCCATCTCCCTAAACCCAGTCACAAATACAATGGTTAATTGCTAACTTGATACAAATACCATAAACGACATTTATGGAACAAAATAAGGTATGGGCTAGGTATTAAAAAATAATAGGGGCTGGAGAGATGGCTCAGCAATTAAGAGCACTGGTTGCTTCCAGGACTAGGATTTGGTTCTTCCTATCACCCTCATAGTAATTCACAACTATCATTAACTCTAGTTATAGGGGATCTAATGCCTTCTCCTACCTCACAGGCACCAGTCACACGTGATGCACATAATACATGCAAGCAAAACTTACATACATAAAGTAATAATGCTATGAAGGATGTTATTCTTGAGGATACATGTGTGACTATTTAAGGATTAAACATACCTGTAATTTACTTTCAAATACTTTGGATCTGATGTTTAAGTATTTATATCTGCATATTTATGTATATAAACATATTATGCATAAAATATCACCAATCTAACAGCTACTATCAAATATGTAGGGTAGTGGGGACATATGTGATCATTGTACCATTCTTTCTCTGCTTTTTTGGAAAGTTGCTACATTGCTGAGGTTGACTTTGAACCCTTATCTCCCTGCCTTTCTCCCAAATAACAGGATTACAGACATGTGTTACAGCATTTTTTCAACTTTTCTGCTGCTTAAGTTGGGCTACTCACTAGACAAGTCATCTGGGCCTCAGCCTCCCGATGATGATGGATTATAGGCATCAGACACTATATCTGGCTTCACTATTTTTTTTAAGATTTTTACTTCCTGGAGCTCGAGTTATAGGCATTTGTATGTTGCTTGATTCTGGTGCTAGGAAGCAAACTCTGGTCTTCTGGAAGGGCAGTATGTGCTCTTTATTACCGAACTATCCCTTCAGCACAACAAATTTTTAGCATTTAAAAATTCTCTTCAAAAGTTGGGGTAAAGTCGGGCATGGTAGAACAGGCCTTTGGTTCCAGCACTCGGGAGGCAGAGACAGGCAAATCCATGAGTTTGAGGCTAGCCTGGTCTACAGAGGGAGTTCTAGGACAGCTGGGGTTACTACACAGAGAAACCCTGTCTTGAAAAAACAAACAAAAAAGTTGGGGTAAAAAAGGAAATATATGAGCAGCAAGTAAATTTTTATTTTTGTTTTTTATTTTTCGAGTCAGGGTTTCTCTGTGGCTTTGGAGTCTGTCTGGAACTAGTTTTTGTAGATCAGGGCTGGTTTCAAACTCACAGAGATCCCCCTGCCTCTGACTCCCAAGTGCTGGAAAGAAAGGTGTGCGCAGCCACCACCGGCCAGCGAGCAGGAAGGGATCTTACACAGCTTTAGGATTATGTATCTCACTGGCAGCTGCATGTTAGTGTTCACTATGCTCATGCCGCCCATTCTACTACTTGATTCATCTCTGTGGACATCACCATCATCACTGGATGCAGTCCCACTTTCCACCACCACCACCTACTATTGGATGTAGTCCCAGCTGCCCTGGAGCTTGTTATGTAGACCACAGTGGCCCTGAACTCCTATCTCTGCCTTCCAAGTGCTGGAATCAAGTGTGGACCACTATACCCAGCTTGCAGTAGCAACAAGTTACTGGATTAATTAGAAGTCCCATCCCAGTTAAGTTTTACTTTTATACTCAAACCATAGATTATCATTCCTTTACTGAGAGTTTAAATATGCAGATTCAAAACTATGTAAAATGGAGTAAACCTAAGACAGGATCATAGAGTCTACGTTTTCAGTTAGAAATAGTAATATAAACAAAAGTATCTTCTGAGAACACTCTTTAGTTGCAATTTACTAGCACAGACTACTAAATTTAGGTTAAGAGACAGTATACTTACCATCAAAATGTGAAATTTTATTTCACACTGATATCTTACCACTTGAAAGGTTAAGCTACACACATGATGATGGAAACATAGCAACTAAATTTTTTTTCTGACTAAGCAGTATAAATTCCACTGAAGAAGGCAAAACATGTGGGGAATATTTGCTGACCATCCTTTTAATAAACTTTGCTATCCAGAATTAATTAAATTTATAAATCTAAATATTTGGGTTCTAAACACTTGAAACACTATAACCTGTAAGAGAGATGTTACAGTAATTTAGGTTAAATAAACTTAAAATAAAATTGTTCTCCTTTTTTCCCTTTCTTTCTTTTTTTTTTTTTTTTTTTTTTTTTTTTTGGTTTTTTCGAGACAGGGTTTCTCTGTATTGTTTTGGAGGCTATCGGTCCAGCCCAGCCTCGAACTCACAGAGATCCGCCTGCCTCTGCCTCCCGAGTGCTGGGATTAAAGGCGTGCGCCACCAACGCCCGGCTTTTTTTCCCCTTTCTGAGATAAGAGTTTCACTGTGTAGCTCTGGCTGCCCTGGAATTTGCTCTGCAGACCAGGCTGGTCTCAATCTCAGAGATCCACCTGCCTCTGCCTCCCAAGTGGTGGGATTAAAAGTGTGCCCCACCACTACCTGGCTAAGAATAAAGTTTTAACAAATATGTGTTAAAATTGTGCTGGACTGAAACCAAGGATAGAACTCGCTCACTTGTACATTCCAAAGCCAAAGCTCAGAGCAGTCATCTGGGCCACAAGCAACAAGATAGCTGTCATCTGGACTCCATGCAATATAAGAAACACCATACGCATGTCCTTCTAATGTTTTAAGCAGCTTTAGCAGGTGTGTATCCTAAAAAACAAAACAGACCACTTGGTTAACGCCCATTTCTAAATGTACCATTATTTTATAGCACAAGAACGTAAGTGTAACAACATACACCGATATTCTCATTTATTCTGGGAAGTTTCTGTGCGAATCCAGCTTAATTAAACTCAAAGACGGCTTGTCTCACAGAGATTCAATCTCACCTACTATACAGAGGGTATTATATACTAGATAGAAACATGAAACTGTCATAGGACTTGCCCTCAGGAAACGTGAAAGGAAATGAAAGTAGATATGCACACCAAAAGTTACATCTTTTTATTTAAAGATTTGAAATAACTTCACTGACACCTAACAGCACAAAATAAATCCTCTTAGGGTACATAGTTCAACAGTTTAAATACATTCAGACTTGTGAAACAACCTGTGAGATGTTATAAAATTGTGAAATGTATAAAATTAGGTAATTTTATATTTCTATCACCCCCCCAAGACATCCCATATCTATTAGTAATCATTTGTCTCCCTGAAGTTCCCAGAAACCACCACTTTGTTTTTATTGATTTGTCTATCCTAGTTATTTTATATAAATGAAATTAAATATATAGTCTCTTGTAGTTGGCTTATTTCACTGATTCCAGTGTCTCTATGTTTTATTCATGCCAAAAGGTATGTAACATGCCGGGCGTTGATGGTACACGCCTTTAATCCCAGCACTCGGTAGGCAGAGGCAGGAGGATCTCTGTGAGTTCCAGGCCAGCCTGATCTACAAGAACTAGTTCCAGGACAACCTCCAAAGCAATACAAGAAACCCTGTCTTGAACCCCCCCCAAAAAAAACCCCGCAAGAATAAAGTTAAAATTCCAGCTAGCATGTATGATGTCCTAGGTCCAATCTAGCGGTGAGGTAAAGGATAAATGCCAGATCCCTGGTTTAGGGGAAGTGAAAAGGAGAAAATAAAAAAAAAATCAAGGGGCTGGAGAGGTGGCTCAGAGGTTAAGAGCCCTGACTGCTCTTCCAGAGGTCCTGAGTTCAATTCCCAGCAACCACATGGTGGCTCACAACCATCTATAATTCAATCTGGTGCCCTCTTCTGACAGAAAACTGTATATGTAATAATAAATAAATCTTAAAAAAAAATTTAAAAAAAATCAAATAATGTTTTAAATATATATTGGACTAGAGATCCTACTGAGCCTAACCAAATAAATAAATAAGTATTTATTTTTTCTGATGTGTTTTTGAGTATGGGGGGGCATTGGGGTGTGTGCCTGCAGAGGCCAGAAGAAGCTGGGTCCCCTGGACTGGAGTTACAAGCAGTTTTGGAGTAGCCTGAATGGCCTGTTATTAATGCTGGGAACAGAGCTGGGGTCCTCTGGAAAAATGCTAAGTGCTCTGAATCATGCATCCATCTCTCTAGTCCCTTGAGCCTAATTTTAAGCCTGTAAGAAACTATAAACTGGTCTCAAACTAGTCTGATAAAATTGAAACCCCTGACTCCAGAAACCTAACTGGACTGTTTACTATGCTGTTTGTTCCCAGGACTAATCTCATCTTTCATACAGTACAGTACAAATTGCGATCTTGAGAAAATGAAACATTTAACAATACAACTGCTGTTTCCTCTTTGAGGAGCTAAGAGGCATCTATAATCTGTATCAAATCAACAATAAAGGTCAAAATGGCTTGCATAATTTTAAGTCTTTTTTTGACTAGCTTAACACTGACAAAGAACAAGTTCTAGACAAACAATACTCTAGATGAACAAAATTATTTTCTTCTAAACTGACAATAAATTCCTTTAGAAATACTTATCCAGAAAACAAATTGCTTTATGCCAGCATCTGTGAACACGCCTGCTATTTCAGTACTTGGGAGGTTAGGTGTAGAAGACCACAAGTTCAAGACTAGGCTGGGCTACACGGCAAGACCCTGTCTCAAAAAGGCGGGGTGGGGGTGGGGTGGCGGGTAGAGAGGAAAAATAGGAGGGAAAGAGAGAGCAAAAGAAAGCAATTGTTTTACATATCTCAAAAAGAAAAAAAAGAAAGAACCTTCATAAATGAAGAAGATGCTGCTTTTCACAGACCCATTTGGTCCCCAGCACCCATATGACAGCTCACAGCCACCTAACCCCAGTTTCATCATCTTCTGGCCTCCACAGGTACCAGGTGCACGGATATACACAGCTGGCAAATTACATTAAAGACAACCACAAAAACAAAACCTTAAATTCCTTTTTTCTACATATTAATCCAGCACTGGGGAAACAGATGGACCATGAATTCTAAGGCAATCTGAAATCCAGTTTCAACAAAACAAGCAACAAAAAATTAAAGGTATAAAAAATATACATATTTAAGAAAGTATGGTCAGGTAGGCACGGGTGGTGCACACCTTTGATCCTAGCACTTGGGAGGCAGAGGCAGGCAGATCTCTGTGAGTTCGAGGTCAGCCTGGTCTACAGAGTGAGTTCCAGGACAGCTAAGGCTGTTAGAGAAACCTTGTTTCAAAACAAAACCAAACAAAAAAAAAACAAAGAGCAGAGTTAACTTTTCTAAATAGTATTTGACATAACAAATGCCTCAAGAATTCACCAGTTTCAGGGGAATTTTTGTTGTACAGACATCTAAAAATCATTCTTCACATTTCAGATTGGAATCTAAATATTAATGCTGCATTCCTTAATTAATATGGCCAAGGGAAAAAAACCTTTACAATGAACATCTATGACATTCTAGGAATCACTGGCATACAAGTCTAAACATCTCAGCAACGATCTCCTCAACAGGCTTCTCCCAAATGACCCTGGGCCATTCCTAACCACATTCACCTCAACAGTTCTTTGATCTTTCAACCTAAAACCTTTCCTTACTTTCTTTAGCTTTCTAGATGTAACAAGACCTCTTCTGAGTTCCCACAGCGTCCATTATAGACTCATCAGAGTTTATTATCATATGCTTAGTTTCCTGGATTAAAAAAAATTAACACACAATAGGCATTTTATACTGGCTAAATACAGTGGGAATCACACACAGCTGCCAGAAAACAAACTTAACAAAACCCCTTAGAAGGCAAGGCCATGTGTTGATTCCAAATTCTTTTTCTAGTGTTATTTGTGACTCCTTGCCATTAATAAAAATAAACCTATTTGTATTTTAATGAAGGGGGTCAAGTCATACTCCTTTTCTACCAGAATGTTCGTCTCCATTTGTATGCTATATCATCATAAAGTTCTAATAAAGCTCCACTTACAAGGCTCTTCTATGTTCAACTGACTATGAACACATAACATTATCACCACATACATTTTATCATCCTTTCAAACCTGTACAATCCTTTGGTGGGGTTCTTAATCTGACACCCACAACAAGGGCCATGGAGCACATGATTAAAGGTGATGCTCTAATTAACCGCTGTCTGAAGCTCAGTACATCCACAGATAGTGTTTCTCATGGCCTCGAACTCACAAAGATCTACCTGCCTCCCCCTCTGCTAGGGCTAAAGGTGTGTACCAACACCTGGATTCCTTCCATTTTGAATGTAGGCAAGTAACAAAACAGCACTTAGTTTATTAACACACTGTGGTGATGAATTATTATATACTATCTTTTACTATCTAAAAGACTTCTGTAGGACTCTACCACGTACTCAGCCCGTTTGTTTAACCTACTTTTACCAGAACAATGTAACTGGGCGTGGTAGCCTGAGCCTTTAATCTCAGCACTCTTGAGGCAGAGGCAGGTGGATCTGAGTTTGAGGCTAGCCAGGGCTACACAGAGACCCTGTATCAAAAACAAACAAACAAAAAAAAAAGCAATGTAAACAACCAAACTCACTTGCCTTGGATTTCTCACATAATCAACTTTCACAAGCTAAGCTAATGTTTTAAGCTGAAGTTTTATGTGCTCTTCCATGCCCAGCCCCAAAGTAATGCATGTGTCTGTTTGCTATGATAATCATTTGCGGAAAATATCTACCATAATGTTGATTACAATACACAGATACTGTCACTTGATAGCCTTTGTTATGTGGGTCAGTTGGAGTCAGTGGCTTCATTCCTTGTATAAAACTCGGTAAAAAGATTTCTGTAAAGTGGGCATTGGTGGCACATGCCTTTAATCCCAGCACTCGGGAGGCAGGTGGTTCTCTGTGAGTTAAGGCCAGCCTGGTCTACAAGAGCTAGTTCCAGGACAGCCTCCAAACCCACAGAGAAACCCTGTCTCAAAAAACTGAAAAAAAAAATTATGTAAAAGTCCTGCCTATTCCTTCCCCCATGTGATGCCTTTGTTAGGGCAAATTCACAAAACAGCATTAAAGCAAGCAGATTCAGACTCACACAACAGACAGACAGGAGAGACACAGACACTAGGAGAGAAATAAGTAGAGAATTAAAATCGGGGCTCATTGTTGGTTAAAGACAATTTGAGAAAACTCAGCACTTAAAATCCACATGCATTAATTTTCAAATATTGTCATTGGGGAAAAACAGGCAAGACTACACATGAGATCCACAAATTATACTTGGCACCTAACACTTTTACCCCAGTTTCCTTCCTCATCTCAACACAAGAGGTTCAGCACCTCAGAGTCACTTAGGATTAAAGAATGCAAAATGACTTAGCACAATCTCTAGCACAAACACTGAAGAACCTACAAACATTAACAAAAGACCACACACCCACAAAGAAAAATACACAGTACTTCTTATACCTATGTATACTAAAATTAGGTAAGCAGCTTGAGGGGGTGGTGGCGGCGGTGCACACCTTTAGCCTTTAACAGATGCAGGCAGATCTCTGACTTCAAGGCCAGTTGGTCTACAGAGTTCCAGGACAGCCAGAGCTACAGAGAAACCCTGTCCTGAAAAACTAATGTAACCAGTGAGCTAAGACTCAAAAGTAAAAGAACCTGGGTTTGAGTGCTAGCACATAAATTAATCTAAAGGAATCCTCACCCCTTTTGCAATCTAAGGACTCATCCAGGAATACGTACCGGATCAACTTGCCACACGATAACTGTAGTATCCTTTGATCCTGTTGCTAGCTTAGTGCCATCATTAGAGAATTTACAGAACCACACTTCATTACAATGCTCTGTGAGTATCTGCTGAGTGTAACAGGGGAACTGCCTCCTAAAACAAACAAACCGCACACAATTACTCTTTCAAAGCATTTTTAGCAATGATGAGAAACACTTAACAACTGGCTGAATGCTTTTTGGAGTTCTCGTGTAGAAATACGAATGCATTTACAATTCTCAAGAATCAAATTTATTACGTATATTGAAAAATAAAAACACTTCAACATCAGGTACTTTTTGTTCAAGTCAACTTTAGTTAACATCTGTCATATAAAATCTACTTCAATCTAAAGATTACTTTTCACTGCCTTCTGAAGGCTGCCTGGTCTGATTAAGGCAATTCATGTAATTATCACTCAGGAATTATGTCTACCCACTTTATAAATGAATGGCATTAGTTGGTTGTTTTACAAGGCATAAGAAATAATGCAACATCTTCAAGCACATAAAATCAGCTATTAATAAAAACCTTGGTAAGACAAAAAGAAAAAAGGAAAAAAATGGGGGGGGGTCCAGTGCGATGGCTCAAAGGTAAAAATGCTTGCCGATCAGCGGACAGTCCATCCTAGAACCCAAGCAGTGAGAGAACTGACTCCTGAAGCTGCCCTCTGCCTCCACACAGGCACTGTGATACGCATGGACACACTCATTAATAAATGATGAGAATCAGCAAGATAGCTCAAGGGGAAAAAGTGCCTGCTGTCAAGCCTGACGACCTAAGTTCAATTCCTAGGACAAACATGATAGAAGGAGTAAAACAACTCCAGCAAAGAATGTGTCCTGAGTGGTTTGCCTACATATATCCATGTGCAGTTGATGAGTGCCTCATGTACTATGTGGGGGTCAAGAGAGGGTATTAGATTACCTCGCACTGCAGTTACAGAGAGTTATGAGCTACCATGTGAGTGCTGGGAAGCAAACTTAGGTTCTCTGCACAAGCACCAAGTGCTCTCTTAACCGCTGGGCCTTCTCTCCAGCCCTCCTACCCCAATTTGAGAGTGGTTCTTACTACTGTGGTCTAGGTTAACCTGAAATTCATCTTCCTGCCTGAGCCTTCCAAGAACTGGATTAATAGGCAGGCAGGTATGGTCATGTCCGAGTAACACTTTTAAACTTATCTTCAAGAGACTTCAACAGTCTTCTCAATTTTTTTTTTTTTGAGACAGGGTTTTTCCTCTGTGGTTTTGGAGTCTGTCCTGGAACTCGCTTGGTAGACCAGGCTTGCTCTCGAACTCACAGAGATCCACCTGCCTCTGCCTCCTGAGTGTTGGGATTAAAGGAGTGTGCCACCACCGCCCGGCTTCTTCTCTATTTTTTACCCAACCAATAAGTAATAAGAGCCCAGCACAGTACAGTGAGCCTATAATCCAGCCTCTAGAGTACTAACTCTTGAAACTAGTTTGACAAGAGAAATTTTAACATCCCTATTTTCACAAGGTCCAAAAAGTATCTCACCAGATTTTCATACTGTTAAGTAACTGAACTAAAATTTGAACCTATAATTGACTGAATTATCTTCCCAAATGTTAACTTTAATATTTTTCAAAGACTAAAAATTTCAATAAAAATTTCATATGCCTGAAGTTGATCAGTAGAAAGATTTAGATTAGCAAACACCTTTAAGTAAGGATTGACTTTAAATTATAGAGCATAAATCATTTAATCTATTGATAGCTGTCAGTCACTTTAAAACTATCATTTAATCTTTTATTAAAACTAAGGTACCGGGCCATGGTGGCACACGCCTTTAATCCCAGCACTCGGGAGGCAGAGGCAGGCGGATCTCTGTGAGTTTGAGGCCAGGCTGGACCGACAGCCTCCAAAACAATACAGAGAAACCCTGTCTTGTAAAAAACAAAACAAAACAAAAACCACAACTAAGGTGGGCTGGAGGGACGGCTCCATGGTCAAGAGCACTTGCTGCTCTTGTAGACCAGAGTTTAGATCCCAGCACCCATCCAGCAGTTCCCAACTGCTCCAGGAGAGCCAGTGCCCTCTTCCGGGCTCTGTAGGCAAACAGGCATGCACACAGTATATGAAGGCAGAGCTTTCATACATATACAATAAAACGTAAAAAAAAAAATAAACACTACAGTAATGTGCAAATTTATTACAGATACATGGTTGATGTCTTTGTTTTCATATAAATTTAAAACAAGATGGTATTAAAAACCAGTACTGAGCCGGGCGTTGGTGGTACACGCCTTTAATCCCAGCACTTGGGAGGCAGAGGCAGGTGGATTCCTGTGAGTTCGAGGCCAGCCTACTCTACAAGAGCTAGTTCCAGGACAGCCTCCAAAGCCACAGAGAAACCCTGTTTCGAAAAACCAAAAAAAAAAAAAAAAACCAGTACTGTATAAAACAGTAAAGGTAGCATTTTGACAAACTCAAACTTTAAATTGTCTATAAATATTTCATAAAAACCCTCTACTAAAAACTTAGTATTTACAAAAGCTGCATATGAAAACATATTTTCATTAGTAATCGGTATAAGAAGTCCAGAAAATTCTTTCCCTTCAGACAAAATTGTTCTTTACTGGTCACATTTAACCAAAAATATGTGCACACTAGCTGATAAAAATTGTGTACAACCTAATAAAAACACTTTAGTGTTTATATGGGGTTTTCAAAATCTTAATTCAACTATTCATAACCAATTTTCTATTCTCCAGAGAGGAAACAGTATGTTTACATTTAATTTCAGAAAATATTTTCTAGCTCCTGTGCTAAAATCTAGTTTCTAGAATAAAACAAATGGTTAAAAATTATCAACTTTTCTTTTGAAGACCTCCAGTTAAACTTAAGGACTTAAGTTCAGGCTCTACTTTCCAGTCTGGCAATAAAGGGACAACTTACTGAGTTAATGTCTGTGTTACTCCCTTAGTCTCCTTAAAAATCTACCTCTAGAATGAACAGCTGGGGACGGCTCCTGGTTTCCGGCTTGGTGAAATGGGTAGGTAGATCCTCCCTGAGATAGAAAATGCAGGGACCGGAAGATGCTTGGCAGCTGAAGCTTTTGCAAGCAAGCAAGTTCAGATGCCCCGAACCCCATGGAAATACCAGATGGACATGGTAACCCGCCTGTAATTCCAGCCTCTGAAGGCGAGTTCACACAGGGGATCCCTGAGCAAACTGGCTAGAGACTTGCTGGGATTGGTGAGCTCCAGGTTCAGCGAGAGACCCTGTCTTAAAGAGTAAAGTGGAAGGACAACTGAGGAAGATCTCCAGTATCAACCTTGGACCTCAACACAGAAGCACCTGCATGTACACATGTGCTCACACACATGAACACACACACACCCAAGCACATGTGAAAAAAAATAATAAAAAGGACAGAACTCAAGTGTAAAAAAGTCAGACTGAGCAGGCCTGAGGAAGAGGCAGAGAAATCTCTTTGGATCTGCTGTGCTACCCAGAGCAACAGCCACTCTGTACTCAGATCTCTAAGCTCAGGAGAGAAGCACTGTGGCTCTGCCCTATTTCCAGGAGGCACCAGATTCATGAAGTGGAACCTACGAAAGAAGATGGGGCAAGAAGCAGCCCTGGAACAAACTAGTTAAGGGACTGATGGAGAAGAGGAGCCCTGGGAGGGGTCAGAACACCAATCCAGAGTACAGAATATTTACAGAAAGCTTTAACACTATAGAAAGCTCAAGATAAACTGGAAACAGCTGCTGAATTAAACGACAAAAAGACTGCCCCTCACCAACATCAGCAGTGACACTACAGGAACCCGGTGCAGAAAAACAAAGACTTGCACAGCGGAGAATGATTTCAGAAGTAACCTTTGAAGGAGGGAGGTGGTGAACAGAAGATGCAATGCACTTCTCATTTATTCTTGTATGTGTGGGTGTTTTGCCTGCAAGTATGCCTGTGTACCATGCATGTGCATGTTTTTTAATCATAAAGAAGACCTGAGGAGCAATTACTTTAAAAAAGCAAAAATCTTTCAGTCCTAGTTAAATTTCAGAGTGCTTCATACATGGGCTGATGAGGAGCAGCCCACCCCTGAGGTGAAAGATAGAAGAGGTAGACTATACAAGGAAAAAAAACTTCTCATGGGTTTCTATTTCTGTACAGGAAGGAAAGGCTCTTACTTTGACATTTCTGGCACCACCAAATCTACTTGTTACTTCCCAGTGTCCACAGCAGAAACAAATTTATGAGACCTTGGTCTACAAGTTCCTTAATTTTAACAACCTCCTAAAGGAGCTATGAAACACGGGACTAGTGCCTTTTAATCTATCCCCACCCACACATCCAATCTAAACAAAAAGCTTTAAAAATTCTCCTAAACGAGTCAAAGAACAGTGCCAGGGAGTGAGTGGTGCTGATCACCTCCTAGCACAACAGTGACTCACACCAAATCATGGTCCAGTACTTCAAGATGAGCATCACTTCTAAGGCTCATAGCTCAAACAACTTGTCTTCTTACAAGTACAGTGAGTGATGTCACAGCTACATACACAGCAGATTATAGGGCTGGGGATGTAGCTCAGTGGTAGAACTTTTGACTAGCATTTGAAAGGACCTATGTTCTATTTCTAGCACCAAAGAAATAAAAAAACAAAAACAAAAACAAAGTAAAACACCTGGTTTTAAAACCTCACAGGGCTGGAGAGATGGCTTGGTGGATAAGAGCACTGACTGTTCTTCCAGAGGTCCTGAGTTCAATTCCCAGCACCCACTTGGTGGCTCACAGTCATCTGATGCCCTCTTCTGGCAGGCAGTCATACAAGCAGAGCACTCATACATAAAATATAAATAAAATTTTAAAAATAATATAATAAACACTCCTCAATATTATTTTAAATTAGTCTCTAGATGTGTGCATAGCATTTATGGTTACTCAAAAGTTCCTCATTGATTAACACATACACTTCTGTCTCATTACTACAATCCATTGTTCTTATTGATTCCTCAGTGAACATCAGGAGGAAAGAAGCACGGACACTACAGTGGTCTGCTTGTGGTGTGTGGCTGGTTAGAACCAAATCATGTCTTTCCTGGAGTTTGAAAGGGTTCACAATTTCCATCTTGGTCTTTTAAATTTAAAGTTAAGCATCATTAAAATAGCAGGGAAAGTTTTTACTAAATTACACTCAACACTTCCAACTTCAATTATGTGCATGGTTTGGTAAAAAATAAACACAAAGTTAATGCCTATTATTCTAATCATTTTTTAGCTCTTATTTTACAAAAAAAAAAAGCAGAACTTTCACTAAGAAAAAAGTATTTCAATGATTTTCAAAGGCAGAGAATAACTTGGTACATAGTTAAACTGCTGAACATAGAAAATGACTAACCAAACCCAGAGTAAGAACACGAAAAATTGGCTTTTGGGTTTCAGCTCCCAACTGTGGCTTACTATATAAATAAACATAGGCTTATATAGCACAAACAAATTTTCTATTTTTTCTATTAAGTTTAAATTTTAGTAGTCCTTGGTTTTACTGTGAATAAATAGTAAATCAAATATGAACTGTTACATGGCTACACAAAGAAACCCTACAAAATGTTTAAATAAAGTTCATAATTCCATCTGTAAAATGCCAACATATTTGAAAATATAAGACATTTTCCTCTTACCTACTACAAACATGATCTATAAGTAGAGACACAGAATCTAGATTATTGTCAAGTTTGGTATTGTGATACAGGCACCGATCCCTTTGTAGTTCCACCGCCTGCCGCAGAAGAGTCTGTAAACGCCGTGGGGGAAGCATCACTGATGGTGGTAAATAGGCTTTAATAAAAGATATTTTAAAAAAGAGAAATAAAAATAATAATAAACCATAAACTTTTATTTAAGACATTCACTCCTCTTCTGTTGTACCTTCCCTCAGTATTGTTTCCTTTACACAGACAAACTCTAGGGAGATGACATAAGGTATTTTCAAAAGCTACAGTAATACTACCACTAAAAAGGAATATACTGGCTGTTTCCTGCAGATAGTGTTTCTGAGGGGAATAACACCACATGCAAAAACACATGAAAAAAATAAAAAGAAGATGGACAGAAAATCCGATGATGATTATGTATCAGTAGACAATCAGTATAAGATTAATCTTCAATTAACAAGAGTCAGCCAAGCCAGGCAGTAGTGGTGGCGCACACCTTTAATCCCAGAACTCGGGAGGCAGAGGAAAGTGGATCTCTGTGAGTTTGAGGCCAGCCTCAACAAAGTGAGTTCCAGGACAGCCAGGGCTACACAGAAAAACCTGGTCTTGAAAAATTAAAAAGAAAAAGCCAAAACACCGAGGATACTAGTAACAAGGGCACTGTGGATATTCAGAGAATAAACATAAACACAAACTTATTCCAATACTCTTATGCTTTACATTCTCTCAGGCATATGGAGTATGTATTTTCTGATACTTGAGACTTCCACTCTCTGCAACATGATATAACAACATGGTTTGGATAGAAAGGAGGGATAAAAATGAAAACCCTCCCCAACACAACTTAAAAGTGGTCAAACACAACTTAAAAGTGGTCAAACACAGCTGGGAAAAGCATAAAACAATTTACTAAAGAAATCCAGTCCCTACTAAACAAAACAGAACAAAAACTATAAAATACACATGACTTAAAGCTGTGGTCTACATTTTCACCCAGAGAAACCCTTAGGAGCATGACTAAGAACACAACGTAAGGAGAATGAATGCTGAGTCCAGCACCCCTAGGCTGACTCCAGGTCACATCTGATCAGTGTGAGAATCTTTGATACAAAGGGCTCTTTAATGGACTCCTTCCACAAAAACTCTCAAAGTGTCTAAGCAAAAGCTTCCTATTTGATCTATATCACCTACTTCCAATCTAAATAGCATCAAAAATGACTCTTACTCTGAAGCTTGTCCAGTAGTTTGGACCGGGAAGCTGTTCCCTTGCCTTCCCATTCAGCTTTTGCTCGTAGGTCTTCCGCATGGCTACACATTAGATACCTATGACAGAGTAAACAACAGATCTCAAACACTTTTCTTTGTATTTTCACAATCAAGTTCTTACTTACACAAATCAAGAAAAACGTTTTTTAGAGTGAATTCAATTTATTAATACAATCTGATGCCTTCATAAATTAAAAGGCAATAGACTATTCCTTAAATACACAATATTATCACTGTAATTAAGACTACTCTCAGCCAGGCATTGGTGGCACACGCCTTTAATCCCAGCACTCAAGAGGCTAGTTCCAGGACAGCCTCCAAAGTCACAGAGAAGCCCTGTCTTGGGAAAAAGAGAAAAGAAAGAAGAAGAAAGAAGAAAAGACCACTCCCTTCTGCTGTTATAGATATGTAGCTTGCTTTGTGCCGTCTGTGCCATGTTACGTTCCAAAGCCTCAACTGAATGCCCTTAGCTACCCTGTGTGAAGCAAGCACTATTATTCTAACTACATAAACGAGGAAATTGAGACACAGAACACTAAGAAGTAGCTGTGAGAGGAGGGAGGCAATGTAGGAACACAGCAACCCAGGCATTCCAGCTGCACAGCTGCTCTTCACACTTCACGGCTTCTCTAGTGATGTAAGTACGGAAGTCGTAAGTCACAACAACTTAGGGGCTAAGAAAACGTTTTAGTGGATAAAAATGCTTACTTGACATGATGACCTGAGTTCAAGTACCCAGCACTATACAAAAAGCCAGGCAGGGCTACCTATGCCTGGTAGGCCATCATTATTCCTCACTTTATTCAGATGGTGGTATAAATGCTCAAGTTCCTGAACTCTGGGGAATATATAACGACCTCCTGCAGGGAGCATACCTCCAACCTGGCTTTTCTCAGGGGAACAGGACTGAACAAAAGAAGTACAGGTCCCTTTAATACCAGCACTTGGGAGGCAGAGGCAGGCAGATCTCATGAGTTTGAGGCCAGCCTGGTCTACAGAGCGAGTTCCAGGACAGCCAGGGCTACCACATAGAAATCCTGTCTTTCAGATCGCTTTGCCTTCTTGCTTAGTATGGACGCATTTTGGTTAATGAAAATACTTTTTAGAAAGTGTAATTATACTTAACAATCCTCTGAAGAAACTGGATATTAGTCTCTAAAATAATTATGGGGAGCCAGGGAGAGGGCTCTGTGGGTCAAGTCTGCCAACCTGATTTTGATCCTAAGAACCCACAGGCCAGAAGGAGAACTGACTCATACAAGTTGTCCTTTGACCTCTACATATGTATGGACACAACACAAAGACAAGCAGAAAATACTGAGTACGGTGTGCATGTGTTTAATCCAGCACTCGGGAGGCAGAGGCAGGCAGATCTGTGAGTTCAAGGTCAGCCTGGTCTATAGAGTGAGTTCTAAGACAGGCTCGCTACACAAAGAAACCCTGTCCTGAAAAGCCAAATAAAAACAAAAGAAAAACCCCAAACAAACAAAGTCATAAGTTCAATCCCAGTGTAGTCTAAAAAGGGACGAGGACCTATGGTTGTTTCTGTGCCTTTACAAGAACATGCATTAAGCCTTGGATTTACACACAAATGTACTTATGGGAATTGACATGCATGGTAGAACTGAGAAGACATAGCACTAGCAGGAAGCAATTTCCTTTTCTTTCAAGATCACTTCAAAATAAAAACTATGGCTGAGTGTTGGTGGCACATGCTTTTAATCCCTGCACTCAGGAGGCAGAGGCAGGTGGATCTCTGTGAGTTCAAGGCCAGCCTGGTCTACAAGAATTAGTTTCAGGACAGCCTCCAAAGCCAGAGAAACCTTGTCTCGAAAAAACAGAAACAAAACCACCCACAAAAAAGACCCCCCCCCCAAATAAATAAAAATTATGTATTAACTTGTATGTTCTGGCCCATGTGGTGGCATATACCTTTAATCCCAACACCTGGGAAGCAGAGTCAGGTGGACCTCCCACCACACACACAGGTTTTCTCTGTGTGTCTTGGCTGTCCCAGTGCTCACTCTGTAGACCACACTGTCTTCCCAGTCAGAGATCCACCTGTCTCCACCGCCTGAATGCTGGAATCAAAGGTGTGTGCCACTACCTCCCAATTGTACACCAACAATATGTAATGAGACCATGCTTCTAAATAAACACAACAGCAGCAAAAACTAATAAAAGCCCTGATAGCAGTTAAGCAACTGTTGACTTTGTATGAAACACACTTGTGTGCTCTTCATTGCTTGCTATGATCCAAAGCCATGAAGTTTTCCTTTGGAGTAATTCTGAAATAGTACCATTGGCTATGTGGGTTGCTTTCCCCTTCACCTATTAAGTATCTCAAATCTTCTTTGTTATTGTTTTTTGTCTGAGACAGGGTTTCCTGGCTGGCCTAGAACTCGCTCTAGAGACCAATCTGGCTTGTTGACACAGGTGAATTTATCCAGAACTAAGAATTTAGCAACATCCAGGTACTTTCTATCTCAGGAAAAAGGAAGTATAACTCTGATCAATAGTAAACTTCTATCTAGAAAGATCTTAACCCCTTCTTGAACCTCGAGTCTAAGAACCCCACTTCCTTACCCACTAAGAACATGAATGCGCTCTGTATTGTATTTCAGCGGCGTGAGTTCACAGCGTAGGACTTGAAGCGCCTCCAGGACCTTGCCATCCTCCAGGTATTCCAGGTATTTCTGCTGCAGCAGCAAAAACTTCATCCTCTGACATGACAGAAAGCAGCAGTCAGGGAAAAAAGTTGATGGAAGTTTCAGAAAATGTTTGTGCCTAAACAGAACAGTAGAAACCATTCTACTATGCCTTTTGAAAATAATTTTATAAAGCTTCAAGATGACTCAAAAGAGCTTTCTGTTATGAGTCATAGCAGGTTAATTTGACTCCTCAAGTCTACATTGTAATAAAACTCTGAAAAATCTCCAGTCAGGATCATTAGTGACTGAGGCATTATCAACATAAGAAGAGAAAACAAACAAACAAACAAATTCTGCTCTTACATTTCCTTAAAATTTTATTTATCAACATTTAAAACTATTCCAAGAATTCCAAATTTGCTTTTCAAATTTTCTGACTATCTTAATAGGGCAGTAAGAAGTCTTATGCAGCAAGCTTTGAAAACACTGATGGAAAAAAGAAAGTCCAGTTAATGGAAGAGTTATTGGAAAGTCATGATGTAGCAGGGGAATAGCTCAGTTGTATAGGGCTTGTGTAGTATGTAGAGATCTGGATTTGATTCTAGCACCACAAAAATAACAATGAAAAAAAAAATAACAACAAAAACCCCAACCAAACCAAGGCACAATGTGAAAGAGACGCTAAGGAGACGGGCGGGCAGAACCAGAGTCATCAGGTGTCAGCATGAGAGTGCCAGATTTTGTAAAACCTGCCTTCTAACAGATGCAAACTCCCGGTTGGTAGGCAAAAGTTTGGAGATCCTATGATTAAACTGGGAGAGCACAAGCTCTTTCTGCAGTTAGAAAGTCGCTGACAGGAGAGGGTTGGATTTAATGGCCTTTAAGAAGATTCAGTATCTACTATGTCTGTATATTTTGTAACAATCTGCTCGCTAAGATGTTTAGCAATGAAGTACAGATAAATATTATTATTTGCCCACTAAGGTAAAGCACTTTTCGGTTATGAGCAATGTTTAGTTTTAACGTTTTTAATGTTACATTATCATCCTACTCTAAACTTAAAAATGATGATCACAATCCTAGCAGTTTTCCACTAGACAAGAGCAGTAGCTATCAGCTATTCTATTTAGAATGTCTTGTATTGTATATTTGCAGCTTGACTGAGGACCACTGTTTGGAGGACCATCTCACATTCGTTACTTGAGCTTCAGCAAGCATGACAAAAATGTTAGTCACATCTAGAAGCTCCATGGATTGTGAAAGAGCAAAGTCCACTTAAAAAAAAGTTGTTACAAAATGGTGTACAGAAATTACCATGTAACAACAGAATTCAGAGCGTGATAAACTTGTTTGTATTCTATATTTGAGATATAAACTATTGGCTTTTTCTTTTGTGTCTCAAACACAACAGTTTATTTAAACCCTTTTATATATAAACCAGGCAACTATTTAAACATATCTGTTGTGAGACCTGTTACTTCTGTTTGGTAATCTAAAGCTTTAAGTAAGACAAACAAGCAAGCAAAAACCCTTTTCAAACTGAGACATACTCCTATAACTAGGAAAATTGCACTTACCGATTTTACACATAAGGTTGGACTAATCAGTTTCAGAAACAGCCTAATTAGCAAGATGCTTTGAAAAGCATGTTATGTATGTATCCTTAAGTTGATTTTTATATGTCAAGTAAAAAAATACTTTGAAGTTCACCAGGTGACAAAATCCCCAAATTAAATTTAAAAATCTTAAAAAGGGGGAGGGGCATTATATGCAAAGTTACTGGGCTATTGTCACCATCTTCTGAAAAAACAATTTAATTTACAAATAAAGCTTCTATGTTATCAACACTCTGATGAAGGCAATGTTCATTAATTTAGAAAGCAATGCCACATTCACTAGTAAGCACTAAATTTTCTCAGCAACTGGGAATCTGGAAATCATTTTTTCCTCTTAATTCCCGGCAAATCTTTGTTCGTTTACTATTGATGATAAGGCCCTATACTCCTTCCCTCATTCTAGTGTGCAGGTGGACAGTGCTAACCTCTCCCTCCCTTGATCCACTATGACGAGGGACAGCGTGCCCACTGTTAGTTCTCCCTTACTTTCTTATCAGACGATGGCAGAGTATGTTACTGCATTTTAATGGGTAAAGATGGAGGCAAGATAAAAAAAGGAAGGCAGACTAAACCTTTGAGCAAAGTCAACACAAACACATATTCCTGTATATACAGGCAATGCTATAAAAGCAACACAACAACATTTTTATGAGTCATTTTATCCAAATTAAGACAATGAACACCCTCAAAGCTTGAAACTAATACGATGCTAGACAAATACAGCTAGAGTTTAAGAAAAAAAGTTTATCCATCTGAAACTCAGCTCAAATATCTGATACACAGTAGCAATAAAGATGTATTTTGCCTTCCTAAATTTAAAGCTCAAAATTAATATAATCTCAAGAAAATAAAGGCCTTTTAACACAACAGTGATGTTCATTCCTGAGAAAGTTAAAAATCAGGCAACACTGAAGCTTGCTTTAAAGATCAGAGGCTTTTGAAAGGACCAGAGGGTGAGAAGAGGGAGGAGGAAATAACACCCTCCTTAAGCTTTTCCAATTAGACCTTCAGCAGACTATTTCAGGCTGCTGACGATATTCCAATGACTTTGGGCCCAGCAATATTTTCTTCTTTCTTATAAAATCTAATAAAAACCTGAAATTGAAATTTCTTGTTGGACACTCCCCCGCACACACACACCTTACCCAATATCTGAATCACTATTCTTTCCCCCACATTATCAGACTGAATTTTAACACTGAAGAAAAACTCAAATGCTAGTGTCTTCATGGAGGGCAAACCCCTAATTTTGTGATGGCTTTAACTCTATAATGTTATAAGCAAATTTTGCCAATTAAATCCTAATTCAAGAAAAGGGGAAATAAATCATATTTATGCTAAGGATCTCAAAGCTCTTATTTGACTTATGAGTTAACTTTTATGTCAAGTCCATATTTGCTCTTTTTGTTAAAGTTATTTCTATTACATTAAAAAACAAAAGAATGGGACTTTGTAAACATAGAGCAATTTTCTGTCCTTGGTCTCAAATGCCCATCCAGATGCTCGGACATGGTATTATCAACTCAAGCCAAAAACTGTTGATTCATGGCTTTAGCATTCAAAACCCACAACATCTGCTATTCTGTGTGTCATTTGACTGGAAACCATTTTAAAGTGTGGGGACAGAGGAAAAGTAAGGGAAGTAAACTAGATCAATAAAAACATTCAGATTTGAGAAATAAAAGTTCAGTCTCAGGACTAGGGATGCAGCTAAGTGGCAGGGCACAGGCTAAAACCCAGACAAGGAAGGCTCTGGCTTCAGTTCCCATCACTGGGAATGACGATGAGCAGTCTGAGACTGACTGTACTGTCACCAAGTATCTGGGTAGTAACTAAGTCAGTGTGTTAAAAACCCACATAGCTGTCTTCTAAGACACTATTACAAATTTCAACTTGAACTGAATCTTTTAAAGCAATTGATTCATCAATGCTTATGGGAGACAAAAGTTGGACCCCTTTCTTTGTATAAATACCTAAACAGTTTGATGGTGTGAGGCTCAGCCAGAGATTTAATCTTCATCTTTTATTAGATCCTAGAATGTTCTACAGACTCAACAGGCTGTAAAAAGAAAGGATTCCTCCTTATTATCTATAGCTACCTTTCTCCAATTTACATGTTGCTTCTATTGAAGTTTCTAAAGAGTCATAATCTAAATCCAAGCAGAAGTCTCAAATTACTACAAATAAATTTTTAAAAGAAGTGAATCCATTAAATTTTTTGCTATCAGAGTACAGATACAATTTGGATAAACTAAAAAAAATGAAAACATACTCCAATAAATCACACCAAAATACTCCACAAATAAATTCCTTTATAGCCACCAATAAACCCCAGCTCTTATTTTGGCCACTTTATTTTGTCTTAGCTTATTCAGTCAAAAATTTGTGAAAAACTGCTCATTTAAAATCATACTCAGGTGCTGGGCAGTGGTGCAAGCCTTTAATCCCAGCACTAGGGAGGCAGAGCCAGGAGTTCAAGGCCGGTCTGGTCCACATATTGCGTTCCACGACAGCCAGGGCTGTTGCAGAGAAACCCTGTCTTGAAAAATAAAAACAAAACAAAAAAACCAAAAACCCACCACAGGTTTTAAACCCCAGATATACCAATTGAGGACATTGTCTATTTCCTGAAAAAAATTTAATCCCTTCAAATATGCATGCTTACTTTAGCTCACTTTTACTTTTAAATTATTATATGGAACTGTTTATTTCTTAAGTTAAATCATTTGATGTTAAACTCATTTAAAATTTTTAATACTTTGGGTATTTATTGAAAGAACAGAAACATGAATTTAACTACACATTTGTCATACTTCTTTAGACCTTTAATTTTCCTAAAGCCCACTTTCTAAGATAGTTATTGTATAGAATTATATAAATATGAAACTATTTTGTAATACGATTTTTAAAAGAAAAAACCCACAACTCCATTAAGTTTATAGACAAAGGTTAAAAAAAGGTTAATGTTTGATCCAATTTTAAAAAAAGAACCAAAATGTTAATGGTCACTTACTAATATTTAACAAACAGCAGGCTTCCCTACTCCCTTCCTATTCTCCTCCTTTCCCTCCCCCACCAGACGGGAAACTGCTTTTGACAATGAATGAATCAGCTAGAAGTTTATAAACCAGCAGCTCATTCTTCCAGCTTTCCACTCACTAGTGCTTAAAAACAACGTATCCCTTCCTAAAGAATTAAAACTCATCAGCATAAAAAAACAAACCAAACCAAACCCATAAAGGTTCATGAAGGAGGTTAGCAGGGTAAACTACTAAACTGATCTTGACAAAATAAGAATGGTAAGCAGGGCCCAATGATCAAACATACACCTAAATCCCTCAAAGTGACACATATTATACAAACTTTGACATTTGTCAATTCATGTAACTTGAATTAAAGAAAATGGTGGGCACATCAATAGTAATAATTTGGCTTGACTATGCAATTCTAATGATCAAAAAAAAATAATGTACCAGCATCTTCAGGCTGTACAGTATACACATACCCAAACATATTTTCTCTTCAACAAGCACATTCAGTATTTCGAGTAATATAAAAAGTATAATTTAGCTTGACCTAACAATATAAAACTCCTATTAACAACACTAGAAGCAGGAAGATGTTCAAGTTTTTATAGGGCTAAATTATGGTTTCAAATGATATATTTACTAAGTATGACACAAAACATGTAAAGTTCATAGCTTATAATATACAACTCATCCTTACTTATAAATTATATAAATTTACTTTCAAGCTTCTTATGATCAGATGCCTATAAAATATCAATAACCTAAAATAAGCGTAAGTGTGAAACTAAGAACAAAAGTGTATTTACCACAATTATTCCCAACAACGTTTGAGAGATTTCAAGTGCGCCTCTTACCACAATAGCATGAGGAGAATGCACTAAAGGCTTTAGTTCATTCAGGTCATTTTCTGCCTGCAAAAGTTGGCATAAAAGAAAAACAAAAATGTCACAAAGCTTCCATCAAATACCTACTTTTAGCAGCAGTCACAGCTCTGTATGCCTACTTTACCTTATCCCAGTCTCCTTCCATGACATGATTTCGGAATTTGGTAGCAGAAGGATGTTCTAAACGACATCCTGACTCTTGCATGAGGAGATCAACAGTCTGGCTGCAGGAGAGATACAGTGTAAAAAAGACCTGACCAATGTTAGGGATTTACTCTTCTTAATACACTAGTGTTTACAACTTCATGAAGAAGAAAGAAGAGCTTTAAAAACACTTGGTTAAATAAACCATTTAAAATGCCTCCTACACTTAAAAACTTTTCTTGAAACCATAATTAACTTCTCTCTATTTCTGTCATTTAATGTTTTACAAGTTTAAAAGAGTATACAATTTCTAAAAATGTGCTCTAACCAACCGGTCAAGTAAAAACTAGGATCTAGAAACTATCTATGGCACAGCATTTTGGAAGATAAAACACAAGGTGACAGATGGCCTGTGTTAGGTAGAGCTTTCCTTCCAGATATTTTGCTTGTATGTAAATTATGCTAGGTCAATCTTTAAAATTAAACAAATCCAGCATCAAAAACCATTTCCTTTCTCTTCATACTAAAAATAGCCAATTTACTATGGTGTAGATTCCAAACAGTCACGAGTTATTTCCGCCTGCTGCTGTCAGCTTGCTGCTTCCCTCAGTAATATGTTCTGTTAGCATTCACAAAATTTATTTCATGCTTATCCTTTTCCTTTAGGTACTAAAGTGAAATCTTTCCAGATTTTTCTTTGGGAGCATAACTCATCAAATGTGGTTTCATTTACCAGATACTTTGGTGTCTAAAACCTTCATTCAGTAGTCATATATTTATATTCATGGCTTTACTTAGGTGTTTCTTTAGTGCTCCTTATTTTTCAACAGTGCAATGCCCAACTTGAGAATCGAAATACTTGTCACCAGTGCTGTTCTCCCCATTTCCCAACAAGTATGTACGTACCAATGTACGCGGGCACACACACACTTCTACCACTACAACAAACCCCGACACTTAAGCCTAAGAGTTTATTTTAAATTTGAGGCTAGGAAACTGTTGCATGTTTACTCCGGTCAGCTCCTTCTGGCTCTGACACCTTCATTCAGCTCCAGGACACTCCCACCAATCCTACTTCAACTCCCTAAGTTTTTCTTTTGTGTGTGTACAAAATAATGATTTTTGGTTAAACCCGCTGCCTACCTTCACCCTAAGTTAAAAGGCCGCCCAAACTGTGTTTGAAAACAAATGATTCACCAGACCAGACATCACTTTTTCAGAGGCAGTCTTCTTGGTTTTCAAGTGGGATTTTCACCAGTGCTAGGCCTTTAGGACACACACGGCCTCTGCATGACTTCAGCTCCGTATCTTTTCTTCATTATTCCCATCAGATTGACTAGACAGCCTCTGTCCAAATTACCCCCAGCCCCTTAGTTCCCATAAACACTTGTAAGCGACTGTCCTTCCTGATTGGTAGTTTGCCTGGGCTGTTGTCGGTCAGGGGTGGGGGTGGGGAGGTGTCCCACAAAGATGCCTCTGAGACACACTTGAAAAACAAATCCTCCAAGGTTCATTATTTCCACCGCTCTGATCCACCCCTCCCCCAGCATAAACACCCTCGGTGTCCGCCTCCCCCGACCCACAATCCAGCTCTGGAGGTGCGTGGGGAGGGGTCGCTCTGGGCTCCGACTCCCCCTCCCCAGCCCAGACGGTCCAGCTGGTGTCACGACATCAGGCCGATTCGTTTCCCTCGGCCGCCCTTCCGCTCCTCCCGGAGCTGTCTGTCCGCGGCCTCCTGCGCACTGGGCCCCGGGGTCCCCCAGTACCCTCTCGGCGGCCCGGCCCTCACCAGACGTCGGACGGACACTTACTTGAGCCCTAGGCCATTGAGGTGCTGTCCTATGAGCCTAATGACATCCTCATCGGACTGCGAGAGCCGCTTCTTCTTCTTGAGGCTGCTGCCCAGCTCGGGGGTAGCCAGGGCGGCGGCGGCGGTGGCGGAGGCCGCGGCGGCCCCGCCGGGAACCCCGTTATTGACACTCAGGCTGTTGCTATTGTTGCCAGCGGCGGAGGGGGGCGGCAGGCAGGAGCCCGTTGGCGTGGGCCAGGTCCCCCGCGGACGCCGCCGAGGGGGACGACTCCCCGTTCTGCGCCGACAGACAGGCGAGCTCCGGGGTCTGGCCCTGGCCCCCGCCGCCCCCGCCGCCGCCTCCTCCCGCCCCGTTGGCCTGCATGCTGCCGCCGCTGACCAGGCTGTGGCCGCTGCTCCGCTGGGGGGCGGCGGGGGCGGCCGGAGGCAGTCCCACCACCACCACCACGGAGGAGGAGGCGGCGGCCGGCGAGGGCGAGGGCGGGGGGGGGAGGCCTGCTCGGCCGGCCGAGGCCCCGGGCTCTCCTGCTCCCTCCGCCGCCGAGGCTCGGGGCTTCTTCCGCGGGGGCGGGGAGGCTCCGCCGGCGTCCGAGTCGGAGGAGGAGGAAGCGGAGGCCAGAGTTTCCTCGCCGAGAGAGGCCGTGGTGGGAGGCCGGCGGGGCGCGGCGGGGGTCGGTGGGGCGGGAGGAGGGGGAGAAGGAGGACCGGGCCCTTCCCCCCCCCTCCGGAGGCGCTCGCGGCGCGGCCCGGGGGCTCGCGGGCACTGGGGGGGGCGCGGGCCCGAAGCTGGAGCCCCGGCGGCGGCGGCGGAGGCGGCGGCGGCGGAGGCAGGAGCCGCCTCGGTGCTCGGTCCGCGCCGCTCCGCTCCCTGGTGTGTTGATTCTTCCCCCAGCTGCTGCCTAATGGAGTCCGGGCGCTGGCGTCACAGGAAATGCCTATACTGCCCTCCTCGCTCACTTCCGGCAGCAGGTATGGAACCTATAGGGGACTGTCACCCAGCACGTGTGTGTCCGGCAGCCGGGGTAAGGCGGTGGGGTGAAGGCGAGGGCCGCCGGGGGTCCGGCCCGGGTGGGGTGTGACCCGGCACGAGCTGGCCGGGCTGTGCGCGGGCCGCCCTGGTGTCCGGGCCTGGCGTGCGAGCTCGGCCGGCAGTGAGTTCGCAGTCAACCCCCGAGGCCCTGCGGGCTGGGAGGTAGAGTTCGTGTCCCCGCTGTGCACCCGGAGTGACCCAGAAAGGAGCGACCAGCTGGCGTGGAGGGGGCCGCAGACGCACTGGCATGGGCCAGGGTGTGGCCGGCCGGCCGGTGGCCTGGTTTTGCAGCTGCAACTTCAAGCACAAGGGTGTGCTAGGCCCCTGTCCACTGGCTGCAGGCTCTGCACCCAGGACTAACCACGGCCTCCTTTTAGGGTGGAAGGAAACACTTGAACTTCCACAGCCAAGCACTACACACAGTTGTATCCGTGTCACCAAAGGACAGCAGAGGAGACCGTGCTCCACGCTGAGAAGGCGAAGTCGTCTGTCACTGCCTGTCTGGTGGGGCAAGAAGTTACAAAGGCTGAGGGTGTGGAGAGGAACGGACGCACTTTGTGTGGAGTTTTACCGTTTCTGTGTTGTTTTTCCTTTAAGTGTTCGATCAGATAGATGCCTTGGTCCTGGTTCCTGCTACCTCTCAGACAGGGAGGATTGAGGCATCGATGCAGATCCTGGCTTGCCATTTTCATGGAGAAATACAGCAGCAGAGAACTGAGATGAGTGTTGCTCAGTGGCCGTTGGTCCTCAGGACTCCCTCGTCAGTTACAGGTGTATGGGTAGTAGCTCGTAGACCTGGTATGTACAGATGTTTTCTTGGAAGTTTAGGAAATCCTTGGTGATTTCTCCTTTGGGAGGAAAAAAAAAAACAGCCTCAAGCAATACATCGTATCCCTAAAATTTACAATACTCACAGTTTAGTAATTTTGAGGTGTTTGGAGGCAGCCCTTTTCAATTTAGACGTGCAATAAAAATTATCCTATGATTTATCAAGAATCCTGCACTATTCATTCTGCTACAGGGAAGAGGGCCGGGAAGATCAGGGCAAAGTCTTACAGTCTTTCTCAACCTTTAACGATGCTCTCAGCGCTCAGGTGTCAGCTGTAATTGCAGGGTGATTCACATGTGGTGCTTGCATTCACCTGAAGCAGGCCTTCATTCTAGCTGAGGTTGATAGGACACCGTATGTCCAGCAGAGCCAGAATTACTAGATAGTTAATGCCTCCACAGATTCCTGTACAGTAACGCTAGGAATCTTCATTATCATAGAGGTTACTACTATTTAGGCAAAATTAACTTTTTTTTTAAATGGTAATCTAGTAGGTATCCAGTAATCTCAAGGATGGATCAAGTTTGTAGCTTAGTTTGAATAAAGTCTGTAGCTTTTGTAATGAAAAGAACCATTTAATTACAGGCCAGGCTCCATAGCAAAACAAGAAGGATGAAGGGAACACTAAAGGGGATTTCATGGGCACCCAAGCTCAATATATATATCTCAGACTTTCTTCCATTTGGGTAACCAAGTCTGCTTCTAAAAAATTCTGAATTTCTGAAGTCCATATACATGTACGATTTTTTATTTGTATAAAACAGATATTGGGGACCTGTTGTCTGAATTCTAGGTCTTTGTAGAGACCACTTTCCACTCCTCTTGCCCATGAGTAATTTTGAAATACTATTCTGCAAATTCAGAACCCTTTAGTAACATCATATTACCCACAGAGTACAAGAATCTGTCATTGTCTTTGCTTTCCGTAGATGGATCTGGTCTTATCTCAGTCTTTTTGGCTAGCTCTCTTCTTAAAAGCTTCTTGTTTTTATTTTACTTTTAGTTAACTCATAAATTATGTGCTACATATTGTATACACTATGCATATTATTTATGGAAAGGTTTTATCTCTTGCCATCTCTGTGAGGCCTTCGTCACTGTCACTGAATGTGCTGGGCTTGTTTCTTCTGAAGACCTCCCGTCTTCTCTGCCAGTCTGATTGTATGGAGTTTCTCTGTCAAGACTCAGCTCCTTTTGGACCCCCTTAGAGGAGCCATTCCTGACTTCCAGCCTTTACTGTGAGTATGGTTTACTGGGTCTCCCCAATACCGAAGACTGCGTATAATCTCATTCACTGATACTCCGTGAGGTCACTAAGAGAATCTTTTTGAGACCTCTTGTCTCCTGGCTTCATCTCTTCTTCCCTCTTCCTACAAAAGACTAGGTTGGGTCTAGGATTAAGTCCAAATTGTCTCTCCGGGAAAAAGTTGTGTGTGTATTTTGGTGCTTGATTAATATCTGCACTATTGTATTGGGCTGTATGTAAAACCCTATGGGAGTTACCTTTCATAGATAACTCTTGTCCTGTCTGGTAGTGGTAGGGAAGCACTTCATTTGTGCTAAACTGTATTCTGTCCCTGAGTTTTGCCGCCAGTGTCCAGAAAGCAAAGTCTTCGGGTTGTATCACCCAGTCAAGGATGTTGCAGAATCTACTACACAGTAGGTTATTGAAGTAATTGACACTGAGGCTTTTCCAAGTCTTCAGGTTGTCAAGGGACTGTGTATATTTGAGACTGTGTATATCTGAGGAAATATACGAATGCCTCTGAGGGCAAAATGAGTGTGTATTCATCTTAATGCAGCGCTTTTCAAACTATGGGTCATAACCTATGTGTGAAATTGATGTGCTGAGCTGTAATTAGTGTTTTTTTTTAATAAAGTAGAAAATTATATAAGCATAATATTCAAGTAAGTCACCTGAAGGTGAGGTTGTTATAAAGTTAATATATTTCTTTTCTCAGAAAGGATTCAGGGCTGGAGAGATGGCTCAGCTAACACTTGTAGCTCTTGCAGAAGACCCAAGTTTAACTCCCCACACCCAAACCATCTGTAACCCTAGTTCCAGGGGATCCAAAAGGTATGCACGTGATGCACACACAGACATGCACGTGATGCACACACAGACATGCACGTGATGCACACACAGACATGCACGTGATGCACACACAGACATGCACGTGATGCACACACAGACATGCACGTGATGCACACACAGACATGCACGTGATGCACACACAGACATGCACGTGATGCACACACAGACATGCACGTGATGCATACACAGACATGCACGTGATGCACATACAGACATGCATGTGATGCACACACAGGCATGCACGTGATGCACATACAGACATGCACGTGATGCACATACAGACATGCGTGTGATGCACACACAGACATGCGTGTGATGCACACACAGGCATGCATGTGATGCGCATAAAGACATGCATGTGATGCGCATACAGACATGCACGTGATGCACATACAGACATGCATGTGATGCACACACAGGCATGCACGTGATGCACATACAGGCATGCACGTGATGCACATAAAGACATGCACGTGATGAACATAAAGACATGCATGTGATGCACATACAGTCATGCACGTGATGCACATACAGCCATGCATGTGATGCACATACAGCCATGCATGTGATGCACATACAGTCATGCACGCGATGCACATACAGACATGCACGTGATGCACATACAGGCATGCACGTGATGCACATAAAGACATGCATGTGATGCACATACAGTCATGCACGCGATGCACACACAGACATGTACGTGATGCACACACAGACATGTACGTGATGCACATACAGACATGTACGTGATGCACACACAGGCATGCACGTGATGCACATACAGGCATGCACGTGATGCACATACAGCCATGCACGTGATGCACATACAGCCATGCATGTGATGCACACACAGACATGCACGTGATGCACACACAGGCATGCACGTGATGCACATGCAGGCATGCACGTGATGCACATACAGCCATGCACGTGATGCACATACAGCCATGCATGTGATGCACACGCAGGCATGCACGTGATGCACATGCAGGCATGCACGTGATGCACATGCAGGCATGCACGTGATGCACATACAGGCATGCAGGCAAAACATCCAAGCACATTTAAAGGAAAAATGAGTGAATCTTAAATTTTTTTAGGAGTTTGAAAAACAGCTGGTCAGTGGTGGGACACGCCTTTAATCCCAGCACTTGGTAGGCAGAGAAGGAGGCTCTCTCTGAGTTTGAGGTCAGCTTGGTCCTCATTCTTAAAGCTAAAATGAAAGGTATCAAAGTTTCGAAAGTTGGGATGTTTTAAATATGTAGGTGTTTACAATAAAACACAAAGTAGGTTTTCACAGGTGTTGGTAAAACTGGTAATGCTTACATTTCTGTCAAGATGTAAATGTAGAAGTGGATGAGAGTGGAGTAGTTGCTTGGCACACAGAAGCCCAGGCTAGCCTAGAACTGCGGTCTCTTACCCTGTCTTCTAGAGTGCAGGACCCCAGGCATACAGCAGCACACATGGCGCTTCCCGCGGCTTCTTCGTTTGAGGTTGTAGAGCAGCAGACTGAACTTGTGGGAGAGTCAGGGCTGAGTATGGGAGTGCTCTGGAGTCAGAAGACTCGGTCAGTTGCCTGACTCTGAACAAGTCATTTGACTTCACTGTCCTTTAGACACGATGCCATTTTTAAAAATTTGTATTTCACGTGCATTGGTGTCCCCCCCCTCACCCCCCCCATGAGGGTGTCAGATCCCTTGGAATTGGCGTTAAAGACAGTTGTGAACTGCCATGTGGGTGCTGGGTATTCAACTCCAGTCCTCTGAAAGAGCATGGAAGTGCTGTTAATCACTGAGCCAACTCCCCAGCTCACAAGGCCTTTTTATTTATTTATTTATTTTTTTGAGACAGGGTTTCTCTGTGGCTTTGGAGGCTGCCCTGAAACTAGTTCTTGTAGACCAGGCTGGCCTGGAACTCAGAGATCTGCCTGCTTCTGCCTCCTGAGTGCTGGGATTAAAGGTATATGCCACCACCGCCAGGCAACAATATCATTTTTTCTTTTAATTTATTTATTATGTATACAATCTTCTGCCTGCATGCCAGCAGAAGGCACCAGACCTCATTGAAGATGGTTTTGAGCCACCATGTGGTTGCTGGGAATTGAACTCAGGACCTCTGGAAGAACAGTCAGTGCTCTTAACTGCTGAGCCATCTCTCCAGCCCAACACTATCATTTTTTAAAGTAGATAATAACCATCAATTTGTTTGATGAAGTTGGTGGATGGGTGAATGAGATTGGAAAAGGCAAACAAAAAAAAACCTTGTAAACATGTTTCAAGGTAAATTCAAATTTTCCACCATTTAAGAAGGATTTGAGGCTGGGCGTTGGTGGCGCACACCTTTAATTCCAGCACTTGGGAGGCAGAGGCAGGCGGATCTCTATGAGTTCAAGGCCAGCCTGGTCTACTGAGCGAGTTCCAGGACAGCCTCCAAAACAATACAGAGAAACCCTGTCTCGGAAAAAAAAAAAACCAAAAGAAAAAAGAAAAACCAAAGAAGGATTTGAAGGAGATATCAGGTAGTTTTATTGTTGACCTAAGGACTGATCCGCCCCCTCCCCAACCCTGACTTTCAGCCATGGTCGTGTGCAGCCATGTTCCGACAGCTCTGTCTGTCATACTTCCATGGCAGCTTTTGTGAGAGGAGGGAGGTCCCAGTCCCTGAGCACTTTTATCCACTGTCCCGTGCATGTCTCTCCAGCACCTGCTTGCTTCTCTCCTCTGTAAAAACACCCGTCCATGCGGGGACCAGTCAGTAAGCAGGGGTTGAGGACGCCAGGTGTATCTCATTGGGAAGACAGAGAGACCTTTGACCTCACAAGTGAACTTGTATCCACCTCTGTCCCAGAGAAAAGTAGCCTTTTCCTTAAATAGTTTTCTGCAGCTGTTGAGAGACCCATTTGGTATAAATAATTATGTCTGGGGAAATCTTCTGAAGGAAATGAACTACACTGTTAAGCTTACTCTTTTCCTTTCACACAGCTATGGGGGATTGCTTGAAGTAGTTTTATAATTGCTATACCAACCTTACAGTAGCACCACATGTTAAACACGTGACACCAACCTGGGG